AAGTGAGTTCTTTTTTTTTTTTTTTTTTTTTTTTTCCCTTTAATATCTACTGGCCCGGGTTATGATTCCGGTCCCTCAATAGCTACGCCCAGGAGATGCACGATAAATGGGCAACCATCCTTTGCGCGACCTCCACCCTGCCTTGACCCTCGGTCTCTTGGAAACCATCCATCACGGAAGTGTCAGCTGGTGATATGGCGTACAGGACAGCCGAATCCGTCTGCTGGCATAGAGTAAGACTTCCTTGTTCTGTTCTGGGTCTAAGCCCACCATGTTGCAGTCGTGTCATTCGGAAAAGGCAACCGCGTAAATGGATATGACGGGCTCATCTGGCTGGCTGTCAGGTTTATTCAATATTGGTGTTGTGATTGACAGTCTAGCTGTTACATGCTGTCATCGAATCGAGCAGCTGATACTACGATATGATAAAGGGATTCTTTGATTAGTGATGCTTATGGGTCCCACGTGTCACAGGTCCGGTTCCTTTCTTTTTGGAGATTCATTGATTTCGGTCCGGACTATTGGTCGACAAAGAGGACAGAGACTGTTCCAGTAGGAATGAATCGAGTTCCGTGTTGAACCTAGGGGGATCATGCTTGGTCGAGTTATAGCCATGTAAACGTAAAAAACGACCTTATCACAGCCGACATTCGCCACTATCCACAGGCAAACAAACAATTAATATACTTCGAAATGCCAAATATTCGAGTGTTCATTTACCGGAGGAATAGCATTAGTCCCGATATAGAATTGAATTCCAGTTCCTCTTTTTGACAGATACTTCAGCCCTATATTAGTAGATACTGCGATTTACACCATAGTATGCTCTGGTTGCTTATTTGAGGCATAGTATAAGGACTTAATTGTTGAATTTTGCTTGTTATTATATACAATTCCTACTGGGTATGTTTACATTGCCGGTATATACATATAACCGTGGCAATATATATCTAATATCGCTACTGCGAACAGCCAGTACATAGATGACACTAATAATATCCAGTATGACCATGGGCATTCAGTTTAGCCTAAACATCTGACCTCACATTCTACCGTACAGTCTCCTTCTCATTCCCACCGGCCACGCCAACCAGATTCCCATACTTCAATGTATTCATAGTAGCAGCAAAATGCGCCGACGCAAGTGACACTGTGAGCATCATTGCTGAATAAATGCCATTGGTACTATCACTGCTCAGAAAGTGACCACGAAGGGCCATGGTTAGAGGCGATGACCGATAAGGAATGCGGCTTTGATTTGATGCCCTCGCTCGGATGACTTCTTTAAGTGTGAGAAGGTCAGTGTTGATTTGTCGAGCTTCTTGCAGTTATTGCGATGTCTGCTTTGGCCTAGGAGTCGAGGAGGATGCTTTATCGTGGCAGTATTCCGATCCGGCTAGATTGACAAACACTAACTTTCCACTGAGGCATGGTTGGAGATAGGATTTGAGAACCTTGTTGACGTGATTCTCTGCTTTTTGTACGGATAGTTCGAACTCGATTTTTTTTTTTTTTTTCGCTTCCGCGGCGTCAATGTTTGTCTGATCTATCTGGTAGTCTGGATTCGGAACGAACTTGCCCTCCGGTGTTTGCATGAAGCCTTTCACGTTCTCTTCTATGTATATACCATTTGCGCGCTTTGCGACAGGCACTAACTCAGACTGTCGCTCGATGACTGCCTCGCAAGCATCGAGCAATGCTCTTGTGACAATCTCAAGCTCCAGTACCGCATGCGTGCGGGAGCTCTGGTTATGCACAGTAGATGTGCCAGTCGCTCTTTACTCTAGACCTCCCGGCAACTCATTGCGGATGTCATTAAAACTTCAACAAGCTTTGGTAGCAATCGGACGCACCCTCACTTCACCACCCTCCAGTACTTCAGTCTCGCCGCGGATATGCGTCTGTTCATCATAACCCTCTCGTAAATGGCATTTGCAGTGGTTATTGAATGAGTCAAATGCCGTATTCTTGCGTAATTTATACATGCGTAGTCCGATACCGAGTCGGGGGGAAGCATCGCAGTTGTCTGCGTTAAGCTGTTCTAATGTCGCGCTGAGTTCACGAGCCGCTGACAGACACAACCCAAACTCGCTCGAGTTGTCAAAGTCGTGATCGATAATCGTGTGTGACTTTCCACTCCCTGAGTGACCGTAAGCGAAGAAATTGCAGGTTTGTCCGGCGAGGACTTGTGGCAGTGTGGGTGCGACTACGGAGTCGAAGATCGCCTTGTTGTTGTCGCTGGCTTCGAATGTTTGGGTAAATGCAGCTTCGCTTTTCCATTAACTTTATCTTTCGGTTTTTAGTAGTGCTATAGACATTGATATTTTTGATATATTGGGGTTGTCGTGCTTGTATTCTCGTTTGATTTCTGGTGTTGTCTCTCGTTCGTCGTCAGCTGGTAGTGGTCGCCATCTTGTAAACACGTTGAACTAATGCATGTCGAAGCCCTTGTGACCGCTCTTGGAAAAGAATATAAAAAAAATTAAGAAGTAGCAAAGACAAAATCGATATGTATTACAATGTAGTCAAGCCTGTCGTAGTAGTGGAGACAAACTACCCTAAGTTCGCCGATGCGGACATTCGGGAATTTCCAATCCCCGCACAACGGTGCTCGGTATTTCGGACTTTGCAACTTCCTGCTGGAACAACATCTCTCCCAGACAACATCGTCGAAATGAACTCGCGGAGGCCATCAAAGCAAGTATCAGTAAGCTAGAATAAATCATGCCATAAATAATATATTTACTGAGAATAGACTCAAGTGCAGCCGCTGTCAGTCAAAAAAGGTAATCGGTCTCGACTCAAGAGTAAGCAAAAATCAATGATGACGAAAATGCCAGATTCGATGTAACAGGGTCGATCCTCGATGCGACAAGTGCGAAGCTTCCGGTGCGGAATGTATATACTTGTCGAGAAAACCACGGGCTAAGAAGCGAAGGTGACCTTTCCCTCCCCCTCGTTTTGGACAAACTATAGTCATTAACGGCTCGCAGTCATGTCACTGAAGCCTACAACCACAACATTCTACTCGGTATACTTCGCCGCCTAGAGCGTTTGGAGGACCATTGTAGACTGGATCGAGATGCAGAGGATACCAGAGATGCATATCCCTCATCAATGTCTGTTTTTTCCGGAGACTCGGACATCACGGGACCCAACAATGACGAGTCTCATACTCCAGCCACGCGAGGAGTGGTTGCTGCAGTGCTGAGCCGAATCAATGACCAAGAGTCTAGATCATTCATCTGTTCTAACGTTTTCAACCACCTAGCGCATGTGAAATCTCGCTTTTTTGAAAACGAACGCTGCATCGAAGCGATCGATGCTGCAATGACAGAGATGGATCGCGTGCAGGATACACATGCAGAAGGTCAGCCTGCATCTGGGATTTCTAAGGAGTTGGCTAAGAAATGGATACACCGTGAGTTCTATTCATATTTGATGTTGACAAATATCTTCCCGCTGATTTATCTGTCTCCATCAAGAGTACTATAATGGATATGAGTTCGAGGGATTCCGGGTTCCCTTGGAGGAAAATTTTGTTATGGCTATCCCGGACTTACTGGAAATTTCTCACGTTCAGTTAGATTACGCATCCCAAATCATTTACTACAACGTTCTTCTCCAAGGGCTTATGCTGAGTATTGATGATTGCCCGGGAAGAGGGGGCATTGTGCAATATCTCTACAATACCTCCATGACGTTGGTTGATGGCTGGCTGGATAATGTCAAGAATACACCCGCGGACCTGTATGCAGCGATCCTCATGGTGAGATAGGTTCCAAGTTTCCCGCACTGAAGAAGATGATGAATTGACGACTCAATTAGTTATCGATGATGCTCGAGGGTTGTAACAGCGAACTTTCATGGAAGCTTTTCGGCCAAGCCTGCGCAATCGCGAGGGCTCTAGGTTATTTCTCCGTTGATGAGACCCCCAATAGACAAACTTTTAACCCCACAGAAGGTGATACTGAAGTAGAAAAGAATCGGAAGCGATTCGAATTCTGGCACCTACTGCGAACAGACTGTCTTTTCCGTCTGTCCTTTGGGAAGCCGGCCTGCATTCCGGAAGGCTCGTGGACAGTAAACCTGCCTGATCCTTCTATCAATGGGGTTGAAAATGAGGCCACGCGGTTTATTCAGATTCATTTTCTGGCATCGATGCGTCTGAACTTGGTCGCGCTCAAATATTTGGAATTGGTGGACTCTAAGCCCAATCCAAATACGGAAGAATATGACAAGATAATCGATAACCTTACTGCAGAAGTACAGTCCCTCATGTCCGATTGGAACACGGTGCGTTGTCCGTCCCTGTAATGAGACCATCGACTGACCCAGTGCAAAGGAGGAATTATCCAGCACGACCACTAACCACATAGATACGTGGTTTTGCATGGATGTCCTGTTCAGCAGTTACCAGATGCTTATCATTTTCTACCAATCGAAGAAGTGCAACCAGGGCAGCGATGAATTACCGCGTCACACCGTGGACATTGCCAGGAAGTCTCTGCAGACATTTCAGTCCCTCCTAGTTTCGGCTCATAAACACGCGCACTTTGGAATTAGGTATATTCCTACTAAGTTAGACTTTCGGTTACCTAGACCTGTGCTGATAAAGGACATGCTTTTTTGCTATGTAGTCTCATCTTGCTTCACCAATTTGTTCCGTTCTTTATCCTGTGCCTCAATATAATTGGATCCCCTGAACGTGGCAGTGCCGAAGCGGATATTGCCTTGGTGGTCTGGACTAGTGATACTGTCAAGAAGGCTGCCAAGGAGCGAGGGGACCTGAGACCGATTATGACCCTGATGGCAGCGATGGCATTGGCTTGTCAACGAGCAAAATCGGGTGGGAATTGACCTGCTGGCCGGTATTCATCGGCGGACAAGAAGAACATGCCATTACATGCGAGACTAGCTCGAAAATACTCATAAATAATCTTGTGTCTATGAAACGAATCACTTCTTGATGTAGAATAACCCAGGGCTTGCATAGTTAACTAGTTAACTAAGTTATCAAATAATTATATAAGCACAGCACGCCGGCCCGACATTCCCCCGCCGCAACCAACTTTGATATCTTTCTCCGGCACACAGCCAACCCATTAGCAGAAGACAGTCCAATTCCATCACAATGCCTCCCAGGCTGCAACTGCTGTCGCTCCCGCGGCCGCAAGGCTGGTTCTCGAAAACTGCCCAGCCTTTTACCTCACCACTGTCGTTCCTGCTCCCGCAGCTGCAGCCGCAAAGCCGCAACGCCCACATCCTCGCTTCGCTTTCCGATAACCCGGGAGCGTTCAGTAAAAAGACTCGACGCGGTCGGGGTCCGGCTTCGGGGAAGGGAAAGACGTCCGGTCGGGGTCATAAGGGTCAGAAGCAGCATGGAAAGGTCCCCACGGGGTTCAATGGTGGACAGACGCCGGAAATTGTGGTTCATGGAGAGCGTGGGTTCACAAACATGTTTGTCTTTCCCTTTTCCTTCTTTAATATTTGGATTTACTTTTACTGATAACGCTTGCAGCTTTACCCCCGATCTGGCCCCCGCAAACCTTGACCGCATCCAAGAATGGATCGACCAAGGCCGCATCGACCCAACCCGCCCCATCACCGTCCGCGAACTCGCCCAATCCCGCTGTATCCACCAGCCCAAAGAAGGCGTGAAACTCCTCGGCCGTGGCGGCGAAGGCACCCTAAAACAACCTATCCACATCGTCGTCTCGCGCGCCTCTGCCTCCGCCATCTCTGCGGTCGAGGCCGCCGGCGGCTCCGTGACGACCCGCTTCTACACGCGCTCCGCGATCGTCCGAATCATGAACCGGGAGATGCACCCGTTCGTCTCGATGGCGTGGACTGCGCAGAGTGGCAGTGAGGAATTGCACAAGGCAGAGGGTGCTGAGAGGGCTGAGGCGTTGACTGAGTCGAATATCATGAAAGAGATGGGATTTCAGTACCGGTTGCCTGATCCGACAAAGCGTCGGGATGTTGAGTATTATCGTGATCCGGCGCATAGAGGGTACTTGAGTCATTTGCTCAAGCCTATGGAGGGTCCCAGTTTGTTCTTCCGCTCGCCAGTGGAGAGGAAGTCGACGGCGGGTGTTAAGAAGGAGAAGGTGTTGCCGGCGAACAGACTTTGGTGATCGTTTTATGGTTAGATGGATTATGGATATCGGGATTTGGCACATCATTGTATAAATATTATCAGGGATATGTATCAATGGATGATTTTCTCAACTACACTGAAGCGTTAAGTACTACTAGAGTGGAGCTTATCTTATGTTTCGCAAGTTGCTTTCATTAGAGCGAGAGAATCATAATAATGATATGGAGCAGACTTTTGCGATAACTCAGCAGAATGGTATAAAACGGAAGAAAAAAAAAAAAAAAAACTGAAATCCCATCAAACGCCATGCCTAACCACGCTTTCGTCACTGTAGTCCATCATAAAACCCGAATTCATCAAAGTAACATCAGAGCGAAAATCATGAACTAATTTAAAATCAAACATGCGAACAATTGAAACGTGAAATGTTCAAATATCGTAAGGGTATCATCCCATAAATCCCAAACACCAGCGCCCGTTCGTCATGAACAACATAAGGATAGAATGAGTGTGATACAGAGGGAAAATGTGACACTTCAGGAAAAAGAGAGAAAAGTAAAGAGAGGTACTTATAGCCTCCAAGGAATTGGCGAACTGCATTCTGAAAATCCGTCCAACCAGCGTGACGACAGAATCTCTCGAATCGTCCAACGCTTCTCAATATCCATCTCGAGACAACCTTTGATCAGCTCGAGCGCATCCTCTCGATCTTGGCGAGTTTTCGGATCGCCAAACCCTCCCAGAACCGATTGATGATCCCATTTACCGGCGATGATATTTGCTTGGACGCGAGGCGTAAAAGCGTCCTGAAACGGCCGTGAGCCGACAACTACAGTGAACACAATAACCCCAAAGGCCCAGATGTCCACAACGGGATCGATGACCCCGTTGGAGGATTGTAGCAGCTCTGGAGAAGCATATTCCAAGCTTCCGGCAATGCTGGTACTTGACTCTGCAGGCCCAATGGTTTTTGGTGGTGGACGGTCTGCATCGTCATCATATGGGTCTGGCGAATCTGGACCGTTGTCCACTGCCATCCATTCTGCCATGCCAAAATCGCAGAGGACAAGGTTCGACGTTTGCGTGCCCTCTACTGGATCGAGAAGGCAGTTCTCGAGTTTAATGTCTCTGTGCACTACCCGTGCATCTTCGTGTAGATACCGCAGCGCACATGCAAGTTGGTAGGTATACTTCTTTGCGAGACTGGTCTCCAGACCATTGCGGTTTTGGCGGATCGAATCGAATAGAGTACCGCCGATAGCGTATTTGGTGAAACAGAATGTCGCATAGTCCGTTTCATAAACAGCATCCAAGGTTAGGATGTTGGGATGGTTGAGATACCGCCACACCCGAACTTCGTGGTCAAACTCTGCCTGAACTTCATCGTTTTCCTTTTCGCTTTTATCCGAGATTTGCTTCTTAACAATCTTGACAGCCAACTGTCGTGGCTCCCCATGTTCCTCCACCTTATATGCCTCCTTCACTGTGCTAAATCCTCCATGGCCTATCGGCTTGCCAAGCACGTATTCCGTCCCGACCATCTGACCTTCGTCGTCGGGCTGTGGAGTAGGCTCTGGCTCTGGACCGCTACTCCACATGGACAGGAACATGCTAGCTGGGGATTTTCCACTCGAGGTAGTAGACCGCCGGCTTCTGTTCGCGTTGCTGCGAAGGCCCCGTGGCTTACTTCCGAAAGGCGTCACGGCGCTACCGGACCAGGAACTGCGGTTATCTAAGGAGTTAGGGGATGCCATGCAAAAAGGAGACGGCATCCCTCTGAATCCTTCCGGGGGAGTTCGCAATTCCTCAGCAATAGGTGATGCAGTAGACACTGATGTCAGAGAATTAGAATTTGCCGGTAGATCATCGTTTGGACTAATCGGAAATGCAGCACGAGGGCTCCCTGGAAAAGCCCGCTGGCTTTGATACCTTCTGGGGCTGGAACCCCAGGTTGGGTACTTTGGCTGGGATGCTTCATCATCCTCCTGCGACAAAGCGTTCCTCAACCCTGAGCTTCGTGGCTGGAAGCGTTGAAAATTTCTAATACTGGTATTGCGTTTCGGTAAAGGTTCTCCCAGCGGCTCCTGCTGGGCGCTATCGCGACTGGCGTTATGGTCGAAATTGAAGGACGGACTCCGATTCTGGATGAAGCTCTCGAGAGGTGACGCACGAACATCATCTGGTTTGTGCGGATAACTGAGATCTTCGTTCAGGTGCTCTTCATGGCGGGGTACTGAGATAGGAGGGGTCGCTGAATGTAGGCCATTTATCGCACTATTATCTTCATCAGTACCGCAACGGGGTGTGTCATAATCGTAGAACTTGTTGGTATGATCGCCCTCGATACCGTCGCCATGATCCCGTACTCTGTTCTCATTTTCATTCCGCCACTCGAGATCGTGTGCCCGTCCAAACGACGTGTCCAACCTCAGCCTCGCCAATGTGTTGCTCTCAGTCTGAGCCATGCCCTCAGAAAGCACAAAACCAACTCCGAGTGAATTTTCGGAGTGTGTAGTGAATCCAGTTGGGTGTATATTCGCCTTCGTATGCGTCTTTCTGCGTTTGCGTCGCTTGAGAAAGATGATGGTAGGAGACAAAAAGATGGAAGATGGGGCAAAAGATGAGATGGAAGGGAAACGAAGATCAGACGGTGGGATACGTCAGATATATACGAAGGAGGGTGGGCAACTGGTTGTCGTCGATCGAAGTTTTCGAGAAATTGTAATGCTGCTAGCCCCAAACAGGAAGTGGGTTTCTCCAGATTCAAGAGGTTAACGGCAAAGATTGGCGCAAAAAGTGTGCTGCCTTTTTTTTCTTTGTATCTTGTCCACTTCACTTTAATTCTAATATTGATTTAATAATAGCAGAACAACGTCAGAGAATGCAATGAAAATGTTTTCGGGTGATGACGGAGACACGAAAACGATGGCCGCCTGCGGGGAGGGAGGGATTACAAAAGTATGCAGCCTTCCTGCCAATCAGTGCACGGATCAACCCTCCTCCGCCTGTGTGGAGGCCCTAAGCAGTGGCCCCATCTAATGACACTAAACTTAATTGGTTACCCAGACCTCTTGGCAGGTCTTGGCACCGTGCACCTTCTTTCAGCCTGACTCCCAAGGCATATACATTAGGTACGAGATGGGTAAGCATCAGGACCCGCAGACAGCCGCGCGCAAGGGGCGTCTGTTTTGTCGCAGAGTCCCCGAGACAACCTCCTTTTGGCTGTTTCGAAGTCCGGGGAGCTTAACTCTCAGTCGGGCCTTAAATCCAGCTTAATTTGACACGGCCTCGGTGCATCTGTTTCTATTCGGGGTGCCTGTCTTATTTTTTTTTTTCCCCTTCTATTTTTCTCTTTTTATTTTTTTTAACCATTCTGTTAATTTTACCTTGCTTGTCCCTTTTCTGACGTCGCTCTGGTAGTAGTCTTCGTCAATTGTCTATCCAACCGTCGTCGAACCCTCTCCGCCGTGGTTGTTCGTAGCGCTTACTTTCTTTTGCAACTAAAACCCATTAGGGCTGTACTTTTCGTTGTGGAATATCTCACTATATTCCCTCCTTTTCTTTGCGCAGTTAACGCCAAAGCGCGCCGGCTTTCTCGCTCGAGCCCGACACCCCTGAATTCATTAGTTGTTCTTTGATCGCACGTTCTTCGGCTACGCGACTGAGACCAACCGGTCGAGTTCAAAGTGTTGCCATTATGTCGAGACCTCGGATTGTTCGAGCTGGTATGTTCCATTTACTGGTGTTGGTGAAAGTTTGGACGATCAGTGGTATATGGTTCTAACACAAAATTATCTCAATAGATACGCTTGACTTGCAGGATCAGAACGCACCTTCGGCAAAAGATCATACGACCCAGAACGTAAACCCGGCTCCTCTCGATGGTGGCATGGCTCCCCACCAAGAATTGTCGATTCGCCATGCAGACCAAGATACACGCGCTGAAATCATGCACGGGCCAACTGGCGAGACCGATGGCTACGGTGATGGTATTGATATGTATGATGATGACGAGGATCCCGATGAGCGCCATCATGATTTGGGCGGAGGGTCTTCCGAGGATGGCGATCTTACAGATGGGGAAGGTGATGATCTTATGGACGATGATATGGATAAGATCTCAAGTTCCCCGTCAATTGATGATGGTGCGTTGGGTCGACACTCTTTCAAGGCTTTCCTGGGCGGTGATACGTGCTCGAATCCTTCCGTATCAGGAGTCTTGCAGTAATTGAGGGAACCATGACTTACATGTTGTGAGCAGAGGATATCGATTTCGAATTTGTATATGCGCTTCATAACTTCGTCGCTACTGTGGAAGGACAAGCCAATGCAGCAAAGGGAGACACTATGGTTCTCCTTGACGACAGCAATACCTACTGGTGGCTTGTGCGGATTGTGAAAGACGGCAGTATCGGTACGTGATATGACAATTCTGTGACACTGGTAGCCACTCACACTACGCAGGATATCTCCCAGCAGAACACATCGAAACACCCACCGAAAGATTAGCAAGGTTAAATAAGCATAGAAACGTCGATGTAGGTGGAACCTCATTATGTTTATTTTCTGTTTCTAACCTATGTAGCTTTCTGCGACAATGCTTGGCGACAACTCAGAGAAATCCAAGAATCCGTTGAAGAAGGCAATGCGCCGTAGGAATACGAAAAACGTTGCTTTTGCTGCCCCTACATACATCGAAGCATCTGACGTCGAGTATTCCACCGAGGACGAGGACGATGGCGGAGGTTTCTACATTGACGACGAGGATATAGCAGAAACAGATGATATTGAAGAACGCCACGACGAAGACATAATAGTCGAACCTCTCAGACCGAAGTCGCAGCGAGAGAAAGAGGCACAGGAACCAGAGACCGTTCGAGAGAGCCAGGAAACAGAGCGTCAGAGCCCGGAACCGAGGCAATCCGCTGAGGAAGCCATGGAATCAGAGGGTAATGCCTATGAAAATCTTGCAAACAGGAAAGAGATGCTGACTCGTTACTGGAAGGTGGTACCGTCAGCAGGTCCAGAAATGGCACTGTGCGGAACACGGATTCATTCTTCAAGGACGACACGGCCGAACCGAAGAAGATATCATTGACACCTAATCTTCTGCGTGATGAAGGAAATAGGGCTGCCAATAGTGAGAGCAAAGAGGTAAGCACATAGATGTCATGGAGCTTTCCTAAGCATAAACGCTGATCATGTTTCACGTTCCAGGACCGTAGTAGTATGGAGGCAATTGAAAAGGTGCTTGCCGCCGATGACAAGAAAGAGGATAAGAAGCGGAAAGAGAAGAAACCGGGGATGCTCAGTGGACTGTTTAAAAGAAAAGACAAGAAGAACAAGGCGCCTGAGAATGAGGGCGAGGAGCAGGAGAAACTTTCGTCGGAAACTTCACGGTCACCAAAAGCGTCTCTGGACTCAGTGTCGTCTCCCGAAGGTCGATCACCGAACAATGGCAAGCTCCAAAAACAGCCACCTGGGTCTATATCTCCTACGAAGAGGGATCCTCAGTATGAATCAGCCGCCCAGGATGCTACGAGGGCTGTTCAAGGGGCAACATCGACAACGAAAGGAAGTCAATGGATTAGACAGGTGGTACCTGAAGAGGAAGAAGATGATGATGAAGATGAAGAGCCTGTCCAGTCTCCTCGCTCGAGATCTTCAGAGGATACTCGGGAAACTGTGTCATCACCTCAGAGTACATCAAGTCCTATCAAGCAGACTTCCCCTCCTGTGCAGTCTCGCAGCATTGATGCCGTAGCTTCACCTATTGAGGCGAACAATAGACTCTGGCAAGACGCATTTGGGGAAAAGGCATCAATCCAACAACAGCCAATTACATCTCCTCCCAAGAGAATCCCATCCACACAAAACCTGGGCCCCCAAAACCGAGGTCTAGAGTCACCTATTGATGTGTCGCCAATTGACCATCAAGCTCCCAGTGGTGCACCAGGGCTCATTTTCGATTTGTCGCCCGGGAAGCGCTCCGACTCTCCAATTTCCCCGCCTTTGTCTCCAGGTGCCGATACCAACGGTCAGAACACCGACGACGCGCGTTCTGCCACGTCTCCTCAGAACCCAACTTGGAGCGATGCCAGCTTGCGATCCTATTTGGATGATGATAATGATATTCGTGACTTGTTTATCATTGTTCATGACAAGTCTAATGTTCCCCCGGCGGGACCTGATCATCCGATAACAGGAAGTCTATTCAAGGAGGAGAGCAAAAGACTGAGAGAGATGACCGGTAGACTTGACGGGATGCTGGCTGAATGGGTAGGCCGCAAGTCGCAGAGTCAAATGGTCGACCGTGTCTAAAAATCTTGATCTATAAACATTTGCATACTGATCTGTTCGCATATTTCAACCGCCATATATATTGGTTCGACGACAGCCAATACATACGCCTATGTTATTAGTTAGCAGCTTATATGTGCTGGACGCATAGACTGTCTTTAATTTTTCCTTGATCGATCCTCTGTTGATTGGAGTTTTCCTTCGTTTCTCTTATCCTCTCCTTTTGTGTACTATCTATCTCTCATGTTCTTTTTATTTTATTTTGTTTTTCTCTTTTCAAGCTCTACAGCCTGTTCTGTTATATAAAGTCCTGTGCTGTTTAGTTTTTGTCTGACTTATTGTATGTTATTCATTTCGACTGGGATACCCCAAGGCAAATACAGTTTTTTTTTGTCTTCTCCTTTTGTAGCCTTGCTCAGACATATCCGATCCAAGGATGTGAGCTGCCCATAACTTGATCATAGGCAGTGCTGCTTGCGCTAGTGAGCGACTGATGCCTGCGCGGAAATCAAATACTCCATCTTGCCGATAGTCATTCAACCCTCTACAACAGCAGCAAGGAATCCAACCATTCTATCATCGTCTTCAATACAAATATTTGTTAAATATTTAACTATAGTTTCCGTCACTTGCATCGCGACGCTCAATACGCCGGTGAGGCAAGTTACGGCAGTGCTCCCCCGAGATTCATCTATCAACCGAACGGATACAAAACCCCTCAGGAACAGCCTCGTCAGTTGTATAACCAGAACCAAGGTGCTGCGTTTTACAACGCTCCACCTCACCCTCGGATGAGCATGGCTATTACAGCGGTCCGGAGGTGTCGTGCCAGAATCGGGGATGGGGAACAATAGGGATTACTAGTAAGTCTTCTCACCTTCCTTTTAGTGACTGTTGAGCATCATACTAGTATATACTGCTTGTACAGCGAGCCACCATAAGACTACTATTACTCCAGACCTTACAGCTCAAGACTGAGAAGCCCGTACCGAAGGCTATACTACGACGAAGACCGGGGTCTCTTTGGTAATCTCTTAGGCCTAGGGCACCACGATAATTACGATAATTATGATCATTACGATCATTACTACTGCGAAGACGGCCGCCACCACCATAATAATGTAGTTCTGGAATGAAGTCCTGGGTGCACTTTTTGGAGGTCACCACCATGATCTGCACCACCACCACCACCGTCATCATCATCATCATCATAATCATGGACACACCATTAGTGCGCTCAGGAATAGCCATCATACTTACTAGCTGATTTCGAACGGTTAAGTAAATAGTTGATATTGCTGTTTTGTGAGCTTTAGATTATGATTTTTTTATACATGAAAATGAGAACCCCAGATACAGAGTACAATGATATGGACAAAATCCTTGACAGTTGATGTTTCTATTTCAGGCCAATCATCGGGCTCTCCTTCCCTATCGGCAGCTGAGTCATCAAGATAGACAATCGCCCACCGATCTGCGGCTATTGACCCCACACTAAACTATGATTGGTCCGATTGGTGTGGTTCACCGGCTGGGTCCGGCGATAAGGATGCGTCATGCACTTGATAAGGAGAGCACATGACCGGGTGAACAAGGCTCAGCTGAGAATGGCCCCTTATGACCGTTTTCGCCCTCCGCTATTTTCCTGCTGTGTTTCCTCCATCTCTTCTATTTGTGTTTTTTGGATCATCTCTTTCGAGTTTTTAGACTTTTTCTACTTTTTGTGTTGAGACGACCGGTGTTGTTCGAGTCTATTCCCCGTCGTCCTTCCTTATCTCGCCCTCGCCTCATCATATCCGACACAAGTGTAACAATAATGCCTCCTCCATTATTACACTATGTAGATTCAGCAGCCGCTGCTATCCTCCCTCAACATTGTGAACCGTCTTCGTCTTTGCTCGCCGTTGTTTCCTCCTACCTTCACATATGCATCCCGACACCGCTCGCCCTTGTCTCCTCCGTCCTTGGAACATGCAGCATTGTCTCGTGGCTCTTCGCCCAACTCCCTCAAATATACAAGAATTACCAAATAAAATCGACATCAGGGTTATCAATATACTTCCTAATCGAATGGTGCCTGGGTGATGCGAGCAACCTCGTTGGTGCGCTGCTCACACGACAAGCTGGTTGGCAGGTTGTGGTTGCGGGTTACTATGTCCTGGTCGATCTTACTCTTGTTTTCCAGTTTTTCTGGTATACATACCATCATCACCAACAGATTATATACGAGAGTGTAGCTTATCCTCGCCACGACGGCGGTGCAGGAGGCGCTTTGGATGGAGTTTCGGTGTCTGAGGATACTTCGGTCCGTCGTTCGGTGGCCCGGGAGGCTAGTACGAAGAGGTCGGATACCAAGGGCGCCAATTACTCTGTTGAGGGGGTGTCTCCCTCTTCTTCATCGAACGGCCACCAAATTTCATCCTATTCCAATGAGAAACGCCATCTCGTTAAAGCAGGAAACGGATCTCCTCCTAGCTTCGTATCTCCCCGTGCCCTTCTCATGGCTTCAATGCTCTGCGCAGTCGTTACAAACGCCTCTCCTACCGAAACCACCCCCGAACCATCAATCACTCACAAAGACTCCCTGGAAATCATCGGCCAGGTTATCTCCTGGATGTCCACATTTCTCTACCTCGGCTCTCGTCCTCCGCAACTCTACAAGAACTACTGCCGCAAGAGCACCGCCGGACTCTCCCCTCTCCTCTTCATAGCCGCTTTTGGCGGTAACCTCTTCTACTCCGTATCTCTCCTAACAAACCCCTACGCCTGGAACGATTTCCCTCCCTACGGAGGCGGCGGCTGGGCCGATGCGGACGGAAGCAACCGCCTTGATTGGATCAGCCGCTCGACACCGTTCTTTCTCGGTGCTTTTGGTGTACTCTTTTTCGACGGTTTCATGGGTGTTCAATTCCTTATGTACGGATCTAAAGACGATGAATCGGTGATGGCAGTTGACGGTGAAGAAGATAACGACCCCAAGGACGACCGTAGTGCTCGCTGGACTCGAGTTCGGGGCTGGATGAGAGGGTGGATTCCCTCTATTTCTCCAGTACGTCGGCAGCAGCAACATGCTCAGGAAAGTCGGGCTTTATTGGGGCAGGAGTCGGAGAGGTATGGCACTGTCTAGATCTCTTTCTGACGATTCAATGATCTCTTTCCGTTTTGTTTCTGCTTTGTTTTTTCTTGGATTATTCTCAGAATAACCTATAACATGAATCATGTAGTGCCTATATGCATTTGTTTACCCTTTTCTGTTTGGCTTTGTTCTGTTATGTCGTTATTGTCCCTTATTATCGTTGGACATTTGGACCTGGGATTATTGGTTTGGGATAGATACACTCATACTGCATACCTTTCTCTATTAGCGTTCCTGTGTTTACTAATTACTATTACAACTAACTACCTAGCATCGGCGAATACATCAGTCAATCAGCTTAAAACCTCACCATTTCAGGTCAATCATTAACAATTAGAATTTCATTCTGTACAAATATCTAACACAAATATATCACGTTTCAGTAAAAATATATTGACGGTCATCTAAATATAAACACACAGCCTAGCAAACGCTCTGGGAATGGCGATGCAAACCGCCCCAAAACAGTCTGTAAGCAACCAAGAGAGCCTGCCAAGTCCGAAAACCCCCTCCAGCACTTGGTGGGGGGAGAGAACAGGGCCTGCGTATTGACATATTAAGTAGGAGGTTGTAAGCTAACATGGATAGAGAAGCAAAAGGAAGGCAAGAGAAAAGTTGAAAATGGGCAACAAGGCTCTAAGGACCAATGTGCGAAGGAAGAAGGGAAAGAAAAAAAAAGGTTGCTCGGTCATGGTCGAAATCACACAAGAGGCATGTTCGTTCATTGTTCATAGTCTTCTTTTTTTTCCGCATTGGACCCTTTCATGGTTTAAAAGATGGAGGTCAGGAGCGGAACACGCAGAAAAGAAATATGGCGATCACAATGATCGCCTAATGATACACTGTAAGCATCAAAATATTAAAGCAGCTTGCAACGCGGCATGACCAGCATCGACCGAATCTGTTGTTGAAAAAAAGGCGCTTACCAACTCCTCACTCCAAAGGGGCGCAGAACTTTACCCGACAGCACCGGGCGTAACGACATAAAAATGGACCAGGCCATGCAGTTCATACACGAACCACTCGACAGCTGGTACATTTAGTACATGGGCGCCTTCGAATCTTGGACACCACGTCGGATAACGTCTTCGATGCGCCATCGGGGAGGGAGGATGGAGGGGGACCGCTTGCTGCGCCACTCCTTCTCCATTTCCGGAGGAGGTGCCAGTTCTCCATTTTCCGGCAGTGCACCGCCGGCAATACCGGTGGAGAATTTTATTTGGAGAACATTTCCAATCTCATCACAGGCGGTCAAGATTCGGTCGAGATCTTCTTTGGTGTGAGCGGCGGAAACGCAGAAACGAGCTCGAGACGAGACCAAAGGAGTCGCAGGATAGCCAACAACGACGACAGAGATCTTTCTTCGGAGCATCTCGTGGGAGAAAGCGGGCATTTTGGCAGGGTTGAAGAGAAGAACAGGTATAATTGGCGAATCGTCGTGACCATATACTATAAAGCCAAGACGCTTCAAGCCGAGACGAAGGTATCGCGAATTGAAGGCCAGACGCTGTAGCCGCTCTTCGCCTTGACCAGGAATAATCTCACCATTGATAATTCGAAGAGCAGAGGAAATCTGCGCCAGGACAGCCGGAGCCGGCGATTCTCCAAAGATAACGCCAGAGTTCGTGGCACGCAGCTTGTCAATCATGACCTTATCACCGGCAATGTACCCGCCATTAGCTCCGAAGGACTTGGTCAGAGTGCCCATCAGGATATCCACTTCACGGGTATCGATGCTGAAGTAGTCACACACACCACGGCCCCGAGGACCGATGGCACCGATCGAGTGAGCTTCATCAATGAAAAGGTGGAACTTGTAGCGACGCTTCAAAGCAATAAGACCGGGCAAGTTGCACATGGAGCCTTCCATCGAGTAAAGACCCTCAACGACCACAAGGATCTTCTTCCATGGACGATGGGTCCGAGGCTGGCCTTGGGAGATAGCTTCCCGCAACTTGACTTCCAAGTCTTTCATGTCATTGTGCTTAAACATGCCAATGGACGCACCCGAGAGACGGGCCCCAAAGCGAATCGACGCGTGGTTCAGTTCATCCGAAATGATTAGGCAACCTTTGCTAACTAGGGCAGGAAAAACGGTTGCATTGGTACCGAATCCCATTGAGAAGATCATCGAGGATTCTTTACCCACAAATCTGGCAACCAAATCCTCCACCTCTGTATGGAGGTCTTGCGTTCCCACTTCGGCGCGGGTGCTGGGAGCGGCGATACCATACTTTCTCGTGGTCTCCTCAGCGTAATCCGCACACGGACCTTCGGATTGAGCGAAACCCAGGTAGTTGTAAGAACTCAGGTTGAGTGTATCGGTGGTAGTACCCGTGAAATAGAAGTGCTTGTTGTGGTCATCCGTTTTGCGGTCAATTAAGCTAATGGTTCGTCCCGGGACACCGGTCGTGGGCCGGTCGAAGCAGTCGTTAATACGCAGCTTGAGACGGCGAACATAGAAGTTATCGAAATCACTGTTGAGGGCGCCGTAGCCATTCCGTGGCTTCAGGTGTCGATAGTTCTCTTCGCGGAAACGCTTACCAAAGAAGTCACGGACGTGACCAAAGGCGATTAGGATTAGATAACTGATGTAGGTGGTAATAAGATAATAATAAGGCGGTTCGTCCATCACGGGCTCCGGGAAGACACCACCGGGGTGTCGACTCGAATACCGGTGGTTATGATGACCGATGGGACCGAACTGCGCATGTTGTTTGGCTAAGCGGCGCGCCTCTTCGGGCGACGGAGGCTGAAAGAGCGTGGTGGGCGGTTCGTCCATGTTGGGATTGTCCGCCGTAGCTGTAGAGAGAGAGATAGTCGGTAATGACAGTGAGGCTGAGCTTATCGGAGGAGTAGAGGGACTAGGAGTATTCCCACTGACGGACTGGAGGGCCGCCTGGGCAGTCTGAGGTTCAAACTTGGATTTAGGCGAAGACGAGAAGAATTGGCTCAGACGATTGGGGGGCTTGATGGGAATACCGCCCTTTCCGGGGATCGAGGAAGAAAAGGACGGCGAGTTGGGAGAATCGGTGGTGGTGGAAGAGGAAACCGCAGATCGACGAGGCATCGCAGGAAAGAGCCAGGGAAAAGCGGAAACGGAACAGGGCGATGTCAACACCGGAGACAAGAGAGGCTAGACTGCGCTTGCCCGGTGGAGTGTTGACGATGAAGTTTGAGACTGACAACGACGATAAATTCGTCTTCTAAAATCTCCCCTTTTTCTCGACCACTTCTTGTTTTCTTGTCACGAGTGGTGTCTCTGTGGGCGGCAATATGTGGTGGCTGAAGCTGATTCTGTATAGACCAAAGCTGGTCAGTTTCAGAAGATTGATAGTGAAGCAGGTAAGTGAGATTAGATATTTTCAACAGCGCTGGAATGTAATGTACATAATCCAGGAGAATGAGTTGAAGCAGGAGAGGTAGAAGAGGGAAAAGAAAAAAAAGGCAGACAAACCGTTGTTGAGTAGCACCCGAGGACTCCGACCTGTGCACAAAATGTATAATCAAGTTATGCCTTGTTGTGCACGTGGGAAGAAAAAAAAGAAAAGAAAAGAAAAGGGCACGCAGCCCAGAGAACTGCAGAATTCAATTCACGCAACTGGCAAAATGGACTAGAAATGACCGAGGAAATCAGATCAATTGAAGAGATCGAGAATACAATTCAGAGGAAAAAGAGAAAGAAGAAGACAGAGAGAGAAGAGAGAAGACACGATGAAATTAATGAACACAATGTGGACTCTTACTCGTATTGTCACGGTGGAGGCTGGGCCGGAAGGCCGGTGAGTTGCAATTCCGGTATTGATACGTATGGGAGTTGTACCGGAGAGTGGATAAGCCTAGTTTAGCCCCTGATCGATTCTTTGTTTGCCCCTGCAGAATAACACACTTTACTTGTAGTAGTGTGGTCCAAGTAGGAAAGGCTAATAAACAAGAGACTGGAAAGAGTAATAACCATGGCTAGATTGATCAATTGGGACGCAGCATCATACTGTACAGAGTAATGGGCGAAAAAGGGGCTCCGCGGATGCAAGGCAAAGCAGAGAGCAGCACTCTGATACTGTCCTGATACTCGTTATGAAGCTCTTCTCATAGGAATGTTTGTCCTTGCTCTCATGTATCTACTCCGTATGTACTCTGTCGATGCTCACTGACAGGACACGTTGAGAATGGTCCAGTAAACATCCGGAGTAACTAACGTAACCCACTAGCGAGCGGCCACTACAAGCCAGCGGCCACCCGGAGTATTGCATACAAAATGGCACTTCTCGGGACCTCGAAATCACAACTAAAGTTATAAGTGTTCTATTAAAGGCCATGACATCTAATATTGATGCATTGTAGAAGCCTCCTTGTTTTGTCTAGAACTTTTAGAATTCTTTTATCATCTGAAATATAGTGTTATTCCCAATACAGCTGTATTTAATGCTGTCTCTATGTATTGAAAAGAACTGAATATGTTATGGAATTTTGGGGTTAACCTCTGCTTGTGTACGTCGAAATAACTGATATTCCAATTTCCAGGCCCTACCAATGTGTTATTGCTGAGATATTGAGGTCTTAAAAAGTGCCATTTTGTATGCAATACTCCAGGTGGCCGCTGGCTTGTAGTGGCCGCTCGCTAGTGGGTTACGTTAACATCAGTTGGAGCCTCTGGAATAAGGTATCAAGGCATTAAGGCATTAAGGTATGCAGGGATGGATCGCCTCAGCTTACTCTACTACAATGAACGACAATACAATATCATAAGAGAGATTTATTCGTCTCGCCTAATGATCTTTATATTGAGCATCTAAGATCCTACCCTGACAATATCACTTCCCACTCCCAGAACTACTACCACTGCTATCGCTTTCCGCGGACGGAATCTGGACCACCCGGTGTTTTCCGCGGTTCCACGCTGACAGCTCAAGCGTTCCTGGTGCTTAATTCACTTTCCTTCAACAAGGCTTTCCAGTCCAGGTTGGAATTCGAACTGTCTTTCACCCATTGTCTTCAGTTGCTGGCTGCGCTGTCAATTGGTCGCTCTAACGCACCACAACACCAACTAGGAACTGCTTCTTCCTTTACTTCGGATCCCGGGTATAGCACCTTTAATAATGCCTTCTATCAACGGACTAGACAATCATGACGGTTCCAGAGAACTATGGCGACACTCGTCTCCACAAGACACCAAGATGTATGACTTCATGAAAAGAGTGAGCCAAAAGTATGGTGTCTCTCTTGACGGCTACCATGATTTGTGGCAATGGAGTGTCTCGGAGCCCGCTAAATTCTGGGAGGATGTTTGGCATTACACCGCTGTGAAAGCTCATAAACCATATGAAACGGTGAGCATGTCATACCCCCATGGCAATAACATTTCTTAACTAGAAGTCCACAGGTTTTGGAATCAGACCAGCAGCTCTTCCCCAGACCAGCCTTCTTTGCCGGTGGCAGGCTCAACTACGCTGAGAATCTTCTCTATCCAGCCAGCTCTCCCAATGAGAATGCAGTAGCCGTTATCTCCGCTACTGAGTTGGATCGTGAATATGTCTCGTGGAAAGAATTACGGGACCGGGTACGACAGTGTGCCAATGCCCTCAAGGAGGCTGGACTGCAGTCAGGGGACCGCGTAGCCGGTTTCCTCGGCAATCATGTCAACACTGTTGTCGCCATGCTGGCGACGACCTCCATAGGCGCTTTCTGGACTGGCGTTTCCCCTGACACTGGAGTTCATGCCGTGTTAGAGCGTTTGAGACAGATAGAGCCAAAGATTCTCTTCGCAGACAACGCATCACTATACAACGGTAAAGTCCACAGCGCTCAAGCCAAGGTCCAGCAGATTGTTTCTGATCTGCTGCTTCTGGAACGGCTGGTCGTGTTCGAGACAATCAAGTCTCATCAATTCGACCTTGCGGAGCTGCAGCCTCAGCAGGGAAAGGCTTATAGCTACGATGAGTTCCTGTCGACGGCTAGCAATCCATCAGCTCCGTTAGAATTTGCAAGCTTAGAGCCTGACCATCCAGTGTATATCCTGTACTCCTCGGGCACAACCGGGGCTCCGAAGCCAATTGTCCATGGTGCTCTGGGGACACTGTTGCAACACAAAAAGGAGCACGTTTTGCACTGCGATATCTGTCCCGGTGATCGCTTGCTTTATTTTACTACAGTTACCTGGATGATGTGGCACTGGCTTATCGGGGCTTTGGCTAGTGGTGTCACCATTGTCACCTACGACGGTTCTCCTTTCCGGCCATTCGATGCTGAAGGAGGAAATGGAGAGATGGCAATGCTGCGTCTCATCGATGAACTGCAAATCACACACTTTGGGACCTCTGCTAAGTACCTTTCTATCCTGGAGCAGGCGTCTCTAAACCCTAGGAAACATCCTTATCGACCAGTGACTCTACAGACTCTAAGGGCAATCTTCAGTACCGGCTCACCTCTTGCCCCTTCGACGTTCGAATATGTCTACTCATCCGTCCACCCTGACATTATGCTGGGCTCTATTACCGGTGGCACTGACATCTTGTCGTTATTCTGTGGAAGCTGTCCCATTTTGCCTGTTCACAAAGGCGAAATCCAATGCCGCTGTCTGGGGATGGCCGTTCACGCTTTCGATTATGCCGGAAAGGATATAAGCGCGTCTGCAGATCCAGGAGACCTTGTCTGCACGACACCATTTCCAGCCCAACCCGTCATGTTCTGGCCACCTGGCCCGGTGGGAGCGGAGAAGTACCGAAAGAGCTATTTTGACGTTTTCGGATCCTCGGTCTGGCACCATGGAGACTTTGTACGCCTCAACCCTGTTACATGGGGCGTAACAATGCTGGGTCGAAGCGATGGAGTCTTAAAACCCGCTGGCGTCCGGTTCGGCAGCGCAGAAATCTACAACGTCCTTCTCAAACACTTCGCAGAGGAAATCGAAGACTCGTTATGTATTGGCCGCCGACGAGAAGGAATCGACACAGACGAAATTGTCGTCCTGTTCGTGAAGCTAGCCTCGAACAGTCATGCTAATCCAATCATACCTGCGGAGCTTGCGGCACACATCCAGGGTACAATCCGCAAAGAACTGAGCGCGCGTCATGTTCCAGCTGTTGTGGCCGCTTGTCCGGAGATTCCTGTGACTTCCAATGGCAAGAAAGTCGAAAACGCAGTGAAGCAGATCTTGTGTGGATTGAATATTAAAATAGGAGCAAGCGTTGCCAATGCTTCTTGTCTTGATTGGTATCGCGCTTGGGCTTTACAGAATCCTTGATTTCTTTCGTCTTTGCTCTGCAATTTCCCAATAATGTATTCAACATATTGACATTGAATAGATAGATTGTACACCCATTAAAATTCATATCTTTCTAATCCTCTCAGCTTCATTACTCAGTAGAAGACTGTCTGAATTTCTAGACTGTCCGTTAATAACACAACGTTCCTCTGCCTTCCGGCAGCAACCTTGGATATATGTAAGCTAAGCGAACATAGATCTGAATACAAAATTCAAGTATAATAGTCCCGACTACTCGAAAGAAATCGCATTTTTGCAGGATCGTATCGAATTGTACCGCTTTCAAGTTCAACAAGGAGAAGAATGGACATGCGCTCGAACACAACCGATTAGATAAGCATACGGCAGAAGACTCCGGTCCGAATTGTTCTTGGCCGCCGCAGCGAACAAGTCCTCGTGCAGTTCTTACGCAAGAGGTGAGAAACTGCTTTAAACCTCTTGAAATTGTGATTTTGAAATATACTCGGAGCAATGCGTCCGTCTGTCTTGCGGGCCATCGAGTCCGCGAAGCCGTTGGCTCGCGTGCCTCGTTCAGTGTCCAGAAGCTTTTCTACGGTTAACCAGTCAACCGTCAAAGTAAATGAACATCATGCAATTATGCTTTTATCTTTTTCGGACGTTGTCTAACCAAAGCATCTTTTCTGAGATAGGACCCCGCTGAGTTAGATCAAATCACCACACTATCCAATGGAGTCCGCGTCGCCACCGAGTCTCTACCAGGACCCTTCGCCGGCGTTGGGGTCTACGTCGATGCCGGATCCCGCTACGAAGACGAGAGCCTGCGGGGTGTAAGTCACATCATGGACCGATTGGCATTCAAGTCGACCAAAAAGCGCTCGAGCGATGAGATGTTGGAGTCCCTCGAGGCGCTGGGAGGAAACATTCAGTGCGCTTCGTCCCGGGAGTCGCTGATGTACCAGTCTGCCAGTTTCAACTCCGCAGTGCCGACGACCCTGGGTCTGCTGGCTGAGACGATTCGGGATCCGTTGATTACTGAGGAGGAAGTGTTGCAGCAGCTGGCGACTGCGGAGTATGAGATTGATGAGATCTGGGTGAAGCCGGAGCTTATTCTGCCTGAGTTGGTGCATATGGCCGCGTATAGGGATAACACATTGGGTAACCCTTTACTGTGCCCAAGGGAGAGGTTGGGTGAGATCAACAAGGCTGTGGTGGAAAGGTACCGGGAGGCGTTTTTCAACCCCGACCGGATTGTCGTCGCTTTTGCTGGAGTTCCGCACGAGGAGGCCATCAAGCTTACGGAGCAATACTTTGGAGATATGAAGGCAAGACAGCAGGGTACTGGCCCCGTCCTTTCGGGCAGTGGTATTGACACCACGCTTTCGGATTCCGAATCAGCCGCGAGGGAGGGCCAGGTGCCTACAGTCCCTCAGTTCACTCCGTCATCAACGGTATCCAGCGGAGCTGCTTCGGAGTCAACAGAGTCTAGCTTCCTCTCGAAACTCCCGTTCCTGAAGAGCCTCTCTGGCTCATCGTACAAGAACAGCTCTGTTTCCCCTCTAGATCCTTCAATGGTTGAGCCATCAATGTTGGACTTGAACCGGCCTTCCTACTACACTGGCGGATTCATTGCCCTCCCTCCAATCCCTCCGCCTGCAAACCCCATGATGCCTCGCCTGAGTCACATTCACCTTGCCTTTGAGGCTCTCCCCATCTCCAACACCGATATCTACGCGCTCGCTACTCTCCAGACCCTCCTCGGAGGTGGCGGGTCCTTCTCCGCCGGCGGTCCGGGTAAGGGCATGTACACTCGTCTTTACACCAACGTCCTCAACCAATACGGATGGGTGGAAAGCTGCATCGCCTTCAACCACAGCTACACAGACAGCGGCATTTTCGGTATCTCGGCCTCATGCAGCCCCACCCGCACCACCGAAATGCTAGAGGTCATGTGCCGCGAACTCCACGCTCTATCCCAAGACAGCGGCTACTGGGCCCTGCAGCCCCAAGAAGTCAACCGCGCCAAGAATCAACTTCGCTCCTCTCTCCTGATGAACCTCGAGTCTCGCATGGTCGAACTGGAGGACCTAGGCCGTCAAGTCCAGGTCCACGGCCGCAAGGTCAGTGTGAGCGAAATGTGCCGTCACATCGAGGCACTAACAGTCGAGGACCTGCGCCGTGTTGCCCGCCAAGTCTTTGGCGGTGATGTTAAGAACCCCGGTCAGGGTACCGGGAAGCCGACAGTGGTGATGCAGGAGGGTGAGCTTGAAGGCTACAGGCTTCGGCCGTTCCCTTGGGAAGAGATTCAAGAACGGATAGCGCGGTGGAAATTGGGAAGAGTGTAGACAGTGGTTGGTCTTGGGCTCGGGTATGACATTTTCTTTACTCTTTTCTTAATCTGCACGGTTTGGTGTATTATATAGAGAAAAAGGTGTGGGTAGCGTTGTTGGCACGAATTACGGTATTTGATGTCCGGTGTACTGTATTTAGAGATGGCAATATGAATGTATACTACGCACTTGTTCTCCTCTCCCCTTATTCTTCTCCTATCAAGAACTCTGTTTTTGCCATCGTTCCTCGCCATCGACGTCATTACAACGAAACACTGTCGAACGGAATATATAAGAAAACAGAAATCAAGTATCGAACCCAGAGATGTTCGACTTTGCCTTTTATATCATCCATCCACGCATTGTTATTTCATTCTATCCATCTTACCTACATCATCAGAACCCATCAAAATGGGCTCAATCACATCTGGCCACCCAGGAAGTGTCAAGTACGAACATCCACATCTTCAATTATCACTTACTAACGCATCTGATATCTATCTGTAGCACCCGGAACAAAGCCATTCTCAGCATCTTCGCTGTAATGGCCGGCAGTTGGATGCTCTTCCGCGCTCAATCGCCGAATAAAGATGACGTGCTGTTGTCAAAGGCGGATGTTGATACTACGTTGAAGGGACAGACGACTAGGGGGAAGTCGGGAAGGTCCATGGCGCACCAAGATCAAGATTGATATTTTATTTGGTTTAATATAGCTATTTTTAGTGAAAATGTATTTAATATCAAACCCATGTGAAAATGACATGAAGTATTCATGACGATGCCTTGCCCTATTCACACCTAAGGCATAAAAACACCATTTTCTCAAAGCCCCGGAAAAAAGATATCTCGGTTTCCGGCAATCAATCTCCGTTCCCGAAAAAGACCGTCATCGAGTGCACAATTTCACCCACGAGCAGCCTGCGTCCACGTCCCTATATTAATTTCCATTCTGTGATTCTTCATACCATATTCTAAACAGAAACTGCCACAATGGTCAGACTTACCGAGGTTGAGGACGAGCACTTCGCCCAGGAGAAGCCTCAGACCACCAAGGACAATGTGCTTATTGCGACGGACGACGAGGAGGAGGATTTCACCGACACTGGTTAGTATACTACGTTGATTAGGAGTTTGGAAATTATACCCTTCATCCGCCCATATTGCAGCATTAAGCACGAAGACGTGCTGGTCACTCCCGCATTACCGAACAAAAACCACCAAAATTTCCAACACTCACGGCTAATCCTCGGCTACAAATGCAGAATCCGAAATCTCCAACGAAGACGAAATCGAAGTCGAGGGTGAAAACCTCAGCGACCGTCTCGCTGCCCTGAGAGACATGATTCCCCCCTCCGCCCGCCGCCAATTTTCCTCCTCCGTTTCCTTCGTCTCCTCGTTCACAAAGTCCAGCGTTCTATTCAGTGGTCGGGCACTGTGGGTTATCAGCACCACTGCATTCTTGTTGGGTGTCCCGTGGGCGCTTGCGTACGCCGAGGAGGAGCAATATGTGCAGTTGGAGCGGGAGCAGGGTATGATTCGGGGAGCAAATGAGGTATGTTCCGTCTTTTTTTTGGGGGGGAACATGTTTTCCGTGTTGAGTCGAGAAATGTCAGGCAATGTGCTAACAGGTTCACTTTTTAGATGCTCACTCCCGGTGAACAGCAAGCTAAGGAAGCTCAACCTACTCTGTAAACGATTCGGTCCAGAAATGAAGGTTGAATCAGGTGGAGAGACCAGTCGTGTCCCACCAATGCACGGCAATGTCATGATACGACTTGAAGAAACAAAAAACGAAGAAGAAAAAAAAAAAAAAAGCAACGCCAGCATGGATTCGGTTCAATTCGTTATGGTTTCACAGGATGGGATGTACAAAAACACGATGTACTTTTCTTATTTCCAATATGGGTCCTGGTCCGACTGTGCTCCGACATCTAGCCCATGTTTCTGTATAAAGCTACGGTTTGGACTGGATGCTCCCTGGGTTTTACACTTTGGCGCAGCGCAAAAAGAAAAAAAAAGATTATGGTTGGTTGAGGTTCTCCCCTGGTCCTGGTTCTCTTTACGAGTCTTTAGTTTGCTGGTCTCCCTCTACTTCTCCGTTGTTTTTCTCTTCCAGCATTTCCCGCCAGGCTCGGGTAGCTTGTGTATTTGTATAACCAATGTCCCTGTTATATTCTTTTTCTTTGTTTCATCTATGTCTTCTATCTACTTTTTTCATTGGTTTCATTTGCGTTGCTAGATAATGGATATGGATGACTTGATCTAACCATGGCTTTATGGAATGGCAATTTTGCTATACTCGCTATGTACTTGTAAATGGTCATCAATCATCTTGAACAAAATCGAATGGGTATCACGGCATATGTACTGAAAACGCAAACCTATCTACGCTGCTAAAACTTATCAAACCTCTCATTACCCTAGAAACAATCAGCATAAATCCTCACCAAAAGCCAGAATCAATTTCGGCGCAAACATACAGACTCCCTCGCAGCCTCCAAATGAAGTTTGAAATCGCGCCACATTTTCTTGATCTCATCCATCTGGTCCATCATAGCGACGGTCTTGACAGCGTATCTCGCCTTCCGCTTCTGGCTCCAGTGGCTGCGTTCGAGGATCTTTTCGTCTGAAAGATAGCCCTTGCGGTCGAGGTAGTCGACAACCCATTCGTTTAGTTGGTAGCGCCAGTGAATGGCGGGGTGGGCCATTTCTGCGCGGGCTTTGCAGTTTCTTTTGAATGTGAGTGTTAGGGGTCTTCTTTTTAGAATTAAGATAAAAATAGAGGTACGTACCGTCCCATGTAGAATCGAATATCCTCAAACGGAATAACATTGCCGTTACGGTCTTTTCCCCTTGTGCTCTCATCATCTTCGTCGTCTTCTAGGGCCTCCAGGGTATCCATAGAATACGCCTTCCCATAAAGCTTAACATCAAACGACGCCGGATGTTTTGACCGATTACAAGCATCACATGGATGATTATCGCTAGTCGGATACGAGGTTATCTCAATATACGGTCTTGCCATCAACGCCCTGTAAAAATCAAGATTCCACACAGTCGACATAACCTGCGAGCCTGTCCATCCCTTGACTTCATCTTCAACTTTAGTGAATGCTGCTTGGTACATGGCTGCTGAGCGGGGAAATGCTGGGTTTAGTTGGTTGAACACCATCCACTCGACAGTGTCTCGGAAGTATTCTTTTGTTTGCTTGTAAGCGTGTCGGGTGAATTCGAAGGGCATGTCTTCGAGGCCTGCTGGGACGCCTAGGGTGTCGTTCTCTTCGTCTTCTAGGACGAAGTCGTCGTCGTAGCGATCTAGGTCTTCGTTACTTGCGATTGCGGATTCAATATCGCTATTTTCTTGTTGGAAGTTGAGGCGAGTTTGGTAGTAGGCTGGGGATTGGTTTTCGTCTGATGATGCTTCTTCTTCGTCTTCTTCCTCCCCTGGTTCGGGTTCTGATTCTGGAATATCCTCTGATCTATCGCCAGTTCGTCTTCGTCGTAACATTTCTAGGTGCTGCTGTCTTTGGGCCCTCGCGGAATTGGCGAGTCGGCCGCGAGTACGCGTTTCTTTCACCACTGGAGTATTGTTAGTACAGCTCATTTATAGTCAATCGATTGGCCTACCAGAATCTTGGAGATCTTCTAGGTCCTCTTCTATATCCAGTTTATCCTGTCCTGGGCCTCGACGAGGCGTTTGAGGGTTCACAGACACTATGTTACGCCTTCGTCTTCGTGTCGGGATCACTAGTGGCTCATCCTCATCCTCGTCTTCGTCCTCCTTCTCTTCATCTCCATCATCATCGTCGTCGTCGTCGTCGTCGTCGTCGTCGTCGTCTTCTTCTTCTTCTTCTTCTTTTTGGCTTTTGAAGTCAGGCCCATCCTCCTTCTCCTCATCTTCGTCATCATCAAGGACAATGGTTGGTTTGGACGCTGCCCCACGTCTCAATTTGCGACGCGGCCGACTGACAACTTCATCTGCGTCGCTCTTTTCCTTCAACTGATTGGATTCACTTTCCGATTCTGCAGGCCTCTTGCGCTTCGATGCTCGGTTCTCATTCCTCGTGCGTTTGCTAGGCGCAATTCCCCGCTCACTGTCATCTTCGTCCACAGCTATTGCCTTCTTTTGCTTCCGTGCGGATCTCCCCTCCTTTTTGCTTTTACTATCACTGGAAGATGCAAGTCTGGACTCTTCCTCTTCTCCGTCTGTATCAGAAGATTTAACCGACGACGGAGACGATGGCCGCTGCTTCCGGTTCTTTTGGCCCTCTTGCTTCTTGAAATCCAGTCGTGTCCTTTCCGATCGAATTATGGACATAGATGGATGTCCATAGCGTAGTTTTGCTCGACGACCAGGGCTTCCTTGCGTATCTGGAGACGCAGCTCCTGCTGGGTTGAGGGATAGCCGCGTCTGCTTTGGCTTTCTTCCATACGTGCGGGGCATGGTTTGGTGTTTTTTGTGGTAAATGAACAGCTGAAATGATAGATAAATAAATGCTAAATAATTTGACTGTTATATTGACAATAAATGGTGTTACGTGGGAAAGTAGCATAATTTTTCGCCTTGGATCGCGAAGCTTCGCGTCGCGAGATCACGTGGCATAATATAACCAAATTGGAAATTGATGGCAGCAATTGAACAATAATATTTAGCCTATACAAAATGCCCGTTCATCTACTACGCCTGAAACAATGATTCTCATTCACCACCATCACAGCCTACCTCATCTCTTACACCCAAATTTTGTCTTTTGCGTTGTTTAACTTCTCCAGAACTATCGTCGTATCCTCATTACTCTCACCTGATGGCTCTGCAGACTTTTTTGCGAATATTTGGCCTGCGGGTAGAAAGTTCAGAAAGATAAGTCTTCTAGGTGTATGGCATCTACTCACACATATGTCGAGATTTCGGGCAAACCGCTCTGTCCGCTTAGCAAGTTCATTATCGGTGTTCTCTTTGGCACCATGCAAGATACACTTTGAAAACTGACCCAGCCCGCCGGTTGCTTTCTGTACTTCTTCAGCTGCTGTGCTGAGCCCGTCAGTTAAAGCTGAAGTCACACAATTGGCGTAGGTCTCACCGTGCCTCATGATATTACTTTGCGCGATGGCTCTTATTGGGTTGGCAAATACGACGCCGATGGCCAGGGGAGAATACACTAACTGGGTCTGCATCTTGTGGGTTGCTTCGTGGTTTCGAGGTATATCGTGAAATTAGTATAGAATCTCAAGACATGAGTTGGATAGGGCTTGTTTACTGGTGATCATGACGTACGGGGCTTTGTAGTTGGTTATGAAAACATTAGGAGCTTTTGTCCAACTCTTAGGGGCACAATTGGTCTATTGTTGCATCGATCAATTGAATGTATTCTGAGTGATTCGGGTCCGAAAGAGATTCGGTAGCCTGAAGTGTCTGGGGATAGACTGTACTCCGTATTTATGGTGTTATTAGAAACTACCTATCTGAGTGATTGGCAACTACTAGTGTCCTGTATATCAGTGAACAACTTACTTATCTGATTAGGAAATCAATTTCTTGGCCTTTTGCATAGTACAAAGTATAGTAACCAGAATTAAAGAGAAACAACAAAACAGTCAATACCCCCAATTCCTTCTCTCGCTTCTCATAACAGCATAGACATCATGGCCCTCCACATAAGTGGCAGGCGCAACTTTCCCAGAGATCAGTTTACCGCCATACCTTCCAGACGTCGCTTCACCAATATTCGACCTTAGAGGACATCCCCCTCTTGCTCTTCCAATAACCTTCAAATTACATTGATTATACCCCTTGCTCTTATATAATATCTGGTATAATACTCGTCCAAATGTATTCTCAAAAGCGTCTCGTCGCACTCTACGTTCTTTTAGGTGCGACCCTCATCAAGCCTACGGAATGCCTCTCCTCGAATTCACAAAGGCTATCGAATGGTTTGATCGGACTCAAATGCCACCCTCCTCACGCAAACCATCTCGACGGCGCTGCAAGAGCGGGTATCCAAACGATCGATCGACCTGAATGTGCGATTGCCTTAAGCTGTCTACCAGAAGGAACATATGGGCCAGCAATGCTTGATAACGAGCCGATACTGCCTCTGAATGTTACGATAACATTCTCCGAAGATGTAAATATGGATACATGGCGTTGCAAGAAGGAGCTAGTGGAGCTTCTCTTCGAGGCACGAGAAGACAAACAGGAAGTTGGGATATCAGTCACCCAACGACAAGTCGACCCGAGACGGCCAAGCCTCCTCCATTCCCGACAAGAAGAAGAAACTCCTAGGACAAAATCTGAAGGTCAGAGGTATCAAGGAATAGTCGAGTACCTTATGTCAACAGTCCAGCGCCGGGCCGTTCAAGCGGTAGGCTCAGTCAAGGAACGCAAGACAAATTATCAAGATGAAGTTGCGTCGCATTCCGCACGAAACAGCACGTCGAGCTTCTCGATGGACCTTAAGCAGGTTATACTCAAAAAACATCCGTTCAGCAACTACGTGACCCAGTGTGAGGAGAACTTCTGCAACGTGTATGATTTGCAGAGGATGTGTGATCCTAATAGCCGGATTCGACGCAAAGCAAAATATAAGAGTACCTGCGACTATTGCTATCCTCAAAGGAACAACGCCTTTATTAAGCACCATTGCGAAAGAAGGATAGAGAAGGAGATGCGGGCTTTCTATGGGATTTGTGCACTGCTTGCAGTTTCTATCGTGGTTGCTGTTATCTTATACGTGCTGCACCGTACGGGAAGACTGCTGAGAATAAATTGTCGGCTTATTCGGGGCATGCGCAGAAGCAAATTTTCAAGTAACCCTGTCACGAGCAACAAGTTCTCGTCAGCCGTTTTCTCTGATAGCCGCATTGGCTCGACAAGAAGATCAGAAGATACCACGATAAGCAACCAGGACTACGACGACTCAACGACATTCAGCGAGTTCCAACGCAAGTTCAGCCAGCTCGGGACTTCCTCCAGGGGATATCGCAAGCGGATTCAAGATGTCTTTGATATCGAGTCGCTAGAGCCTAGGAATGCCAATAATGAGGATTTAAAGGATAGGGTTTTTGTGCTTCCTCGGGCACCACATGCAACTGTACAAAGAGAATTTGCGGGTAATTTGAGTCGGGTACGGGGGGGGGCACGCCATTCCGGGCAGCCAGAGATGGAGGAAGTTCAGTCGGATGCTGTCCGTAGAGTGTTTCCGCATGACCAGAGTGTTTTTTAGAGGTTATATTGGATATTTGGAGATAGCATGGCTGCAAGAAATCTGTATGACCGTTGCAGTTTGTCGTGTCTTTAGGATAGCTTCGAGGTAGTTGATAATGATGGTTTTGAAATAGAATACATCGGGCTTATTGACAAGCAATCTGTCGTGATATCCTTCATGGTACCGTGAAGTTCGTTCAATCACGCTCATATACAGTCTGTATAAAGCCCTCATCACTCGTCTCGACGCAGTACTCCCAAGACAAAATCGACACCCCCTGAAAATAAAATATATATTTGCGCCTTTCATATTGCGCTATATTTCCGGCAACCCCTACTGCATGCACAGTATATCCACCTAAGCTCGCCTCCTTACCCTTCTTAATTCTCTGATCACCGCATGTCGCTGTCATAGCTAGGTCAATGCCATGTGAAAGCCGCGCAGCCGTGTTTGGATCTTTAGCCATGTCCACAGACCAGACGAGGATGTGCGGGGTGTTGGGACCGATAGTTATGGTACTCTCAGGTGCGCGTAGACGGTAGATGAGTCTGTTTGTTGACGTTTGAGTTGGTGCTGCTTGCGTTATAGAGCCAGGTTGTTCTCCGGGTGCAGATTCCGATTCTTCGTAGAGGTATTCTTTTTCGTAGGCTGGGGAGGTCGAGTATCGAGGGTGGAATGTTGCTAGTCCATGCGTAGTTCGGTTATTGTGTGTTCGGGTTATTCTCCAAGTTCCGTGTAGAGCTCGGAAGATGGCTGTGGATATTGCTGTTGCGGCGGGTGCGGTAGTTTTCTGATGCTGTTCGGAAGATAGAATACTTCGCAGGGAGTTGAGTGTAATGTCTCTGCCTGCCTCTGCTTTGACCGTACTTAGACATCCACCTGCGAATGTATAGCGGGCCGGTAGCACTGGTCCTCTTCTCTCTTCATCTCTCACATATTGCAGGAGTGGTGTCCTACCCATTCCGAGCTCCCTAGCAAACGACTCCATCAATCCCACGTAATCACCCATCGGAAACTGGCCGCGGTAAAGCTGCGGGTCTATATTCCTGAGGTCCCGGATCCGTTGCCTTTCTTCTTTTCTTTCCTTCACGCTTATATAGCAGTCACCTGGCTCCGCTCTGGCCCAGCTTGCTGCTACGTGCCGAGCTTGCATTTCCATGACGCCCCAATATGGTCCCCGGTAGAAGCCCACGAATCCTATGTCGGGGATATCTGCGTGCATGGTTCCCTTTCCATCTAGGACTAAGGGAAGGAATGGGTCTTTTTCGGAATACTCGAGTAAAGAGAGGACATGGCTTGGTAGGAACGAAAGGGAATTGTATGGGGTGAAACCGGTTGCCAACACGATGGCTACGACATCGTCCAGTGTGACCGCTTTGCCGTCCGGAAGGCTAATTTCGATTTGTGCTGAGTCAGAAGTCTGACTTCTGTGGACAGCACTGACCCTACCAATGGTGGGTGTGACAGCCCCAGATCGAACATATTCTGCGTAATCATTCCCAATAGAAACCCAAGGAGGCTGCGAGACTTCCTCATTGCCCCCTTTGATATTTCCAAACTTCCCGTAATCAACACCGAGTAGCGAGTACAAATAATCATTGGTTTTCTGTGCTTTCTGCGTCGGAATGGGCCCAAAGGCGTATTCAATTGGTCCCGGGGGTCGTCGAGATAGATCGTACATCACCAAGTCCAAGGGTATGAAAGATATAGTCTCATCGGTGGACGTATCTGTTGTCTCTCGAGGCAAATAAGCTGGTATCGTCCAGAATGGTCTGGTGCAAACATGATGCACCTCGTAAACTTGCTCTGCTGGTTCTTGGGCAAACTTGGACGAAGAAACGTGAAGAGCAACAGTCGAGGTGGCTTCAGTCCCTGACAAGCTCCCGCCTATGACGACTAATTTACCGCCGGTTCCATTGGATTTTTGTAGGAGGTGCTCAACGCTGTGTAGAGACGAGCTGTGGATAGTTTTATCCATGAACCCATCTAATCCAGAAATTTCTGGTATACTGGGTGACGCAAAGTAACCAGAAGCTATGACAAGGAGATCAAACTCTTCCGAGCGTATTTCTTGAACTTCATTCTTTTTATTGCGGCTGTTGGTGCCCATGGCATGCATTCAAGTAAGCCTTCAGCTTCATCAGAGAAACACGTATCAAGAAAAGTGCCAACACGAACCTTTCAGCCCATTGCACCGTCCATCGTCTCCCCTCTCCGTCTCCAACCCTCCGACTCGTCCGCACAATCCTCCGTCCCAATCTCAACACTCCATCCGGAAGAAACCACTCTGCATATCTTCCCAAGTATCTTCCCACCTGCCACGCCTGCGGAAACATAGGGACTTCCGTATCATCAAAGACAGATTCCCACGGCAGGTCCGAGAACGCAACGTTGAAGCGACTGAGATTCGTCCGCATGAACGGGTTCAATGGGCCAACAGTCGATTCATTTTGTCCGTGGGAGGTAGGCTCGGATTCATTATTCGTTGTTGTCACTGTTGGGCTGTTGGGCCAAAGACCGCCGATATCGTGTCGTTGTTCAAAGATAACCGGGGCAAAGGTTCCGTTAGGGTAGTCGTGGAGGAGCGTTTTGGCTGTGACGAGGCCTGAGGGGCCGGCGCCTGGTTGTTTGGGAATTTTTTTTTTTTTTCAGAAATGCAATCATACGAGTCAGGGACTTGGGCCTCACCTATTATAGCGATCTTCTTGGGCCCTGACATTTGGGTGAATGGCTTTCTTGACTGCGGTACCGTTACGGTCGATTTGGGGTACCTCTCCTTTGTCTGGCTTATGTGCTAGAATTCAGCCGGGCGGTACACATGACTCGGGTCAAGGTGCATGAACCATAGTTACAGATAGGTAAGCCGGTGTTCCTGCATTATTCCTGGCTGAATTTCGATCGGTGGAGATGTCGATATGTCAAGAGGGGTCGTCCGGATGCGGGGAAGGATTACAATCGATCAGATAAGGAACCATGTTGCAGGTACAAAGTCAATCGATAGCAAGATATATTCCTGAGTTGTACATGTATTCTGAGTGATATTACAAAGAAAAATCTATAAAGACAGTAGTAGTGGTGATACAGATGTGTGCTGATCTCTTGTACTCAAAATCAAGAGACATCCACACAAAAAAGAAAGGAAAAATCCAACGAATGTACTCCCGTACACTGGGTATATCCGACCAACACCGTCGCTGAGCAAAAATCACAATAGAAATGAACATATAGGAAAAGAGCAAAAAAGAAAGTACTGGCCCGAGCCGCGGATCGAACGCGGGACCTCTCGCAGATATGCTTGGGTTGTCTCCCTAAGCGAGAATCATACCACTAGACCACCCGGGCAGTGATGGTTGGTGACTCGCTCCGGTCACGCTTCATGGAAAGCTGAGCCGGCAGACCTTCCGTTCCAGGGGTTTATAACATGCCGCATGGACCAGGTGACGTCGATGCCAAGGGAGGATTTGCAGGATGAACAACAAAGGGGGTCCAGCGTTATCGTCATCATCGAGCTTGTCGGTGGAACAGCTGGCATGCCAATGCGAATGTCCCCCTGTCCCTGTCGTGGTGTGTCTCCATACTCCGTACTATCCTGTATCAAGAACCCCTGCACCTGGTGCCCTGTACCCTGTATGTCTGGAGGATCGTACATGAATGCATAACCGAGCCCGCACACCGGTCGTACGCCTATGAAGATATCTTGACTGAAACCCGATTGTTTTGGAACAAGTCGATGGAACAATAAGCAATCGAGAGAAGGGGGCTGTGAGAGAAAGAAAGGGAGGGTGCGAGAGTCGACCTCGCATGTTGCCGAAGGTAGATGTCGAGATAAGGTGTCGACTGGAAGATACGAGTCAAAAGAGGCCAAAGGATATCAATACACTCTTTCAAGCCAGGCAGACACCTGTATCTCCGTGTTGTTTTCGGTAGGGCGGAAAACATTTCCAAGCTCCTGCTCCGACACAAGGGCCTTGACATTTCGCTCCGTCAAAGGGTGTCTATGTCGGTTCTTCTGTTTGAGTATCTGTCGTTCTGCACGAGCAGATGGTGACAGCTTTGAGAGCGTATTTCGAAGGTGCCGGATGCCAGTCGTTGGGAAGGATGAGGATGGAATGTGAGGCGGACCAAACGGATCATCGGCTTTCCAGGGACCTTCGGAGGCGTGCGAGCGAACGCTTTTTTTGCGTTGCGAGCGAAATTTTGACATGACTATGACAGGCGGGTGTAAGGCGTGTTTCCGAGCCATGGTGACAGAGTAGATGGATGAAATGAGGAAGGAAAAGAGTAAAACGGTTGGTGGAAGTTAAGTATGAAGTCAAATGGCCTAGGCGCGCGGAGATCTTCAAGTGCGGGGCCTACCTTCTATATATATTCTAGAAGACTAAAAACAGTAAGACCCATAAGGCACCGCCAAGGCGAGGGATTCTTATGGGAGCCAAATGTTAGATTCGTGTGACCAGTTCTGCCGTTGATCTCCCACAAGACATCATTATGGGGAGAACTGCATGTGTGCAACTCCACTATGTATTTGGCAGATAGATAAACTCCTATTTAATATGGAGTATGTAGTTCTGTCACTCTATGCTCCGTAGTTTGTACACATGGCTGTCTTCCACGGGAAGAACGACTACGTCATTGTGAAATGTCGACGGGGCAGCGCTGATCTACTTGGGCGTGGAGCTCTATATTGGGCACTACTTTAGCAAATCAGTGAATGGATCATTGTCAAGTGCTCTCATAATCAACCACTTGTTTTCTAGTCAAGTGCTTAGCCACGCAGTATTTGTAAATAAAGATTACGCCAAGTGGAGGATACAGGCCCTTGCATGTGCTTTCTTCCCACTCCATCCCAGTCGCTCAGCCGTTTGGGTCAATTAAATAATTCCCAATCTTTCCGAGCAAAGCCTGCGATTCAGAAACCAGTCGCCAGGATCTTCCAGCGGCTTTTTAGCCATGCCTTGGCAAGGCCTCCAAATATCCCAGGGGACAGTCAATGGACGTTGCACTGGAGGTCTTGGCCATCGAACAAGAAGATGCCTACAGATTCAATAGCGTCACGTCGAGGAAGCAGTTTGAAGTAGTGCATACACTTGGCGTTTATGATCTACGCTACCTGTCCTCAAGCAGCTTTGTCAGCTGTCTCGAGTCACTATGTGAGATGTGACTGTATTGCTACTTCGAATTAGTAATAGAATTGGTCAATAAGCCGTTGTCGATATAGTATTCTTAGTTTCGAATACGACTGGATATGCATGAGTAACAGATTAGGATCTCCTGAGGAAGATGTTGCAAGGCGGAATTATCCGAGTCATGAACATCTTCCGCTTAGATATTTGACCAAATATTTACAACAGTATATACAAGTTCTGGAAAGCCCTTTTTTTTTTTTTTTTTATACAGCTAATAGGTGTATGCGGTAGACTGGGTGTATATGTATATATGTGATGGCGAGAATGTTAACCATAAAAAAAAAAAAAACAAATATATATACAGTCAAACTTTATTAAGACGATACATTCTTTACAGCTGCTACTATCATTCTAACGCAGGCATCGTCTTACTGGGGGTACTTTATATAGCAAAAAGGGCATCGGTGCAAGTGAATAGTATCGGCTAAGTGCGAATATTGGCTTAACGAATATCGTCCCACCGGGGTTCAACTGTAGATATATATATATATATTGAATTGCTAGCTGAAAAGCACCATGAGCACAGTCGCGTATTATTTTTTGCCATACCGTGGTGCATTAAAAAAGTGTTGTTATGAAATCGAAGGAGAAAAAAAAAACTTGGGCTCAGCCGGGAATTGAACCCGGGACCTCTCGCATTCAAGACTAACCCAAAGCGAGAATCATACTACTAGACCACTAAGCCGTCTCAGGCCACTCGACCACGGAGTGGTGATGATTAAAATTTATCAATTTGTAACTTATATACCTAACTAAGCAAGCTTCATAAATACATTTAAGCGAATATTACTCATTTATTTACATCGGATAGTTTATATTCTTTATTGTCAATTCTTAACTATTTTTATTTCAAGCCACAATATCATCTTGAATCATTGTCCATGTCGACTATACTTACTACCTAGTCAGGCTTCCCACGGATACGGAGCCGTAAACCGTAGAAACAGACATATGGAGGAGAATTCACCGTCTTCCAAATATTTCTTCTAATCGAATACTAAGCAAAATGTTTCAATGGTGGGCCTCACCCGAAGAATGAAATGAAATCGAGCACCCGAGCTGAAGTCGCTCCGACGATCGCTGCGCCGATGAACATAAAAGAATCCCACATTGCCGATTCAGCTCTTCACCATAGAATTTTCTCTTGATCGGGTACGTACGGCCATGGCGACAGACGAAACGACTCCAATCCTTCAAAACCATACTGAACCCAAATCAAAAGGCCTTGGAAAACTTGCGATCGCAACTGCACTTTTCGGTACTTATACTTCCCTGAACCATGGTAGTGGGACCGCAATCTGACAAGAGTAGGTGTCTTCCTGGCAAACATCGATGATTCCTTCGTAACCGCTATATACGGGGAGATTGCGTCGCGATTCCAGCATCTCCAGGATGCATCCTGGTTACTGGCAGGGTATAACCTGGGGTATTGTGCGGCATTGCCGGTAGTAAGTCCCACTGAGACTCCTTTTGATTGAGCATATGACGTTGACGGTGACAGCATGGTCGGTTAGGTGACATTTATGGCCGAAAAACGCCATTGTTGGCGGCTTATGTTCTGTTTGGTCTTGGATTAGCTGTTTCGTAAGTGTTTTTTCCAGGGTACTATAGATCACGATTTAATTTGTCGAACAGAGGCTCCGCGTTCTCCCTATGGCAGATTATCATTGGAAGAGCGATAACAGGCATTGGCAGTTCGGGCATGGTAGGCCTGATATCGGTCGTGATCACTGGTATGCTTGTCCAGTCTACTTGACCCCGTTGACGACTGACCCTGTAAGATACATCGACATTGGAGCAAGTAGCTGTCCTGAGAAGCTATGTGACCGTCGTCGCCATCGCAGGGTATAGTTTGGGAGCCCCCTTGGGTGGAATCTTAGCGGATCTCGTGGGCTGGAGAATGTCATTTGCAGGCCAGGTGCCAATCGTCCTAATCTGCCTGCTCATCGTCACGCGGGAGATTCCATCCTCACCATCGCCACAAGACGAGGAAGCAGCCGAAGTCAACAATGGTGATAACCACGCAAACGAGGAAGACCCCAGTGAATTTCCGCCAAAAATGGGGCTGCACAAATTCGACGTTCCCGGCCTTCTCGCTTTTCTCACCACGATCATCACGTTCCTCCTCTTCCTAAACCTAGCCGGTCAAAAGCTTCCTTGGACACATCCAATAGTCCTCACTATCGCAGCTATTAGCGTCGCCTCTGGAACACTCTTCTTCCTCATCGAAACAATCTGGACTTCTAGTCCATTAATTCCCTTATCGCAAATCTGGAAAAACGGCGTCGCACCATTCTGCCTAGGACAAGTATTCCTCTTCATCGCATTAGTTGGCCTAGTAGCTCAAATCCCCTCCTTCTTTGTCCGCACGCAATCAACTACGAACACAAGAGCAGCCGCACATCTCATCCCGTTGACAATTGGTTGTGCCGTGGGTGGGTTGCTCTCGGGGCAAATTATTAACAGAATGCACCGCTATAAGCCGCTCTCCCTTTTCTCTATATCATTGAACACGCTCTCGCATCTTCTCATCTTTTTTGCATGGCGACATGGCGCAAGCACCTTTTCTTCGCTGGTAGTGTTTATTACCGGTCTCGCCCACGGCCTCGTCATCTCAACACAGTTCATTGGGATGTCTGCGCGCGTAGAGAAAAGCATGGTTGCATCGTCTGTGAGTGCGTATTACCTGTGTCAGGAGTTGGGGATGATTGGGGGAGCTTGTTTGGATGGTGCGGTTGAGGGGGGTGTTTTCAGTCACTTATTACGAAAAAATGGACTGAAAAGCGATGTGAGTGCTTCGTTTTCCATAATTTGTATTCAGTATTCTGCACAGGCAGCTAATAAGGAGACAGATGGTGAAGGGGGTGTTGAATGATAATCGGTTCGCTGTTAGGTTGCCCGTGGAGATTCAGAGGGTCGTGGTGGACTGTTATCTTTGTGCTTTTCGGTTTATTCCTGGTACGTATCACCTTAATATTATGTTGGATGTAGGCTGACTGAAGATATAATAGTGCTGTCTACTTGCAGCTGTGTAGTAGCGCTGGTTCTAATCGCATCTCAGAAGGAGAAGAAACTTCGGTAGGCAGTTGTCGGCCTTGATATTATTATTAATATTACCGTAACATTAAACAGAATCATAAAACATTAGAGAAGCATTAAACATAAGAGTCATTACCGTCCACATCCCCAAATACGCCGTTTATAACTCAAACATGTACCACATTTAAAAAAAGAAATCATGAAATCAACAGGTCCCTGACACTCATACCCATGCGCTTGCTGGTACCTTGACTCTCATGGTTACGAGACTCCGAGCTAGCGTCTGTGACCTTATCAATAATCGAATCCAACGTCCCGCGACGATCCTGATTCAGCATCAACAAAGCCGCAGAAGCCTCGTGGTCAACATCTGCATTGTTTTGCTGTGGCTGGAGCGCTGGAGAGGTGTTGGTCGAGGCAGGCCATGATGGATGGTGTTCTGGGCGAGATGGCCCCAAAGCAGGACTGGGGAGAATGCTCTGGGCGAACTCGTAGGCTGTACTCATGGAGGGAATGCGAGTGCGAGGTGAAAATGATGGAGAAGTGTCAGGGATTTGAGTGTCTTCCGGGAGGAACTCTGGTGACGCTGAGGCGGAGCGTTCGCTGCCGGCCATTTCTGCGAGAAATTCGGGGGATGTTAGTGAGGGCGGGCCTGGGGGGAGACGCGAAAGTGTTGTTCCTCCCGCAGACTTGAGATCTTTGATGCATTGTTCCAGGTAGTTGACATAGTCGATGCTTGCCTATTTACTGTAAGTCTCTGAATCAAATGTAAAGCCTGTAAATGCACTCACCTGTAAGATAGCAAGTTTATGCATCTCCTGGCCCGTACAAGCAGGAATCATATCCTTCAACGTTGTAAACTCCTCATTCATCTTCGACCTCCGTCTCCGTTCAATTAAGCTATGAGCCGTCTTCCTCGCAATCTTCCGTCCAGCCGCACTGGTGGCAGTAGGTTGTTTCTTCTTGTTACCACTGGCGGGTGCAGCAGCATTTGCGTTTGTATTACTCGATGGCGCCGCCTTGTTCGACTCTCTAGATGCTTTCCCACTGCTAGCTTGTCCCGACTTCGTCGATGGACTCGGCTGCGTCTTGGGTTTCATCTGGATGATCTTGCGCGTGCGAGTGGGGGGCGGGGGCAAGTCAAAGTCCTCCAGGGGACGCTTGGTGCCAGAAGTTTGCTGACGAGTGTTGGTGCTCCGTCCCAAAGCCATGAATTCAGGGGACGCGGCTGGAGATGCAGGAAGGTGGTCTGCTGCTGCAGTTTTGGAGGATCTTTTGTTGGCACCAGTCGTGTCGAAGGCAGCGGGGGGTAGAGCAAAGACATCTGTGCCCTCGAATGCGGGTTGATCTTTGACGATGAACTCTCCAGACATGGAGGGAGTTGGGGGGAGACGAGAGCGAGACATTTTGGAAGAATCGAGGACCGCGGGAGGGAAACCTGAAAGATGTAATATAGTTACGTACGACTGGGGTGTATCAAAACAAGCTAGCCTAGTAACAGAGGTAGGGTAAGTATATCTCCTGATAAGTTGATAATTATATTCAATATACATACCTATTGTAGAGCCACTCGACAGCACAGTAGACCTAAGGTAGGAAAGATGAAGAAAGCCATGGCGGATAGGACTTTTTAAAAAGTAGATGATACACGTGCAGCTCCGGGTTCAGGACAGAGGGAAAAGCGCAATCTGGAGACACAGCTCAAAGTGTCGCGTGCTTAACCTCGCCCACGCGGAGGGGATCTGGCTTCTGATTGGCCAAAATATGATCGAGGGAAAGTGGAGGGACTTTCTTCGTGGGGGAATTAAGGCCACTAATTGGTCAATTCAATTGCCTCTAGGCCGCTTAATTCTATGCCTATTTATTACCACTGTTACTTTACTTTGTCCGGAAGACAATATCCACGAAAAACACAAGGAGCAATTCAACTTTATCAGAATGTTATTTCCGTTGGGATGGAACCCAATCAGAGCACCACGCTCACACTCTCCCGGCTCCCTCCGTCTTCCCTCCAGGCACAGCATCCAGGCACGTGCTCGGTCTCGTGATAGCTTACCTCCTATTCGTTCTGCTCTCACGTTAATCTAACTTACCAGAAACGCTCCATTACTTCATGTGCTACCAATTATTACTACAATCTGCAAGGGATCCAGCGGGTATACCAATTGCATACAAGTATTAAATGACGTAGCAGGCGGTATTTAGTCGTATATGCTATGCGTGTCTATTTAATGACATATCTACATATTATGTGTATCGTCCAAATTAACAGCCAAACACCCTCTCAAGCAGAATCTCCCCAAAGTTCGCTTCCACCGGCGACTCGTCCATCCGCAGGATCCTGTTTCCAGACTTGGCGTTCAACCATAGCCCGTGATCACTCGGACTCTCCTCTTCCCCTTCAACCTTATTCCGATTCCGCCGGTCCACAACGCACATCCCCCGCGTCCATTGGCCAGTTGTGTCGATGCGGATATCCTCTGGCGAGGCGGCAGATGGCTTCCAGCCTGCATCCGCCGCTGTCAATGCATACCACACACAAACGGGATCATGCAAGCTCAGCTCCGCCGCATCGCCCTCGTTTCCGGGACTCAAAGTCTCAACGGTGTGGAAGCTGTGTGCCATAAAGGCTGACACCCATTCGGCCAGTGGAGAACCTTTCTCTAGGAAAGGGGTGACTGCTTGCCGGAACTGACCTCGTTTAACTCCGTGACGTTCGGTGATGTCGAGAGGGAATATGCGAACAGTAAGCTGCTTGCTGAGTTGAGTGGGGTACGGTGGAAGACTGAGGGTGCCTGTGGGTGGGAGAGTAGTGTGTGGCCGGGGCGAGGTGAGAGCGTAAACCCGTGCGGCTGCAAAGGCATCGGCGTATGCATTGAATTCACCTACCGGGGTGACCTATTTCAAGATGTTCAATATCCAACTACTTACTTCGGAAAAAGGAAGAGCTTACATTGCCAGGCATGTTCACAGCTCCACCCATGACGACGACCTCCTTGGCGCGTAGGAAGGTCTCTGGGTCTGCAGAAGCAGCCAATGCTAAATTCGTCAAGGGACCAATAGCGACAATTGTGATAGTTTCGGGATCATTCTCCGCCAAGACACGGAGGATCTCTTGGTGGGCGGGGCGTTTGGAGGGGACAAATGATCGTTGCGATACGTTTCCTCCTGTCGGCACGGTGTCGATGACAAGGTCGTCCGCAGTTGGATCAAAGAGGTGCTCCCAGGTCTCCTTGGGTGTGAGGTGAGGGTGCTATAAAGTGCAATGGTCAGTCAATGTTGGGCGAGCTTGGGTCGGTGTTAGACTTACACTAGCGTGTATTCCACCGAGTCCATCCCGTCCGTCTGGTGCCAAGTTAGCAGCTATATATCCAAATGTCCCAATTCTTTCAAAAAAAGATACGTACGAAAATAATCGGCTAACATCTTCTGGGCCTCCAACGGATCTTCAGCACCCACTGCCACGACCGGTTTGAAAGCCCGCAAAGCCTCAAATCCTTCGTTCAGCCCTTGTTCACGGCGCCATTCTATTTCACGTTCGAGGATATGGAACATTGATATAGTATTGCGAAGACAGCTAAACGTGGAGAGCGTTAGTCATTGTGACAAGAAGATCGACAGATTGCAAGGTCTTTCGACTCACCTCCGCACTTCGATGTTACCAAAGGTCAACGAAATGAGCTGGATTTCGACCTCTTCCTTCTTGGCCGAAAGGGCCAGCAAGAGGGCAAGGATATCATCGATACCCTATTTTCGTGAATTAGTATTGGTATTGTATGCAATTGAATCTTGATGGTGGCGTCAAGTGGGATGGATCGAGGGGCGAGATGACTTACCGGATCGGTATCGATAATGATCTTTTGCGAAGGCATATTCTGAATTGTCTGCGTATGCCGGATGTCTGCTGTTAAAAACCCGTCTCGATACTTCTGTAGGACCAGTAAAACCCGTTAAGTTGAGAACATGAAGGAAGAAGAAAGGAAGAGACAGAAGAAGAGGGGACCAAATGTCAAGTCTTGGCGTTGTTATCATCGTTTCTCCACTCTGGAGAGGTGATGGAGCATGGAGAAGAGAGCATCTACAGAATATCTACGACGAGTATAGTACATGCTCAATGAAACGGTTAAGAGAAGAGGAACCAAAGGAAGTATGCGATTCTAATGTTAATTTCTTTTTCTAGTAAGATAAAAGCGCACCAATTGAATGGCTGGTATGAAAGTATTGAGTCCTGATTTCTCAGGTGTAAGGGGACCGTCTGTCGAAGGGCCTCACATTGTCCCAAAATGGTTATTGGAATCGAGCATAGGTAACTACGATCCCTGTGCTCTAGATGCGTCGGATTTACACAGCCGGACTTGAAATGGGATTCATTCCATTGGTAAACCCTCGTGGCAACATATAATCTCCTGCAAGGGATCGAGATCTGGTTGAGTGTTAGGGACGTTGACGCACAGAGATGCAATTAATAGTACAATAGTACAAATATACTCCGTGGAGTACTCTATATAGATCGCTATGTGAATGTGCACAGAAGACACAGGCCAAGTCAATCTGGAGTGATTCCTCCGTAGTCCCTGCGCAAAGAGCACAGCTCCCTATGTATTCCAAAAAAAGCAACAGATGGTCCCTGACGTGCTGCAGATCGAGACATTCCAACCATCGGAGAAGAACATTTGAGCAGTTCCGGGAGACGTGGCCTCTCCTTTCTTTCCTTGAGAGATCTTAGTAGTTACTGTTTCTACCTGGTATTTTCTATACGCCGTTGCCGGCAATAGAGCAAGACTTTAACCCCTGATGTCTCCATAGCAGTCGTAACTTCCAGTGTACTCCGGATTACATAGACATAGTACGGAGTAAACTCTACACAGAATAACAGTGTCTGAGTATGAATCAAACATACGGGGTAGTTTAGAGCCGAAAATGAACATAATCTATTTCTTAATCCAGCATAAGCCATGCGATATTGCACTAATAATGCCCAGAGTCACTGTTCATCCTTTCATTCACTGTGCGGGTGGAGCATAATTTCAGACCACATCTCCAAGTCAAACTGTCCTCTTCTGCCTCTTCCTCCTTCCTTTCTTTCTCCTTCCCTTCTCCATCCTCTTTCCATTGTTTCCCTCTTCACTTTTTCCTTCCCTCTTAATTCATCTTTTGTTGTTGCTTTCCATTATTTCCCTCTAAACTTCCGGAGAACTCCTGTCAGTCCTGATGCTTTACTGATCGGCGCCCCCGTCCTATCTCCGGCCGCAACGCGACTGACCTCACTTCTTACCACGACCCTCCCCAAAATACCAACTCACCATCTTTACATTAATACCTCATAACAATCGTTACGATTCGAGATAACAGGTAGCGGTGCTTTTTGACGGCCCTGGGATTAAGAGTCCCGTTCCCTAACCGACCGGTGTCCGAGGCCCGCGAGGCCAATCTGGCCTTTTTGCGACTCTTAACTGCCCCGTCCTCTTCTTCTCAGTCCGCCACATACTATCCAACAATCCTGTGTTCTAGCTTGATGATCATTTAAAGAGGCTGGGATACATCCACGTATAATAGGTTTTTATTACGTTAATTTGCGCTACGTGTCCTTCAACCGGTACGGGTTTCCCTTCTTTTTTGCCCGCCAAGTCTTGCGCGCGCGGTGTTCCACACCCCACAGAAACCGTCGCTTTAAAAGCTCTACAATTTGTATTCCAATTGTTCGTGACAATTGATACGCTGTCACTTGGGGAGAGATTAATGTGTGTCTAATTCCACACAAATCTTCCTTCGACGTTGTTTCATTATATGCTTACCGTTCGTTCAGAGCTGACTGTCGGCCGACTTTGCAGAACTTATCACGATGATGAACCCTTATATCAGCTGGGCCATCCTGCTCGTCGTGGCAGGTGGCCTAGGCTGGTATTACAATGGTCCTACACCTAAAGCTGCTGCCCCCGTCAAACCCGTTGCAGAAAAGCCCGAGGCTATCACTGGCGCGAAGAAGCCCAAGCGAAAGCCAGCGAAGAAGGAGAAGTCTCCGGAGCCTACTCCGGAGCAGAAGTCTGAAGAGAAGAAGCAGCCTGCAGTTGAGGTCAAACCCCAGGAGGCCGACAAGGCCGACGAAGAAATTGACAACAAGGAGATGGCCAAGCGCTTTACTGCGGTGAAGAACGGTATTGTCCCTGCTTCGGGATCCAGCAAGTCCCAGAAGAAGAAGAAGAACAACAAGAAGGCTGTTACTACTGAGCGCTCTCCTTCGACCACCGGTGCTGATGCAGACGATGACCTCTCTTCTACTGGTTCTCCCGTGGTAAACCCCACTTCTGGCGGTTACGTTTCGGACATGTTGGAGGAACCCGCTCCCGCCGCCTCGGTTCTGCGTGTTACTGGATCTGTCGAGTCGCAGCCCAAGAAACAGAAGCCCCAATCCTTTAAGCCCGTCGAGACCAAGAAGCAACGCCAGCAGAGACAGAAGAATGAAGAGCGTAAGGTGCAAGTCAAGGAGGCTGAAGAGGAGCGCCGTAAGTTGCTCGAGAAACAGCTTCACTCTGCCCGGGAGGCCGAGCGTCGCGAGGCAGCCAAGGTTAAGCCTGCGGCCCCGGCCACCAACGCCTGGCAACCCAAGAATGTGAACAATGTCGCCAACGGGGTTCCGAAGCCCGCGGCCGTCCCCAAGGTGGAGCTGCTGGACACATTTGACGAAAGCTCGTTGGCCAAGTCTGGCTCAAACCAGTGGTCGAAGGACCTTCCGTCCGAGGAAGAACAGATGCGTTTGCTCAGTGGAGCTGACGAATGGACCACTGTGTCGACCAAGGCCAAGAAGCCCAAGAGGAAGGGCGCTAAGGCTGATGAGAGTGTCAGCGAGGCTAGCGCATCGGAGAGCAACCTGCCTGCTCCCACCGCTCCCTTGCCGGCGGAACCGAAGGTCACTGTGACCCCGACCTACATCCCCGACATCCTTCGATCGAAGCAGAAGGGTCACCCATTGGACTCGGACTGGGCGGCTTGAACGGATGACGGCACTTTTCCCTGTTCTAAGGAACATTGCTCTCTCGATCACACGCGCCCGGAGGTTCGCCTCTTCGCATAATCCGTCTACTTTCCGATACGTCTGTATTTATTATTCATGGCTTTGGCGTTTGGGGTTTCAAATACCAACATCATCTATCGCGGCGCCTTATGAGGTGCCTTGTCTTGTCGCGAATTGAGCAAAATCGAAGAAAAGAAATCGAACAGAAAAGCAAAGGGATTGCTTTACAGACCCCGAGGACCCCATCACGAGACAAGAAAAAATACCGGAAAAAAAAAAAAAAAAGACTTGAAGTGTATGATTTTTGTTCATTGCTTGTATTTTCTTTTCTTTTTTTCTTTTTATTTTTTCTGAACAACTTTGTTTGATCGATAATGGTTTTACTAAGAAAATGAATATGTGAATTTAATATTGTGTGCATGATGTCATTATGTCCATTAATTTTTTTTTTTCATTCATACAAGCAATAATCTGCCTTGATAATTACCATTATGGTACATAGGGCCATTGAAAACGCCTGTGGCTCTGCCAGGCAATTCTCAGTTTCGAGTCTGCCGCACAGTGAGAACTGAGTGTGGAGCCGAAACAGCCTTGTTGATCCGCTGTGGCTGTTCGTCGGCAGTGTTGATGGCAATCAACCGTGCAATGTAGGGTACGAAGCAGGTGTATTCGTGTCAGTGCAGTATCTTGCATTGTATGCTGCATGGCATTATGCATTGCTGACTTGCCATGGTATCTCGCGTCTGTTTTTCTGTAGACTGCACGGGGAATGCTCTCCTGTCAGGACTTGATTGTTTGTTCCTGGATTGGGTGGGGATTCCAGTGCCTGAGCCCAAAAATGAGGGCCCTGACTTCGAGTCTTCCTTTCAACGCGACAACAGAGTGTGTATCGAGTAGCACAGCATTAGCCCTGTATACGAGCAAATAAAGACCACGAGCAATGGGAAATAAGGCGTATTCCGGGCATTGGGGGGATGGAATAGAAACATCTATTTTTATGTCGTCACTGGGCGAATTGCAGAGGGCTTGGCAACCATTCCAGATTGAGACTAGTGTAAAGTTCCGGTCATCGTGGCCTGAACAGGACAAAGCATCATAATAAGAGTCAATACTCCCCTCTTCTCCAGTTCTGATTTTTCCAAAGCAGTCGTCTCAATTCCTCAGCAGCCTCTGGATATTACTATCCTAACGTTCGATTCTCTTACCTCTTCAATTTCCTCTTTATTGACACCTTCTGCCCGCCATGGCGCAAATCCGCGGCACCGCGGGCTATAATCTCGGACACCAGAACCCCTTCGGAGGCCCTGGGAGGGCAGACGCGACGAGCGACCCCAGTCCCTTGGATGCTATTCGAGAGCAGACCAGCAAGCTTGAGGACTGGTTGGATACATTGGCGGACCCGATCAAGCCGTACGTTGTTTTCGTGTCTGCTTTGTTTGCGACTTCCCCCAGTCTCAAACCGCTGACACCGTGTTTTTATCTGTGGGCAATAGATATCTGCCAGCCATCGGTCGTTTCTTAATCGTTGTTACGTTCATCGAGGACAGTCTGCGTATCCTTACGCAATGGACTGACCAGCTTATGTATCTGCGTGACTTCCGGAGCAGTATGTTCTCCTTTCCCCTTTCTTGTCCGGTGTTATGGGTGGCTCGGTTTTGGCTGACACGGTCTTGGTGTTAGTTCCCTGGGGTCTCACGCATTCCTTCCTCATCTTCAACATCATTGCCATGTCGATATGCTCATTCCTCGTCGTTGTCCGCAAGCACACTGAGGCAGCGGTCGCCGGTCTGCTCGCTGTCGTGGTCGCGCAGGGTCTCGGATATGGTCTCATCTTTGATCTCAACTTCTTTCTCCGCAACCTGAGTGTTGTCGGTGGTCTGCTCATGGTTCTTTCCGACTCGTGGGTGCGCAAGAAGTTTGTCCCCGCCGGATTGCCCCAGTTGGATGAGAAGGATCGCAAGATGTACGTCCAGTTCGCTGGTCGCGTGCTCCTGATCTTTCTGTTTGTTGGTTTCGTCTTTTCCGGCCAGTGGAGCTTGTGGCGTATCATTGTCAGTCTGTTCGGTCTTGTCGCGTGCGTCATGGTCGTTGTTGGATTTAAGGCCAAGTGGAGTGCCATTCTCCTGGTTGTTTTGCTGAGTATTTTCAACGTGCTCGTTAACAACTTCTGGACTGTATGTTTTCGTCTGGCTACGATTTCTCGAACTCTGCTGACGGTTTTAGCTTCACCCGCACCATCCCCATAAAGACTTTGCCAAGTACGACTTCTTCCAAGTTCTGTCCATTGTGTAAGCTTTCCAGCTCTGTATCCAACGTGAGTGCTCTGCTAATCAGCGTCAACAGCGGCGGTCTCGTGCTTCTGGTCAACATGGGCCCTGGTCAATTGAGTATGGACGAAAAGAAGAAGGTGTACTAGAGGAGTTATCTTCTAATGGAAGCATGACAAATTTGGCATTCACAAAAAAGGAAGAAAAAAAATAATAAATTTTGTGCGGTACACTTCTGATGAGCTATTGATGCCCGGTTATACTTGGTTTTTATTTTTTTTTATTTTTTATTTTTATCGGGTCTTTTTCGATTCTCCTTCTACTGAGAATTCATACGTATCTGACTTTTATTTTGGTTATTGCATCCTGGAGCTTTAAGTGTCGCATTCAGATTTTATTTTCATGATTTCTTCGTTGTATATGTGCCGGGTTATCAGAGCTTTTACAGAATACACTTGTTTAGTTCAATTACTGTGTTTGTGTATGCCCATGACCAAATGTCAAGCCATAACGTTGAGTAAACTTCTCGGAACTACCCACTTTATTTTAGATACTTCTCAAAGAACTCCGCCGCCTGTGCATACCCTCGAACATACTCCTTCAAACTCTCCTCCTTCTCCAAGTCTGCACGAGCACCCATCCATCCATGCCACATGGTCTCGTACGTTCCCACAAGTCCTCCGTGTCCGTTCTTGCTGATGATATCTGCGTAGCCCTTGACCGCGTCTGTGGGTTCGTCTTTCGATGCGAGGACAAGGTGCGGGATAGTGAGCTTTTCTGCGTCAGAGGTTTCGAGGCGGCTGTACGACTCTGTTAGTATCAGATATCTGGAAGAGAGGGAATACACTCACCCCGGATGAACCTGTGCAGTAGCATTAAACAGCGTCCCCTCTCCCGAAGCCAAAACAGCAACCTTCCCACCCCAACACAATCCCAAACTACCCCACGTTTTCACACTCGAAAAAGTCCTCCGATATACCTTAACTGTCTCAACAAGCACATCTACGTTTTTGGGAATATCTGCCTTACTTCCCACAAACCCCATCAACTTACTTGTCTTCTCCTCCGTATCAGCAGGCAGCCATTCATGTTTCGCGCCGTCGCCGTGGAAAAAATCTGGGATTAGGACAAGTGCATTTAGTCGGGTTGAGAGGATATCTGCACCTTGGATTGTTTGTGAGGAGAGGCCGAAGATGTCGTAAATATCGACTATGGCGGTGTTGGCGTCGCGGGGGCCAGTTATGTCTGGTTCTGTTGGTTAGTACATGAGGGTGGAAGGGGGGGGAGGGGAGAGTACAGGTGTTGAGGCCAGCGAGGGCTTGGTAGGTTCCCTTTGGTGCATAGCCTTGAGGGATTACGGGGGGGATAGTGCGGCAGGCTTCGCAGGACATGTTGAGTTAATAGTGTAGGGATAGTGAGATGTAAGAAATAGGAGTACGAAGTACAGAGTAAGATTGATATATAATGAGAAGAGACCACTGAATAAATAAATAAGCCTACAGTACGGACATACATAGCACAGTATCACCGAACCGGTCCATTTCTCATTCGTTGACCCATCCCGATCCCGTCCCGTTACCGGCACCCGGCATCCCGATCTACCCCCAAACCAGCAAAGACGCGGGGACGCCACGCGGTTTAGCGCATGCGAGAAGCCGTTACCGGGTAAACCCGACAAATGCTTAAATATCGCGTTACACAGGCCAGGGGAATTTTTTCTGGCCTCAACGTTGCACATAGGACTCGATGGCAGGTGTAACGAACCTGGAGAAGAATGACGGCGAGGTTGTTCGGCAAAGCCAGCACAATGCGGTCGATCAAGAAGAGTATTCCGTGTTCACCGTGAACCAGAAAAGGGCTATTGTGGCAGCTGCCTCTTTGGCTAGTTTCTATTCTCCCTTGTCGTCCAGTATATACTTCCCTGCATTGGAGACCATCGCATCGACCTTAGGTGTCTCGACGTCCAAAGTCGATATCACCGTCACCACATACTTGGTAAATTCTTTCCTTTGCTCTTCAACCTTAAGATAAGCCAAGAAAAACACTAACCAGGGTTGACAACAGATCATGCAAGGCATCGCCCCCATGTTTATCGCTGGCTTCTCCGACACCGCAGGCCGTCGCCCAGCATACATAATCTGCTTCACGATTTACCTCGCCGCAAACCTAGGCCTAGCCCTACAAAACAGCTACGCCGCGCTTCTCGTGCTCAGATGTGTCCAAAGCGCCGGTAGCAGCGGTACCGTGGCGCTCGCTAACGGAGTCGTCAGCGACATTATCACTTCTGGTGAACGGGGCGCGTATATCGCGTATGCTTCGCTGGGAGGCATGTTGGGACCGTCGCTCTCGCCGGTGATTGGAGGCTTGATTAGCCAATTCGTGGACTGGCATTGGATATTCTGGTTCCTGCTTATCTTCGCGGGAGTGTTCTTCATCATCCTCGCACTTTTCCTACCAGAAACATGCCGCAAAGTCGTGGGCGATGGATCAATCCCCCCACCAGCCCTCAACACCTCCGTGAGCGACATAATCCGGCACCAACGACGCCAACAAAAAGGCCTCACACCCTTACCTTCGAAAACCACCGCCCTCCGCAAAAACACCACATTTCACCTCCCCTCCCCCATCCCAACCTTAAAAGTCTCCTTCGACCTCGAAACAGCCGCCATCCTCCTCACAACAGGCCTCCTCTTCGCCTGCTTCTACGCCATAATGACAGGCGCCACAACCACCTTCCATGAAGTATACCACTTCAATAACATCCAAACAGCCCTAATGTACATCCCCATCGGCGCAGGCGGGATCCTTTCCGCTTTCACGACGGGTTACTTCGTCGATAGGAATTACCGACGACATGCGCGTCGAGCTGGTTTACCTGTTATCCGGAACCGCGCGACAGATATAAGCAACTTCAACATCGAAAAAGCACGTATTGAAATTGCCCTGCCAATGTACTATCTCACCAGCATTACCATCATAGCCTATGGCTGGGTCATGGGGCGACAAGTCCACCTCACAGCACCCGTAATCCTACTATTCCTCTGTGGCTGGGCAATTAACGGCACGTCGCAGGTTCTCAATGCATTAATGGTGGATATCTGGCCCGGACGCTCGGCAGCCGCTACGGCAGCGAATAACCTGTTTCGGTGTGAACTGGGCGCGGCGGCTTCAGCGGCTATTAACCATATGCGGTTGGCGATGGGGTGGGGGTGGGCGTATACGGTATTGGCGTTGATTTCGATTGCGGCTTCGCCGGCGCTGTGGTTGGTGTCGAAATATGGGATTCAGTGGAGGCAGAGGAAGGTGGAAAAAGAGAGGTTGAAAGCGTTGGCGTTGGGGGAGGGTTCTTGATCTGACATGGATTGCTCTGCATTCTTCAGCCTTATGAATGTTCGACTATATATAACAACTATACCCTGTTAATAAGTCATTTAGATATAGATAGAACAAATATACGGCAAAATATAATTCATCCATGGATTTTTATCTCGATTTACTGATGTGACGGTTAGCAGGCGGCCAAAAAGACCACTTCGGCGGCCGTTTTAGGAGTCCTGCTAACCAATCCTCGTCTTGGCATCAGATGGGCGTATTCCTACGGCTACAGGCTTTCCCTCCACGCCAGGCCACGCGTTTCATGCCCTTTGACGCTAGTCTCAAATGGGACTTTTGTTGCTATCTTGTTCGACATCATCTATCTAAACGCTCTCACTGCGGTCGCTGTAGAGGGGAGCCGTTTTTGGCTCCTCGATCGACCATCATGCTCTCTCCAGTTATATGCAAGTCTCATAGCGCCGACCGTGTCCTTCTCTGCTTCCATCCTTCCTACCATGAGCATCTCTCGCAGCTCTTCCAGTCCTTTTGAAGTCCGTCCTCGTCTACAAAACCGTTATTATCCTCACCTTCTTTGTTCCTACTCCAGGTTTTCCTTTGTTTGCCGGTTCCCCGCGGGCTGTGTCGACCATGGCGCCTCGCTCCCGACCAGTTGGATCTGATGACAAAGAGAATCAGACTGATGCCGGTTCTACGGGGCTAGAGACCACACAGCGAAAAATTATGAAAAGTCCCAGCCTCATAAAAGCGCCCACCGGTGTGACAATTGCCATGGGTCAGTTCTTACAGACCATGCAACCGCCCAGTGCAAGCCAGATCATTCTTTTTGTCTCTTTTCTCCTTCTGTCTCTTCTCGCTATATTGGCCTGCTGATACTGACTTGGCCACTCCGCGTGGGCTTGCCTGTGTTAATTGATGACTGATGCAGGGGGCTCTATAGGGATGGTTAATAACGAGTAAATTGAAGGTATAGATTGGGCAGCTCTCCGAGGAATTGCTAGTCCTTGGAGAAGGAATCAGTACACCTTCAGAGATCTTAGTATCACGCTGTGCACCCCTATCAGTAACTGGACGAAGCTGAGGAGTTGATATCAGATAATGCCGAGGAAGTGAAAGAAGCGAAGAAATCTTGATCTCCATTACCCTCCGTGGTATAAGGCTGATTTCTCACGGCCTCGTCATTGAAGGTGCAAATGGAGATTTTTTAAAATGGCAAAATGCCAAAATTGTAGGAAATATTCTGCGGTTAGTTATTGCACTTGTTGAAGATGGATCCCAACCAGCAAGTTGAGGAAACACGCCAAACTCGCCAGCCTCGATTGTGGATTCCCATAACAGCTTTAGCCAACATGAAGGCCACAATCCAAAAACATATCTCGTTGCCGATGAATTCTCAGGGTGAGACAATCTCCGAATTTCAGCGTGAGCCATATTGATCCGCTGCAGTTGACAAGAAAGATCAATGCGCCCTGGATTCCACTTGGTTTCCCTGGGAGATATTGGCAATGTTCTTATCCACTGGCCTATTGGCCGCTGGTTGAGAGATGGGGAAAACAAACCTGGATTTTTGTGTGGCCGCTCGCGTAGGCGTCAAGTTGACAGTTTTGGTGGGCAAGTCACTTGTAGACCTGGATTTCAGGTGTCGCGAGTATATTGTTGTAAGAAGTAAGCAAAATAGATCCAGGGTATGGAGAGATTTATATTCGCTGCCTTGTCAACACACAACCCCCAGGCACAGCCTCGCCTCAATAGCCACACTGGCACATCAGTCACATACGCAGTACAAGTACAGAGTACGGTAAATGAGATAAACCCACATAGTGCAATATTTTGCTACTAGGGCAGCTGTAGTACAGAGTACAAATAGTAGCTAGCCCCTTCTGTAACGAAAGTGCTTCCCGCCTAGTGTCCTTCACCCTAGTTCTCCCACCCCTCCTCGATCTATTACCCATATTTCGCAAGCAAAGTTCATGGTCCCTGACAATGGCATTTGCGAAATAGGTCAGAGACCTGATGAATATCGTCTTTCTGCTTGTACGACGCTCCCCTTGCCACACACAGTGTTGTAACTAATCGGTTGCTTTGGATCAGGGACCACTATCATCGACTCACGGATCTCCCCAGGTAACAGAAAACCAGCTTTTATGTTTGCGAGCAATGAGGATCCTTCTGACTCCCACATCCTTAGACCAGTCTCATAATTTTGAAAAACAACAGCTTCGCCATGCTGATCTGTCGGGATGCTAGTACACAGCACTGAGCCAAAGTAACCTCCCGCGCTGCCTACATCATCCTTAGACCGCCACAGCATTGCAACAGCCTGATCACTCGCTTCACGATCCCAAACATACTCACTTCCTAGAAGGACCGAATTCGCCACTGCGGGCGTTACCTTTGCCCCTTCAACGACTCTCCAGTTTTGTGTCTGAGCATTGAGAGCCACAGCATATAGCGGCACCCCCGCAAGGACTTTTTCGTACGGGGCCCATGCAGAGATGATAGGATACTCATGAGGGCTCACCACTTCAGGTAGAGTTTCTCCCTCGATTAAGGAGAGGTCATGCCGGTACCCGACCGGAAACGGGAGTATAGGGCTTGGGTTGTCGAAGCAGTTGGTAATCATCCCGACCTATGATAATGGTGAGCGTAACTCCTTAAGGAGAGTGTATGGCTCTCAGACGAGGAATACCTTCGCATTCGTTTTAAAGAGCAGAATATCCTTGCCTGTTGGATTATTGGACAGGCTCTGGTTCGATACACCGTACGCGCGAGAATCCCGGTCTAAGTGGGGATTTAGAAAACGATAGAGTGCGTTCTTTGCCCGAATTACCCAAGCTGCAACACGCATGAGAACCACTGGCAATGCAGGATTGCGCACATAAGCGTGGGTCACTGTTGTTAAAACCGTCTTTCCTCCTGGCAATTTCAACGTCAACCCCAAACACCCGACCGATTTTGCCTCTGTATCCGAGACAACTGCACCTGATTCGATATTTTGTGCTGTTGCATTAAACGTTGCTGTATCTAGAAGTACAACAAGCCCACCCACCTCACCCGGGTAGCCGAGGTTGTGGGTCCGCTCCACGTCTACGATGCTATCGAACAACATGCGAAGGAAGCCTGCAATCAGTAACTGGGCCCCGATTGCTTTCGGGAACAGGATGCGCAACGACTCCAGGTCTTGTTCTGTCAGAAATTTTCGTGGGTTAATCTGTCCCTTCACCAGGCTCTGCGCCAGTATGAACTGTGCTGCTGGGGTCGGTATGAGAGGGCTCTTCAGTGGATAACCTGCAGGGAGGATATGGATGTCCAGCCCGCCAGCTGTGATGCCGGAGACATTGCATGATATCAACCAAATGCGTCTACCGAAGGGCGAGCTGGTGATATATACAATTGAAGCTTTTGATAGGGATCTGTGATGCGTTCGGAGGAGTCTCTCATTGTCCCTTGTGGTCATCTGCTCTAATCCAGCCCGCAAGGATGCCCTCTCACCAGTGCCCCACTACATTGAATCAGTTCCTGTTCATGTTAGTGGCACAGAGCGCTCGCCTCTTGGTTTGGTTGACATACTTTGTATCAGACGATGCTCCCATTCACGCTCCTCCGCCTCCGGGCGGCGGTCCAGATCTTGATCGGTGTATCAACAGCTGGGTATGGGTATGTGGGTATGGCTGCTCTTGAGCCGTTTGATGTCCATTTTCGGAGATGATTGCAAAGATAACGTTCCTTGGTTCTTAACAGTTCTTGGTATCGACAAGATGCCACCTATCCGTGAAAGTGCCTTCCCGGGAAGGCGCCTTCCGCACCTTCCTGGGAAGATGTCACTATTATGTATCACACTTTTCCAACCAAGTCTAGATCGTTATCATTTACAGGTGCCGAAATTTCTACATCTGTTATGACATTATGCCGGAAATTATCGAGGCACAATTATTTCCATTGCTATCTTCAGAATACAGTGCTTATATGGTCTTTAGGGCTCCGTCTCCTTCCTGACAGCAAGAAAAATCACCGAAGCTAGTCCTCAACTTCGGATGACAAAAACTCGCTCCAACTACGAAATGTCTTTCACTGGCTCATCTACAAGCGATTAACTATACTGATTTAGCAAACATGCAAGAGAAGACGCCTTCCTCTCACACCAGATACAAACCTCTTCAATAACCCGTGTCCCCTGCCTCGTCCATGGCCACCACACCATCATCCAGCAACAAAAGTTTCCCTTGCTCCACAGCTCCCCCTCGCGAACCAATATGCTTTATGTCGATGCTATTTAACATGCCATTATCATCTACTTGTGCCTCCACTTTTTCACCCGCCGCTTTCGCTGTGGGTGCGCCACACTGATAGGATATTCATACCGATAGAATAAAAATCCATCTCACCATACCCATCATCTTACTATTCAATAGACATCGTTTACCATGCCTACTGAACGCGAAAATATCGAAGAACAAATCAAAAATGCCATTGCCACGTACGAACGCGATAAAACACAAAAAAATTCGCCCGCTGGCAGAGGCATTTAACGTGCCTTACCAACGGCTCCTTCGACGCGTCAAAGGGCTACCTGGGCGAAATTCTACCAAACCAGTTAACTATGCACTTGATAAGCACCAGGAGAATGCACTCAAACACTGGATTGAGCAATTAGATCAAGCTGGAGTGCCTCCAACAGCTAAAAGGATAGAAAAAAGTGCCAACTTGATCCTACAACGTGCCCATACGGACCCAACTACCCCTCCCAAAAAAGTCAGCAAAGAATGGCCATATCGCTTTCTTGAACGCTTAGGACCTGAATATACACGGCTTAAACAAAGGCCAAGGGATCCAAAGCGCCTACAATCTCAGGATCTTGGAATAATTCAGAACTGGTATGATCGGTTAGAGATCCTCCTTAGACAGTATCAGATCCAGCCTCAGGACTTCTATAATTTTGATGAAATTGGCTTTATGGAGGGCCAGGGCCGTGGAGAAGTGGTAATCACTAAATATCCATCAAGAGCTCAATATCCTGGTGCCTCTTTTTCTCGTGGTTTAATCTCTGTTGTGGAGTGTATTTCTGCAGATGGATCAGTCCTTCCTCCCTGCATTATTCTCCCAGGAAAGGGCCATCTAGAGGGGAGGTTTCCTAGCAAGTACGCTTTGCTCGTCGGATGGCTCGATAGTAACTATTTGTTACAGACCTAACCACATCAGCCTCACGTGATTATATGGGGAGTCAGGGCAGAATCACTGGATAATATTTGATGGTGGATGCAGGACAATACAGGGATCAGATAAATGCCGCACTCCGAATCACGTGATGATATATGTCTTGGCAACGATAGAGATATACCATTTGGTATATGTATACTATTTAGTATACATCTACCATACGGCAGCGATATACCAGGAGGGCAAAAAGGTTATATAAGGACACTCATTCATGTACTTAGTTTAGTTCTTCACAATCAATCTAGTTAATCAAGCATTGGTTACCTTCTAGTTTCTGACTCGTCCGCACTTAACCAACAACCCAGCATACGTGCTCGGTTGGCCTTGTTTCTCTATTCGTTACCTTTATTGTTTCGACTTGTTGATTATCTTACGAAGCCTGGAGGGGGCGACATACCTTCGACGTGATACACAGAAGACCTGGATGGTCATTGAGCATACGATTACTTGGAAGACACTTAGGGTAAGTGTCCTGTCTCGAAATACAACTAACTAGAACTCTAGGTACGATACGAGGGAAGCCAGGTTGTGACACTATTTTGGACCTCTCTCAATTCTGTTGTGGAGACTTCTTGTCCTTGCCATGCTCGTCTGGCCTGATTGTAGGTTCTGCGGGGCGTCTCTAATCTTTGGTCCCGCCAGCAAGATCATTTTAGGAAAATAATCTAGAAGATTCAAAAACGCTTGCGCAGTCCTGTATTTAACAATTAGGAATATCAGCATGTATGTTATCGTTCAGAACGGCAGATTCTGTATTGCCACATAAAATGTCAAGGTCTGAACCTGTAGAATCTATAGATATGCTATATCTAAATCGGTTTGATTTGCGTGACGGCTTAGCTCAGTGCAACATCTTCATCGACAAACACCATTAACATGGCAAACAATGCCAAGCAAGCAATCAAGACACAAGCCGCTTAGTGATGCCGCACAACTCCTATAAAACTTCTTCATGTAAATAGGCCTTTCTCCTTCTTTCCTTTCCTTCTCCAGATTCGATATTCTCGTCGATGGCTACACTAGTTTAGATAGGAATATCATTTCGTTAGTATCTACTAGTCCGAGCCCGTGACAGACCTGCGAACAAGCAAGTCAAAAGGTGGATCAAGCTTCTGTGCTGGGGCCCTCTAGGCCTCTAGGCAGCAAAAAAGGATATTTTTTGAAGAATTTCTAGGGATGGAAAGAAGTGGAGGGTAATGGAGATGTAGGCCTAGAAATGAGGTTGCTGTTTTATATTGGTCTAAAATAATCACTCTGTTTAGTGCAGATGCCGAACCGTTTGGGATTGCAGTAGAATATCTGACTGATTGCGACACCAAACAGTTCGACAGATAGTATCTTAATTTGCATCATAATCTTGAAACTGAACTGTTTTGGGAATCATGAATTAATGACTGTTAGCTGGGCATAAGCGGGCCGAAACTTACTATACAGGAGTCTCACCCACCAATGCATACGATTTTATATCAAAATGGTCAGAATTACAACCTCTCTCAACAACCGCAACTATAATTAATTCCATCACTCAATATTATTCTCCGCTAAGGCTACACGGAATACTAATCTTCAAAGGTTTGGAATAATCTGACCCAGGCGTTGCTGCGAATCAGTGCTGCGATTTATTGTAGATCACAACCCCCACGAACGACCAACTTTGTTCATCAATAGATCCACTACCAGAACTGATTTTATCGGGATTCTGGACTTGGGTCTCTTCCAATTTCTCGCGTCCTCAAAATCTCGTTTAAGGCTGCTGACGTGTCTATCTTCATCTACTAGTGACGCGGGACGCCTAGAGGCCGAGATCCGGTGCCCTGCGCCAATCGCATCTGGGCGTTGCAGCTCGAAGCCTCGCATGTCAAACACGCTGAAATGAAAAGGATGCGGCAAGTTCGCTATTGACTGGTAAATAGGGCAGGATACATGGATATCAATGGGAGCCGTTTCTGGCGCCCCGCTAACCGTCACAACTTATACTTACTAAAGTTTCAAGAGCTATTGATTCAACACTGTTTGAGATTTGAGAATGCAGTATCGTTTCTATATAAGCATAAAATGAGGTAGCATGGGGAACAATCAGAGTCCATAGAAACCGTGTATATATAGAGGAAGACAGTGTAGGGAAGACAACATAGAGGCGCCGAGAAAAGGAAAGGGGGAAGGAAAGAAGGAAAGAAGGAAAGAAGGAAAGAAGGGAAAAAGAAGGAAAGGAAAAACGAAGAAAGTATCTATTAGACAAGGTACTATTATACACGAAGGTAAAGGCATAGTCGGATTAAGGAGCGAGACGAATGAAATAGGAAATGTAAGACGCTGACAATAACAAGCTCAGGTAAAGATAGACAAAGACGCATAGAGACACAACAAAACAACCAAGGGAATAATGTATAAAACGACCAGGCAATGAATTCAGCAAGCTGGTGATGAACTGCTGCAGAAGAGTTGCAGGGAAAGAGAGTCAATGTAAAGCCGAAAATGGGACAAGACTTTCTGTTTTTGCGTTTTTCAGTTTTCATACCAAATCAGAATCGTTCATATGCTCTCTTTCTGGGCCTGCCAATGAAGATGGGTGACTTGAACGATTGCTGTCAAATACGGGTTAGGGCAAAAAGTAATGATAACGAACGGCACTTTTGTTTTCCTGCTTCCAACGCCAAAGCAAAGTGGTATGAATGGTCAAACACAAAAATTCCAAAACAAGTAAAAAAATCGAAGAAGGCATGTGCGCTGCTTCGATCATATGTCCATACTCCAACGGTATGGTCGTATTTGTTCAAATTGACCCATTCCGACATCATCGGGATGGTCGTTGATTTCCAGTTGTAAAAGCTGGACTTTGTTGTTACTATTGTTGTTGTTGCTATCACGGTGTAGAGTAGATAGGGTTTTCGAAATGGCTGGGCGGTAGATCTTGCTTTCATCGGTCGCTTTGGATGCAGGTCGCGAAACTGGGGTCTCTGGACAGCGCCATGACATCCCTTCTTCCGACTCTGCTGGCGAGGATAAAGGTGAAGGAGGTTCTGAGGGTGAATGGAGCGATGCGATCACAAAGTTCGACTCGTCTCGTCCATGAGCGTGCAAATTCGACAATGGACGGCGAATCCGAGGGCTCTGTTCGGGGTCCGATGCTCTTTGAGCATGGTAACTGGGGTATACGGTAATCGGGGAGGGCTTGGGAGGCTTGCTCTTCTCGGGGACGGAAGAAAGAGCAGAAGGTTGTAGTTGACGCTGTCGTTGGTTTCGTTCAGGCAATAGCACGTCCTCATCATCCTCATCTAGTCGCGAGCTGCCAGGGGGACTACAACGGACCGAAACGCGGGACCGCTCCTTTCCCGCCATGACCTTGGCACTGGGCGGAGGCTGCAGCATCCATCTCGTCTCCGCTCTGCTCTTGGGACCACTTACGATGGGCGGATGTAAGTCATTGACAGGAGGAACGCGAGCAATGTAGTATTTGCTGGGTTCTTTGGCGGCCGCCTTGCCGCGACCGGAAAGACCAACCGAGGAACCTTTGACTTCAGCTTCCTCACCCCATAAGGGTTCATCTTCACGCTGGTACCGCATGCGACCCCACCGATCCCCTCTAAGGGGTCTCTTATCCTTCCTTTGCGACGGTGACAGGCCTTCCACATCCGCATCCATGCTGCAGTCCGACATATCATCCACATTCCAGCTATCGGTGCGACGATTAAGGGCGCGATGGTTTCTGGCGGGAGGCCCTGGGCCTAATGCGATTTCCTCGTTCCATCCCGGATTCGTGCTAAAGGGGATTGGTTGGACGAACGGTCTTGGTTGATCGGTAATGAGGGCTTCGGACTTTTCCCTTTCGCGTTTAGAGCGGACGGCATCTTTTAATCGCTTTCGACGGTCAATGGAATTGGCACACGGCGTACAGGAGGCATAGTAGAAGACGGCGGATTGGACTCCTCTATAGAGCCACATGATTCACCCCTGGCGTGAATGAGGGGGAAGGAAGAGGTGTAGGAGGGGGATATAGCGAGGGAAGTGTATACTAGTTATGAAACGGCGGATGACGATAGACGGGATACGACGGGTGCACTCCGAAACAAACCAAGGAGGCGATAGAGTCCAACAGTTCAAGATGTGCACTGCGTCTGAAAACACGAAATAATCGAGTTTGTAGTATACTGGCACGATAAAGACCACATGAAGGGCGTCTTGGGGGGTCAGGGAGGTCGCGTATGGCGATGAATAGGGATATGCGGCAAGGCAGATTGCGAACGGAGATCGTCCAGCGACCTGCAACGTCAGAAGGGGAGGGGAGGGGAGGGGAGAGAGAGGGAAGTGACAGCCTGGGGCCAAAAGGGAAAGGAGGAAACAAAATGAAAAAAACACAAAAAACAAGTGAGGAAAGAGAGTGTCAGGAGAGAGAAAAAAAAAAAAAAAAGGGAAAGAGGAAAAGAAAAGAGAATATGGAGAGGGACGGCCTGGAGTGGAGGTGCCGTTTAATTGAGGCGGTCGCGGTTAGGGGGATGAATTATACATAGCAAGTAGTTATGCACGGTAGTACTATTACTGGTGACTCCGGAGAATATTGGGCATTGCTACAGGCAGCATAGTATTCTCTTTATTGAGAGTAGCACTGCTATACTGACATCTTGTACGGAGTGCTCTGTACTGGGTCTACGGGGATAACCTCAATTAAAGCCAGAACCTTGAAACTGTGCCGTCGGAGCAGCCGGAGCGAAAGTAAATTTCTCTTCACGGAGAAATGCTCAAATAATATCCTCGCTTAGGTTTACTACTATTGATCACTGGTGTCATATATACGAGCAGGAATGCCGTGCAGAGCATCGTGGCTGGTGCCCGAATTCCCCCAAACCCCATAACATAGCCATATGGCAACCAGTCACACGGAAACACACGGATGCTTGGCCCCAATCTATTTTCTACCTGGTAACGCGTCTGCCTGGGCCACGAATTTATGATTATGTTTTCTTGTAGTGATAGAAGTTCTCTGTCTGTATTGTCTGTATAGTAGTAGATTGGGTATCTCCTCCGAATAAGCTCTTCCAATCTCGACAACAATTATTTCATGACTTGTCGCGAGGAGTTCAGATCGGAGGTCGTCAACACTGCCCCTTTAGTTCAATTTCAATCACGCCACCCATAGCAGTCGTCTTCCATAGCAGTGATCTTACTCCAGGTGTCGCTCGCGCAGGATTGGTCCACGGCCGTAGTACTCCGTCCTCATATGATGCCAACCACACGCACTTTTCCAAGCCGGACAAGAAAATGAGAGAGAAAGCGTGAGAAATGTAAAGCCCAGGTAATGGTCAAACACCGATAATCACCAACACCGTTCCCACGACCAGCCGACGAAAGGAAAAACGGTAACAAAAGTCAGCTGGAACTCCGTCTCACGCATTCTTCGTCCCTCGCACAACCTCCCCGCGCACCTTTGTCCAGTCGATATCATTATCAATCCCTTCATCCACCTCTCCGCACACCACCACATTATCTCCTCGGATCAGATACAGTCCATGTTCAATCTGCGAGCTGGGCTCGGGGTCGTCCGGCGTCCGGATAATGCGCTCAACAGTATTCAACAGCGCGAGGTTCGTCAACTGGTCGGTTGATAGGAGCGTGCCCACGAGCGTGCGGCCGTCGACGGTCAGGATGAGAACCTTCTCTGTACGACAGTGATTAGTGACAACCAAAGGAGCTGAGTTCTGAATACTTGATGTGATGAAATTAGACTTACTGTTGATGTACGGATTGAGAGACATAATTAAGCAGGGAAATGCGAGGGACGGATCGGGTCAAATGGTTTCGTCAGAAACAGAGCCCTGTCACGTCCTAGTGCGAGGAGCCGCAAGAGTGTGTGATTGCTTTTGTCGCTTTCCCCGCAGATTCAGGACAGTAAAACAACCTCAAAAGCGACACCTGGTGCAAGAGACCCTTTTCTCTTTCCTTCTATTTAAAATCGTATCTCGAGACAAAAATCCTGCAATGATCCTCTTGATCAATTGCCCGTCGAGCTAGTTGTTACGGATAATTCGTTGCTCGTCGTGTAGATGAATTCAATTTCGCATCCACGTAGCGGTATGTTCACGTGGTTTTCTCGCTGTTCGGGGTCCAGTCAGCTTGGAGAATGTGTCCCAGGTCGATGATGCAGCTCAATTTGTCTGACCACGGCCTTGGATTCGGGGATATCGTTGTGTTGATGCTGTTGTGTCTGTTTTGCGCTTCGTTTCGTCGCTCCGCCGAGGAGGATAAACCCGACCTCCGAAGCTTACCCAGTCACGTGTATGATATCACCTTATCGACTTATCTACTTTATCTACAATGTTCTGGCTGATAAACTACAATTGGATGTTCCGAAGGGGTAAAAATGTAAAGCACTTCCATTAACAATATATGCAATTTACAAAAGGACGACGAGTAGACCACCGGATGCTGCAATCTAGAAAAACCCAATTCAACCACTCAATGTACTCAGATCAAGAGGTACACTGCTTCCCCGTCCTGCACGGTATCTTCGTACCTCTCGTGAGAATGGCCTTGGCTTCGGCAAGAGTCCTTCGCTTTGGAACTTGAACCGATTGTCATCCACCGTAAGAATTCCGTGTCCACCAGCTGCTCCCAATGATGGTCCGCCATTGCTAAGCGTATAAGCACCTGTCTCTTGTGGAGGAGCACGCGCAGGCGGCGGAGAGGCCTGGGGAGCTGATGGCGGTGAAACTGGGGGCGGCGGAGGAGGTACTGCGGGTGCCGATGCTGGAGGAGGGGGCGGCGGCGGAACCGCTGGTGCTGATTCCTTGTGCCCAAGAGCGTTTCGAGCTGCTTGTACGGCTATCGAAGCACCACCAATTCCATTCTGTGATGGTGCGGACGGCGGAGGCGGAGGGGTCGATCGTGCTGGGCCAGGAGGAGGAGGTGGTGGCCGCGGAGCTGCCGGCGGAGGCGGAGTAGGCGCAGATGGAGCGGAAAAGGGTGGCGGAGGAGGAGCGGGAGTGGAAGGTTTTCTTGGAGAAACCGGAGGAGGTGGTGGCTTTGAAGACCCCGGCAGCGGAGGAGGTGCGCGCGGCGGTGGTGTATCTGGTGCAGTCCTCGATGACACGGTCGACGATGGCCGGGAGGCCGGTCTCGGCGGCGGTTTGCGAAGAGCGGCAACCAACGGATTAGGCGCAGGAGGCGATTCTGTGGAGGGTGGTAGTGGGGGAGGGCGAGCGCCTGGTGGTCTAGGGGCTGTTGGGGGCTTTGGCGCGGACGCAGCGGGTGGTTTAGGCCCCGAGTTGTCCGAGACATATGGCGAATCTTGTTTGTTGGCCCCCGTATCGACTCCTCCTCGACTGCGCAACTTGGGCATACCCCCCGCGAAGAGCCCACCTAGTTGAGCAGCGGGGGCACTCGGGCCACTGTCAACCCCTGAGCCAGCTTCGCTGCCACTTCGTAATCGGTTACCAGAGGGAACAGGTGGTGCAGCTGGCGGCCTGGCCATAGTAGGAACCGGCGGAGCGCCAGCAACAGGAGGACCACCCGCGTTCCCAACTGGGCCTCCTCCAACGACCGGCGCCGATCTGTCATTGGTAACGGCCTTTTTCAAACGAGTTCCCTTATTGATATCTGAAAGAAGTGCGCCCTGTTAAGGTAGTTGAGTATGTCAGCAACTGAGCTTGCGAATTCCGAAAACCATTCGCATCCATCAACACCATGAGCCTACCCGATCTTTTGCTTGTCCCTTCGATGGTCTGCTCGGCAGGTTGCCTGGAGGTGGAGGTGGAGGAGGGCCTCCCATCCCTCCGGGCGGCGGAGGGGGAGGAGGAGGAGGCGGCATTCCGTGGAGATTGAAGCAAGCGGCACAGTCAGATAGAATTCAGGAAAGAAGTTGCGCAAAAATCCAATCGAGTTGGTGGTGTAGAGATGCGTTCGCGGAAGTGGAATGGACAGATCGTGAGTTACCTTGGAGTCAGCGACAGGGCAGAGCGAGAACGTCAGGCAACGAAAGCGCGCTTCTCCGTAGTGGCGGTGCTTATGGGGCGGCAGAAAGGCACCGCTTTTTCTTGAGGCGTTCGATTTTCCGCTGAGCGAAGACACTCCATCAAGCAGCCCAAGGCTCCAACAATCGACATAAATTATGAACGGAATTGCCTTGAGGGGGCAAAAGACGCCGCGGCCTCAAGGGCTGGTCTGTCAATTCTGCCAGTTTTCCAAGCCACCGACACCCCGTCGCACACCATTCGCACGGCAGTATGTCTCGACCGGCCCGCTACACCGGAATGGGCATTTGGGGCAATTGCGCTCGAAGAATGGGCTGGAAACACCGTCGATCTCCTCACCATTAGCAACTAGAAGATTCGAGTCGAGCACGTCCCAACAGTCACCTCCCCTGGACCCCAAAGCAGCCCTGCAGGAGGTAGCGCACGAAGCCTCAATAATCCACAATACCGATTCGGTCCCCTCCGATCCATCTGTGGTGCAACTACTCGAGAAATGTCAGGAAATCGCAGAAGCCCTCGTGTCCAGAGAACAAGATCACCAACGAGAGGCGTCCACCGCATCCAGAGAAGAAGGAAATGCGATCTCGTCCCTGTTAGACCTGGAGGAGAGGAACGCAAAGAAGCGTCCGGTACCAGCCAGAAACACACACCCACAACTAGTCAACTCCGTGTCGCGAATTGCCAATGATATCGTGAAGGATAAGAAGGTGTTCATCTCCCCTAGCGTGCTGTCATGTTATACCAAGATCCAGACCCTACTAAACAACGCCGAACACTTCCCCGAAATCTTCCATCTATATGCCCACAAGCCGGTCCCCGAGCAAAACTCATCACCAGTGAAATGCCACAAAGCAAATCCTTCCAATATCAACTCCGCCGTCCCCTCCGAACTAGCCAACATGGCTCTCGACGTCGCCATCGAGCAACGGAACCTTTCCCTCGTCCTGGCCATCATCGATAACACATTCTGTACTAAGGCCTTCCACCGCTCCAAGGTCTTTCGCAAAGCTAGTGCTCCTTTACTAGGTATGACCACCGCCCCGGTAGCCTGCTACAGTATTGCATCTTGGGCTTCTAGCCTGCAGAACACGATGGATTCTAGTACGGCAACGGGGATTGCTTTCGCGGCTGGCCTTGCGTATGTCGGGGGTGTGTCGTCGATTGGTGTTTTGGCTATCACTACGGCCAATGATCAGATGGAACGGGTGACATGGTTGCCTGGTATTCCCTTACGGCATCGTTGGCTTCGGGAGGAGGAGCGTGCTGCTATGGATAAGGTTGCGCTTGCTTGGGGTTTCAAGAGCATTGATTATCGAGGTGAGGAAGAGGGTGAGGAGTGGGAGGCTTTGCGGGAGTTTATTGGTATGAGAGGGATGATTTTGGATAGGACCGATCTTATGCCTGGGATGCAGTAGCCAACCATAACTATACCATTTAGCGACATCTTTCATGTACTTATTGTTAGACAATTTCTACGCAGAGAAAAACTCTTCTTCTACTTCAAAGCAACTACGAAATGCAACATAATAATAGGAACAAAAGTCGTGAGTTCATATTTCCGTAACAAAAATGTCCTATATACTTCTCACACTTATGCTCCTACCAAATGACCCCAGCGTGACGCGTGACAAGACAGCGCAGAGACTCTAGTACAGACGCTTGGGGGGAGACATGGAAGCCTTGATGACAAGGCTGCCAACGTTCTGCCAGCCCTTCTTAAGAAGAGAGACGAGGTAGTTGATGGCCAACATGATGTTAGCGACCAGCTCGTCCTGGGTCATGCCAACGTTGCCGACGGCGACACCAAGGCACAGCACCTTCTTGAGCTGGAACTTGATGGTCGACTTGACATCGGTGACCTTAGCGTTAAGGTCCTCGGCGTGGGAGACCGGGGTAGGGAATTTACCGGCTGAAATCCATGTCAGTAAGATCTTCTTTTCTCTCTTCAAAAAACGAGGAGCAACATACCCTTGGAGAGACCGGGACCCAAGAGACGGGGAATCTGCTTGATGAGACCCTCGGAAGCGACGAAAGCATCATACTTGCGAGCAAGCTTCTTGATGAGCTTCTTGTTCTTGTTCAGCTTACGGAGGTCCTCAGCAGACATGCCATCGAGGCCGTGGTGCTTAGCACGGTCAAGATCGTGCTGGTCACCAAGAACACTATATACGATCGTCAGTTATTGATCCCTTCTCACTCGTTTATCATCCTGCTGCGATGCTTTCTAATCGAGGTTTCGAGGTCAAACGTACCAGATGGACATGTTGGGACGAGGGACAGAGGGCAGCTTGATGGTGCCGGAGAAACGCTTGTCACGCTGGGGGTCATAGTTCTTCAGACCGATCTGAAGCTCGACGGTCTCGAGGAAGTTCCTCTTCTTTTCATTCTGAGAGTAGTTGAGCAACTGCTCGACATTCTGGCGCACTCCGGCTGTCACACAAAATCGTATTAGTCACTTGATTCTTCCAAGAATACCCCCGATGTGATCAAAACAATGGAAGACTTACCGACTGTGATCTTAGACATGATGGCGACAGTCTTCCAAAAGAAGTTCTTATGGTGAGGCTCTGCGCTGAATGTCGTTGCGAGGACGAAGAAAAAAAGGCACTCTGCCGCTGTGAGAAAATCGTCTCCGCTTGTGGGTGCGGATGACGCTAGCCTCTTTGGGGATAGCAGTGCCCTAAGCGATGACTAAACATATACTGGACGAGTCTCTCGACGATACCTAAATATTTTACCTTACTTGTCTTGATTTTATGGATTTTGATTGATGAATGAAGTATATAAAACAATAAGCTGGCAAAATAACACAATCAAGCCGTAAACCCGAGGTATCCCCAATCCCAAATCTGACTCAGCCCACCAAGATCCATATTAGACAAATCGTCAAGATTCGTCACTTGAGGCATCGTAGCTCCCGCATTATAGAACCCCATCCTTGAAGACGATGAAATTCCCGGATCAAAGACACTCGTTGTTGGGGGTGCCCCAAACATACCGCTTGTATACCCAGGAGGGAATTGCTGATGATCTTGATGACCATCAGATGGGGTTTTGGGACCTCCTCTCGTTGATGAACTTACTGGCAACATGGACTCGTGGAATATTCGTTCTTTCAGTTCTGGGGGAAGTTGGGCACGATATTTTTAAGGATCGCATAGCATGTTGCACCGAGCTTGGTGTTCCGAACCTGATCCAACATGTTCAGAGCAGAGCCAATAGTCTCGATGATCTTCGCTCGTTGCGGGAGTGAATAGTCACTGTCATGGGCTATTGCTGAACACAGGCAAGCGGCCGTGTCGAAGATGAGGAAAGTCGCCAGGTAGAACTTGGCATTTATGGGAAGCAAGCAGTCTAATAGCTGACGGGAGATTTCCATCAACTTCAATGCGCAGCGAACGGCCGTCTGTCGCATGTTCTTCTCGGTATCTGTCATCGAGTCGACGCTCCTTGTGAGGGTCAGCTTCACAGGGAAGAAAATCATCACATGTCCTATAGCTTGCAATTGATAACGCTGGAACATCACGTAGTGGTAATCCTTGTCCCAACGCATGTCCGGGTTTGTGAGGCTATAAGCTTGTGGAAAGGAAGTCATCCAATTCTCAGCTGTCCGTTGAATGGAGTCTGCTTGTTCAGGTAACATAATACCCCCTGGAACTTCAGGTATCTTTGTCATCTCTTTGCCCAGTTCGCATTGGAGAGCAATGTGTGCCATCGGGGACGGCACTCCTTTCGGCATATCAAGGCTTTCCAACCGCAAATTGGGCAGTTCGAAGCTGTAATAATTGGTGTTGATGACAAACGGACGGGCTAGCATAACTGACATTTGCCTTTTGCAGTGAGTTATGGTCCTGTCACGAATCGCAAGAGAGTTCCTTACCAGTCCCAAGAGTATAAGAGACACCAAATTCGTCTCCGCATCTCCTTGCCAAATTCAGATACATCTGGGCTGAAAGACGCTTATACATGCCTATCGGGTTGTTCAATTAACATCAGTCAACAAAGCTATTTAAATTGCATTCACACTTACCCAATTCTTGTGCCTCATGGATAGAAGCGCTTAGCGAGTGCCAGGACTCGATAAAAAGACCTTCTGTCTTGTACCAGAATGCCATAAGAAATAGCTGCTGCACTTGCGCGAGACCGCCTTTACCTGGGGAAATGGTACCGCTTAATCGTTGGGCAGCGTTATGATAGCGCTCAGATAAGGTTTGGACGCTTTCACCCAATTCTGTTTCGAGTTTTTCTTGCAGTCTCATGTCAAGGTAAAGCGCTGAGCATGCACATACTCACAAAAGCAGACATGTAAATTGGGGAGTCAGTACTTGAGCCCAAGTCCTGTTTGTCCACCATACGGAATAATCGTAGGAGAACATTGGCGGATACAGAGTATAGTAGTGATGATTTGTATCACCTAGGAAATGTTGCACCAGGATGTCTGAATAGGAGTCAACAGAAATATTCGTTATCGCAATTGACATGCTTACCTGTATAGGGCTTCGGAGGAACCACTCGCAAGGCGCTCTCCATCTCAGGAGACAAGGCCTGAGACACCTTTGAGATTGCTGCTGAGCCCTTCTGAAATCAGTAAAGACGCTCAGAAAGCATTACTCAGTTTATACCTTGGTGTTTTCAACTGGCGAGTACTGCTCATTAGGAAGATACCCTAAAATCCGGATATCCTCATCGCCGGTGACATTTGGGATAGCAGGTTCAGACGCAGTTAGTTATATTGGCATATTGACACCGTAGTTGCGGCTACCATTGCTTTCTACTGGTCTGGGATTCGTATTAGACAAACAATATATAAAAGTTTCAGGCTTCATACAAACCTTGCATTTGTGTTATTGACGGCCGGTGCGCCCGCCCTCAACACCTTTTTAGGCGTAAATTTACACAGATGCGGCATCCGCCTCAATTGAAAATGATTACATGGCCACTCTCGGCTGCACTGCTGAAGTGTCAGGATTGTCTACCGGGGTAGAAACAACGGCTTCGTAAGATATGGGCCATGAGCTTTCCTTTTGCTTTCGGCGTTGACACTGTACATGCCGCCGCAATGCGAACAGTTCTACCCTGACCAACTTAGGATGTCATTATACAAGTACTCAGCTGGGAAAAATTGCAAGCTAGTTATATAATAACGAAAATAAGTACTACAATCAATTGAAGAGATCAAGATACCGAGCTAAAGGACGACACCCTGACTGGTGACTAATCACCCGCTAGACCCGAACGGTCACAGTGGATCATACAGTTACACTAGCCCTATTAAGAAGAACAGTGGTATTTTTGATCCATGACTCCAACCGGGCCGGATCTAAATAAAGCACAGTTTACTGTGCATAACACGACCTCTAAGAACATCAGAAACAGATAACCATAGATTAAATCCTTGACGACGGGCCGACCCAGAAGTGCCGATTTCGCAATCGCTGTGACCAATCATGGCAAGTCATCTGCCAACAGCGATGCGCCCGTGTGCGACTCGGCGGCTAAATCAGCTTTGTTGAGAGAGTTCCGGTAGGCAGTCACAAGACAAGGCTGTATATCGCAGATGACTGCGGTCACTTGCGAGGTGAATAATAGATCGGCAGCAGGTATAAATATATGAGGCTCTTTTCCTCTTTCTTGTAAATAGTAAATTATTTCTTGTTAGCAGCATTCAGCTGTTGTCCCTGTCTAGATAAAGTATCCTTTCAGTCCAAAAATGACAGAATCTTCATCGTGGGCTTTCCAAAAGCCATACGAATATTACTCGAGTTTTGAAAACCAACCCCACCTTTGCGACAAATTTCGCGACATTGATGACGAGGCGAACTTCCGGACATATTTACACCTGCTCGAGGACGCGCACACGCATAATTTCGTGCTAGACTTTGGGAATGAAGACGCATGGTGCGCAGTGGATCTGGAAAGGGACGACATCGCGTCGCTACTTTGCAGTCCAGTAAGTGCTGACTGGGGTCGACAAAGAACGAGCTTGGTTAGGATCGCATGCTGATCCTTTGGTTACATCTAGAGACCAAGATGTATTGGAACACGGTGGATGTGAGTAAGTCATTTTCGCTTAGCGGGGAATTTGCTGACTTGAATAGTAATATCTGGGCGCCAGAGGAACAGAAAAAGATGATCAAAGTTAGTTCCCAGTATATAAATGCGCCGCATGTCAAACTGACTTGTCAAGACGATTATGAGCCATTATGGCGTCTCAGAACGATTGCAAGGAATGATGTGCACAGAGCCGGTAGTACAAATACCGACACCGAAGCCCGAAGAACCGGTTCCTAGTTCCCCCGGTGCGAGTACTCTTCGTTCGAGACGTTCGCGACACAAAAGCTTTAATCAGCCAAGCCAGACCCGAGTAGATGACCTCGAGAGCGGGGTTTCGTTGGGGGATTTGGATACCGAGGAGATTCACAGAGCTGCGTCGTTCAAGGGCCTCACATTCGCGCAGGTTGCAAACCAGATTTGGCATTTCTGTTCTGTGGATCATGGTCCGAGATGTACGGTAGCAACCTATCCGTACATTTTCTTGGAACATGCTGATGGATATCCCAGATACTTGTATCGGATATAATTCCCTCTATGTGACTTCGAAAGTTCAGATAAGCAATGGGAAAGATTTACCAGATGGGAAGCGGTTGTGGTCATGGCTCATACTTTTCGACGATGGTACGGCATATATTCTGTTCAAGTATTCGCTATCTTACACTGACTTTATCCAAGGTACCGTCGTGTCGATACAAGAAAACCCCTATCCCAGACCGGCAGGACCATTACCAGATGAAGCCAGAACCGTCCTAGGAACAGTCCGCAGAAACATCCGATTCATTTTCTCTGGTGTATCTAGTCAGCATTCTGCCACATCTGAAAGTGAGTCGCTGGTCACGATTAGGGTACGGGGTCTCAACAGCAGCGCTGCGCCAGACCAGAGTATCAAACAAGAAGACAGTCCTAGCCTGCTTTTCTACTATATATTCGACGACTGGTTTTCGAGTTATAGTCTTGTTGCGAAGCGTGAGCACAAGTATGGAGTGACACTTGATCAGTTGGTACGAATCCCCTAAATTCGTGTTTCTTCACTTATCTGACGAGAAATACAGAGAGAAGATATGTTGACCAGACCCGCGGTCGAATTGGTTGACGAACTACACTGGCTAGGCCGACAATTGGCGGTTCTGAAACGGGTATACCAAAGCTACGAACTCATTATGTGGCGTCTCCTACAGCGACAACGCCTGCTCCGTGAGGAAGCAAAGAATCGACCAGCGTTCACAATTGGTAACGCATTTATGGAGAGCGAGTTTGGAGACTTGCGACAGCCGATACAGCAGAGCAACCTAAGCTTGATCAGTAACTATGATACTCAAGTGGGAGTTCAGTTGAGCTCTGCATCTGTGGCTCGATTTGAACGATTATTGGATCGGATTAAGCTCTATTGTCTGTCGGAAATTGATGCATGTTTGGTAGAGAAGGAGTCTTTGACATTCCTGGTGAGTTTCATCCCATTCTCTTGATGAACCTAGGTGCTGACCAATTAAATCAGAACTTCAACCTAATTGCCTTGAAAGACTCCCAAGCCGTCGAGAGGTTAACAAGAGTAACCGTTCTGCTAGCCAAAGTGACAATCCTGTTCCTGCCCGTCAGTCTAATGACTGGATATTTCTCGACTGAACTTGTGGAAGTCAAAGGCGTATACACGATCAATCAGTACTGGGTGAGCTTTGGGGTGATTGTGTTCCTGTCGTTTGTCCTGCTGGTGGTGTTTGGTGTTGCTAGTGATACAGTGGAGGGGAAGACAATTTACGCGTCATTGTTCCGGACGTTCTTTCGGTTTTCGAGGCATCGGATGTCGCGTCCTGGAAGGGAGGGCGTTGAGCGGAGCTGATTCATCAGGAAATAACAAAGAATGGTGTTGTTATTCTTGTATTTGTAGCTAACAGAGAAAATCAATATACCCCATGCTTTTATCTGTGAGACTGAGTACAACAGATATATGACAGATTAATTAGGCATGGCTGGTGTCCCATTCCAACTTTCTGCTAAAGAAATTTAGCAATGTCGATAAGATCCTGCGCATTCAGCTGGATATCCTTTTCACGGGGTCCCGGCCTACGATCAAGCAAAGCCCGAGAGTGAATGTACATCCGCGTGTTCTTAATTATTCGATCCTGGCTGAACTGTCCCATTTGTGAGATGTACTGCTGCTGCTCAGCAGGATGCTGCAGGGCCAGGGGAGGCATTTCCAAATATGGCCTTGTGAAATAGGACTTCTCAGGGGGTGACCGGCCCCGTTCTGTCAACTGCCGCATCTCCCAGTCGATGGTTTTCTTTATTTTGTTGATCAACAGAGTGATCACCATGCGAACTTGGCCATAGCTATTCTCAAACCACCAGCTGGCGTCCTCGATCACCTTTACTTGGGATTCACTCGTCCCCGACACGATGACGAGAGTTGGCCACTTGACTTCTTCTGCAGGTAGTTCTCTTCTTGTCGGTGGCAGGAAACAATCATCAGGCTGTTTCCCACCACGTCCAATTAGTGAGGGATAAGCCTTGGTACTCCCCCATCCAAAGTCCCGAAAACGAACGCCCCTGTCAAGGAGGGCATCGGTGATCTTGTCAGCCAGCCTCCTGGTAGTCATAGTATAAGCAGGCGATGGGATAATTCTAATTTGCCCTCTTTCGCCTTCCCAGCTTAGCCTGTAAATAACGCTGTCCATCATTTTGCGGTACTCGCCTAGGAGGACCGAGACGCCTTTGGGCAATCTTTTCACCATGAGATATTGATTGCTAGTTTCACCATCTTCATTGAGCTTGCGATGAAGGGCTTCGGCTTCTTGTTGGAGTGCTGCCATATTTTTAAATCTGATGACCGCGGGGTTAGTTGGTGGTGTTAGCTTCATATTGGGCTGTTGAGTGCGTTAATCAGAGAAATGTTAAGAGCCATTGCCAAATTTTGTGTGGACAGATAGGAGAAAACCAAGTGTCGACGCAAGTATGAGCGAACAGACATCTTTAGGACTTGTATGCTGCCTTAACCACCGTGGCTTTATCGGAGCCCTTGTTCGGTACTCGTACACAGCCATTTTAACGGCGCGAACAGCATCCATATATTCCCTTTTAGTATGACGCGTAGAGGTCCACCACCGAGTCCAGAACCCAGGGAACCTATCAGCAACTGGGGACACATAATAAAGTGGTGTGCCTGTGGCCTCTCCATACTTGAAGAGGCAAAGACACGGCACAAATATGGTGCGGAAACACCGTGTCCTCTTCGGAGAGGGAGATTGTATGTAGAAAAATGTGGCATTTCTGACGGACAGAATGACCTGATGATATTGGCTATATCTTGTTGTAATTTTTCCCTTTAGGATACCCCATTTTAATCCATTTCTATAAATGTTCTATACCTAATTTATAACTGTACTTGCTCTTGTTCACGGCTTAGTGACGGAAGCTACGCCGACCGCCGCACTCCTGGACCTGGCACCAAATTCCATCTAACCACTTGGACTATTCTATATTCACGTCTCACGCTTTTCTTTTCCTCGTCTTCAGCGTCACGTTTTACTACACTAATATCACCTTATTTTTTTTTTTTTTTTTTTTCTCTCGGTAAGTCACATTCGGATCTCCCGCTGCCTCGTGGTTATCTGTCTACCTGGCCTTTTTGGGCCTACAAATATTTTGCTACTTGTGTCCTTGTCGTCCGCCGCATGAGATTCTTCCCTTCCCTTTCCCTTTCCCTCTCTCTGTGTCTTTTCCACCCCTGATTCATCACACTTCATCGTCTTCACCGTTCTTCTCCTCCTTTTCTTCTTGTTCAGCCTTAACCTTCCTCGAAAAGGAAGAAATCCCGATTCCTTGTTGTTCCCTCGTGCAGTCGGTGCTTACCCCGTGTCCTTTAATATCTCATCCAAAAACACACCACTACTACCACCGCCACTACCCCATTCCTTCCATCACCGAACATCTCACTCTCTGATCTCGTCCTTATCTAACAAATTTGCGCTTTTTTTTTCAGGGCCTCGAGGACATACTTTCGCCACCGCAAACATGGGTCTCACCTTCTCGAAGTTGTTCGACCGGCTATGGGGACGTAAGGAGATGCGAATCCTGATGGTCGGTCTTGACGCCGCCGGAAAGACCACCATCCTGTATAAGCTGAAGTTGGGTGAAATCGTCACCACCATCCCCACAATTGGTCAGTCCTCTCTCGTTCGACCACGTCTATTCTAGGGTCGTTTCTGTCGTCGGAATGTTTTGCGCATGGAACACGGTCTGTCGGGTATTGAGCACGTGGCACTGACATCCGGCCTTTAGGTTTCAACGTCGAGACCGTCGAGTACAAGAACATTCAGTTTACTGTGTGGGATGTCGGTGGTCAGGACAAGATCCGTCCCCTCTGGAGACATTACTTCCAGAACACTCAGGGTATCATCTTTGTTGTCGACAGCAACGACCGTGACCGTATTGTCGAGGCCCGCGAAGAGTTGCAGCGCATGCTGAATGAAGATGAGCTCCGTGATGCTCTTCTCCTTGTTTTCGCTAACAAGCAAGATTTGCCGGTATGATTTCTGTCACATGCGATTGCGGCTCGATACTAGGTACTGACGTTTATTTTCTAGAACGCCATGAGCCCCGCCGAGATTACCCAGCAGCTTGGTCTGCAGAGCCTCACCCGCCGTGCTTGGGTAAGTTGAACTTATCGCTGATGTTCCTGTCGCCGTTTACTAATGTTATCTTCTCTAGTTCATCCAATCCACCTGCGCTACCACCGGTGACGGTCTCTACGAAGGTCTCGAGTGGCTCGCCGACGCTCTGCGGAAAACGAACCGTGACTAGACCCATTGTAATGAGATGAACTGGAAGAGATTATACCTAGAACTTGCTTGGCAGGGAGTTGCGGGTGATGGATGGGACATTGGGGCCGCCAACAGAAAAATCAAAAAGGCACCACGTGTAGGGAAGGGAACTGTTACCTCGGTGCTTTTGTGTTCTCTAACGGCTCTTGATTTTATGCTAATAGTTTCGTTTCTCTTTCGTCCCGGCGTCGATCCAACGAATACTCTTGTGTTTTAAACCGTTTTTATTATTTCATTTCTTTTCTCACTTGTGTTTTTTTTTTTTTGTCTCCATGTGCGTTGCTACCGTTTGAGAACAGAATTTACGATTCACCTGAGGATGGTCACGAGCATTGTCTTTTATGTCTTTATAGCACAGACTGTCTTCAGTAGGTATAGGAAAAGAGATTCCGTTGATTATGCTATTGGATCCTTACTCCCTACAGACGCCATTTCCTTATCTTCCATCACACACTCCCTCTCCCATCGCAACTCCCTTCCACTGACCCAACAGACGGCCGCCCGCACGATCTCAACAACAACCCTCAATTCCTTCTCATCCCTCGGCGCATACATCATTACAAATCCCGGCGGCAACTTCCTCCTCCCCGTCCTCAACACCTGCCACCACCAACTCTTCTCCCGCGCAATGGGATGTCTCTGCCCCCATCCATTCGCCAAGACCACCTTAACATCCGCCGGATGCAGACTCAAATGCAAACTTCCATCACTCGGATGCGCATGGCACACCTCTCCATTACAAGTCACGCGAGACCTTAACTTCTCCGCGACAAATATCCCAATACTATGCTTCTCAAAGCATGACGTATCAGTATACAACCCATGCGTGTGCGCATGCGTCTGCACCAGCGTCGATAACTCCCGACTCAATATCTTATACGTCGTATCATCCCCCCGTTGCGTTATCTGTCGCTGCGGCGCTATCCCTTCAACTACTGGCCGAGGGCCCTTCCGTGTCGGTAGTGTGTCGGGTGCGAGGAATCCATTCTGCGGGTGGAGCGTCGGGGGTAGGCGTGGTGGTTCGAACGGATTGCGGAGAGCGAAAGGGCGGAGGCAACAGAAGCCGATGTAACCTTTTAGGGATTGGGGAACACCGCCGGGGCCGAGGGAAATGAAGGCAGCGTAGTCTTTGCGGATTATGTGGGAGAAGAAGAGGAGAGGGGGGATTGCGAGGATTAGGAGGGTGGTGGTAGTATCATTGTTGAGGGTGAAGTTGAAGTTGAGGTCGAGAAGGGAGGGGAGGAAAGGAATTTGTGGGTGATTTGTCTAGTCATTGGTTAGATGGATATTCAATTGGTGGTTGTTGTGGCGAGGTTGCTTACCATGACTTGATAGTACCATATACTTGTACTCCGCAGTGTTCAATAGAGCTGGTGCACCTCGAGAATAAACGACTACTCAAAACCAGCGAACAATGCCCTTATATTCATCCTACGTATAGCCCATGTGACCTGTTTTTCTGTGGTTGATAACCACTAAAATGGAATGTTTTGGCCATTCTCCGTCGTCAAGGTTGCATCATGCTCCACTCCTTACTTCCAGCTCGTAGTATACATCCGTACTCTGTACAAATAGCACACGAATAGCCCAAGGATGGACTCAAATAACATTTACACCATATGGAATACTCGATATTCAATGCCAATTAAATGCCACTATACACGTAATTACTCCGTACTATGTGAAGGATTCACATCCGACCACCATCTATCGCCACCTACATCTGGAAAGACCTCCGTACAGCACTATTTGTACATAGTATGCATATGATCCCGTGGCATAATCCTCCGGTGATCCGTGACCATGCGGTGTACACAGCACTCGTACAAAGTACAGAACAGTCTGGCCGCCGACAGCTGATACATACAAGTAAATGCACCCACGAAGCCTGGCTGGCTGGTCTCAATTGTTGTACGGTGTATAGCAGTTATGTACGGAGTAGTATTTCTGCGATGTACGGGACATGGCTGTGTAGATGGTCATACTTTGGACAGAGTGTTGTGAGATAGACTATCTATGAGTATGGGAGTCATCGTTACTGCCTGAGGTGTCCGTGTCCACAAGGACGAAGTAGATGCACCATACCCGAACAGGTTAGTCTAGGCTCCAAATCACCATACTCGGATAGACAACAATACCTAGTACGGCTTCAGGCCAGTCGAGCATACAATGTTAGAACTACAAAATGTTAGATACGCGTTGGTTTCTAAACCACAGTTCCCTAGCATCCAATATACAAGATGAGCAGCCCAAGACGGACGGCACAGATGCTCTTGCAGATACCGAAGAAATGGACGGAGGAGCATCTGGAACCAGCAAATGCCAGAGTGATTACTGGTGTACCTGTAGAGGAAGTTGTGGACCCAAGTTACATCTCTGGTGATAAGGAGGATAGTAATCATCTATATACCCCCTAACTGGAAGTATACTGAGTCCTCATAACAAAGTTTGAAGTAGCTTGTAAACTTAATGTAACCCTCAACGATTTGAAAAAGACGGACTTGAATTGATTTGACCAAAGCTAGTACCGCCACTTTTACGAGGAACTTACTGAGCTAAGGGAAAGGAACACAGTATTTAACGAAGCCGATGGTCTTTCCCCCCATATTGGCGTCCTCAGAGTTATCATTGACGACAGCCGGGCTAGTTGGGGTTGGAAACAAATGGTAAGTACCATGACCATACTATATAATTATCTGAACAGCTGATCCCTTTTATACTTCTTCTAGAATTCCTGCTCTAAACGTCCGCGGAAGATTCTCAGCTGATGGGGCTATCATGAAGGAGCGTCAGTATCAGCCCTCTTTGACTGACGATGAGAGGCCTTTTATCCTTCTATCAGTGAGTATATTTACCCATAACATTATGCCAAATGTTATTATTAATGACCATTCGGATTATAAGAGAAAATTGCCGCTCAAGAGAAGCTAAACACGAAGTTCCATAAGCCCTCTTCCAGCTCATCCTATCCTACAACGAGAACACAGATCTTGACGAGTACGAGGCCTATGTAATTACTGTTGAACATAGTATATCGAGCGGTTGTGTCTGGGACGTACTTGAGGAGACTCTTTGCGCATCGGCGATTGTTTGAAGCATTTGAGTAGTATTGCCCGGAGCCGTTTGATTTATGGAAGAAAGCGGGAATAAAGGAGTTTATTAGGATTATGGTTGGTTACATCGACGTCTTTTGAAGGGTAGTGGGATGGACAAAGTAGAGATTGAGGGCCGGAAGGGTTGCCTGATACAGGGTTTACTTATGGGGGACGCTCATTTACTTGTGATAAAGTATCTAAAGCTGGTTGATTCAAGTAGTAATTTGGTTTGTATTGAACAAACGCCCTAATGAAAGTGAACATGGCTCGTGAAATTATACATGCTTGATCCTGAGAGGGAAACGCGTCTGGGCTGGAGCCTGCTGGGTATATTTTTCTGTAAAATCCCTACTTTCCTCCTACGGCTCTGCTGACGCAATGTCATCTACGCTATAAGTCACTCCCAAGCAAAACGAACTCTCAGAAAGAGCGCCTGTCTGTCGACGCCGACCCGTCGCCTACTCACTTGCTACTAAAAATTCCTCGGAAATGGACATCAGTGCACGTCCAAGCCGCAAATATCAAACTCATCCCATACGTATCCGCTGAAAAACTGGTGGTCTCACGTTATTTTCCTAAGAATGAAGATGAAAGTACGTCTCTAAGCATTCCTTTATTAAATATTTGTAATATTTGAGAACTGACGGGGCGATTGTGAAAACGGACAATCCATGCTCTCGTGTTCGAAAAGATAGACCCTTGGCTGTTCTCTCAAAGGTCAAAACTCCCACCCTCTAGTTTGCTAATCCTAACGCCGAAACCCGGTCCTTCAGATAACCAGGGAAAACTATCCCTTCAAAGCGGCGCAACATGTGATTTTATAAAGACTCTTCCATGGTGCTTGTGCCTATACCGAAAACCCCTATTTCGAGCATTACGATGGCTATGTAATCACTTTTGATTATACCATCCTCCATGTTTATCGAGGAACCGTGTCGGCTGAGTATCTAGAGATTTAATCCAAGGGTACCGGGCAAACCTATTGGAGCTATAATATTCAAAGGAGTTTGATTTGTTGGAGGTTAAAAGACGGAGGGAGTCGCTTAGGGTTATAATGGGGCCTCTTCGGTATCTACTTGAGTCGTATGGCTTGGTTTAATTAGAAGAGGGCAATTTAGAAGAGCTAGACAATAGTTATATTTGGCTATGCATGCTATAATTAAGTACTTGATCAACAGAGAAAGATATGAGTGGCCCTGACAAGATAGGGCCTAACACAGTGGTTGATTTTTTCCGCCTGCTATGTGTGCTTCCACTTAGAATAGAGCATCTGAAGCGGGTGAATATGTCAGATCTGGTCCATCCATATTGAATATAGTTCTGTTCCATTCACATCTTTGGCCTTCTTTATGGGACATTCCCTGCATACTACAAACGCCCCTCCGCCCTCTCCCCTCCGTCAATCTCGGTCTAATGGCTTAGATGGGTGAACGAGCAAGCCATGCAAACCAAAATAGGCACATCGAGCAAGTCGAGACCGTCATCAATGATGCTGGCTGAAAAAGGGCCAAACATAGCGTTTCCGTCAAGACAAACGTAGTCAATTCCACGTCCCACCCAGGGTGTCAGAGATGCAAACAAGTCAGAGGTCGAAAAACAAAAGAAGCATCAGTATCAGATCCTAATGCAAGAAGCCCCAGAGTCTGTTGTGATTACCCGAGGTCGCTCCCACACCAACCATCTATATTCTTGTGACTTGCAGCGAGAGACCACCCGTGAACTGTCCTGTATGTTGGCAGAACATATTGCTCTGTATGTATAGTGTAACTAACTGATCCCATCTAGAGCTCTGATCGTGCTTCATGAGGCTTCTTATATATGATCGAGCTCGTCAGTTTAGTGTCGGCAAAGTCAGTTGCAAGAAAGTTGAGAGTAACGAGCAGAAGGGTTTAAAGATCGGAAATGTGTTGTAATTGGGTTGTGGTATGAAATTGCTATATTCTGTCCGTGGGAGAAAAAAAAAAAAAAAAAAAAAAAAAAAAATTGGACGAGCCGCGGATTGAACGCGGGACTTCTCGCATGCAAAGCGAGCACTCTACCACTGAGTTACACGCCCTGATTATCCTGAATTTGCGGGGTATTTGCTATACCCACCACAACAACATTCAACTACGAATTGGCTATGTCCTATTATTAATCCCTTCAATTTAATTAATATGTTCATAAATTCTGTTAGCAAGCCAGCAAATCTTTTAGATCAGGACATATTCAGATATCTTTGATAGCAGGTGGCTCGCTAAAAAAACGCCTTTATTCGCCAGATATCCATATTCCAGTAAGTGTATCCAAAGTATGCAGCCAACATGCAACACATATACATCAAAAATATTTCATCCAGATTCATAAAAACAGATCTTTTGAAGCAAAATAATCAAGATCAATCATCCTTAATAACCTGGTCGTTCTGAAGCTCATTCTCCGATTTCTCCCCATCGTCAATCACCATGTCTACTTCCTTGATCGGATGTAACAACATTGGCGGCAGACACATTCGCCCCTCACCTGCCAGCTCCTCTTGTTCCCCACCGTCATTGTCAACCCGGTACCCAAGCCAACGTCTCCAAAGGTTGGGCGAGAAGCCCGCGGAGTAGAAAAAGGTCGTACCACGGAAGTTGTGTTCACGTTCGCCGAAGATGGCTGTCCGAGAACCACCAGAGGCGCCGTTGCGGCCGGCGTTGAAGACGGATTCGAGGTAGGTTGTTGGCCAGCGGCGGTCCATATAGATTGAGTGTGGAATGGAGACGGCCTTGAAGCCGTGGTGGAGGGCAGTGGTTGCGGGGAACATTTCGGAAAACATGCTGTGGCGCTTAAGGCTGGTTTCCTTGTGCATGGTTTGGAGGAGTTTGCGGGAGAGGCGCGAGGCAGTGATGATTACAGTGCGGCGAGGCGGCATTCCGTTGTCCTTGTTGTAGCCTGTTACGTCGTCGCGGAGAATCCAGGTCGTTCCTTCGGGGTCGTAAAGGGGGTTAAACACGATTAAGTCTGCATCTTCGCCAACGCCCCATTCGTATTTGTCCTTTTCCATTGTGGTCGGAGGGATGCCTTCGCCTTCCACCTCGAGGACGTCTTGCTCAACTGGACGCACAGGACCCCAGATAGACTGGTCGCCCTGACCCTGCCATGAACCTCGACCGATTCCAGAACCTCCTTTGGTCGGGTCTGTCCACATGTTGTTGGGACTGTTAGTGCCGGTCTCGGTTTGCACCCGGACCATTTGCTTGAAATCCTCCCAGGATCCGTGTACAGATGGGACGTAGAATCGAGCACTGCGTTCCCAAAGACCCTTCCGGGGCTGTGCTCTGGCCCAGCTGGAGACTTTTTCGAAGAAATGGTACCAGTGTCCAGTGTTGCGCGCGTCCATCTCCCAATTCCAGTAGTAGTCATATTCCGGATGTTGGTGGCCAAAGTATTGCATGCACATGAAGGTACTACGGTAGACACCATAGATCGGCAGGCCTCGCATCCCCGTCTCCTCCAGACCCGGGTACATGAGTTCCATCTGCTTCTCCGACCAAAGAGTTCCCATTCCGCGGAATTCCTCCGGGAGCGAATCATTGAGTACCCGTTCGTAGGTTTCGTCATCAGCCCAGATTTGCAAGTTTAAGTCCTTCACGTGGACGAGGAAATGCACCACATACTCTCCACCCGACAGAAGTGAAAGCTCAGAAATCAGGGAGCGCATGTACAAAATGTCTTCGGGTGTGTAACGGAAATCAGCCCAAGTCCGGATAACGACGGCTGTCCGGGGCAAACGGTCTGTTCCAGTTTTCGGTGGGTGCTTTTGGTCGTTCAAAGGCAATGGCTTCTCATGTTTGGGAACACCGACAGGCATGGACAAAAAACGATCCGGTCGCGCCTCTGGCAAATCTTTGAAGCGATGGTTGTTGCTGGCAACGCAACGGTTTTGAGCAGCAGCCCAGTCCACCTTGCGGAAATCCACCGGAGGGTGATCCTCCCAGATACGTTCAGAGCCGTCGCGATGACCCTCCAATCCTGCACCGATGCCTCCTTTCCTCACACTGTATCCCAGCCCGTAAGGACCAAGACGACCGAACCGATCAAAACAGACATCATCTTTTATCCCAAGAATCTCGTTAGAACCAATAACAGCATCGGGGAATCCGCGAGGAACACCGGGGAAGTAGTGAACCTGCGGAACCTTGACCGTTTGTTCCTCATCCAAGAAACACTCGCGCTTCTCGCCATATTTCTTCACGTATTCTGGCGACGAATACTCAGGGTAAGGACTAAACACCGAGCTGGAGAACGGAAGATCCCCATTGTCTCTGGATTGAATGTCATTCTTTTCCTCCGCAATGGCCTTTTCCTCCGCAATGGCATCTGCTGCTCCCAATCCCAATTCCTCAGATCCATCTCCAGGGTATTCCGGCGCATTATCCTTACGCGGTACCAGACTTTTCAGACCACCTTGGTACCGTTTCAAAAACGGAAAGCTCTCCCATACCGGCGGTCTAGCCATCGGCCTCGGTAAATCGATATGAACATTCATCACAGATGAGGCAAGCGTAAATCGGAACAGGGTAACGATAAAAAGCACAAGACCGGAAAATAGCGCCAGGCAGAGCCATCGCATGATCTTATTAGGAACACGAAAGCCCACCCCGGCGCGCGTGCGCCGCATGGCTGCGGGTGCTAACATGGGCTGCTGCTGAGCCTGTTGGTAGGAGGTAGCGACGGCCTGAGGTGGCGGCGATGACTCAAAATCGCTATCTGAATCGAAGGAGCTGCGACGGCGACGCTTATATCGGGCACCGGTGGGCTGTTTTTCGAGATCGATGGTGTCGGGGACCCGACTGGAGTTGGCTTTGTAGGCGGAGGAATGCCTCCGTGTCTGGACGGTCATGGTCGCGGGCCGTAGCAAACAAGCATCGACCGGTTCGACGTCACAGGAGTTCGAGAAGGCGTGGACAACGGAGAATCAATGGGACAACGGCATTGAATAAAGAAATCTTCGGTTTGTTAGAGGGAGAAAGGAGGGAGGGATCTATTCCCGTCTATTTTGCGTTTATCTGGTGGTCAGTTGAAAGTCTCACAACAGCAGCCGGAATCAGGAGAGGCGAGAATGCGCTATCACTAACCAGCAGAAACACCTTTTTAACAGCCAAGGCGGAAAGATCAAATGTCTGAGCTGTCAGGGAGAAGGAATGAATAGAACGACGCCGTTAAGGGTCCAGTTCACAAGCGCCGGAAGCGTCGTGGTCGATCGATCTCGGGCGCCCGAGCAAAAGCCGCAACTTAAAGAGACAGAGTAAATAAAAATAAAAGGGAACAATTCTAGAATAAAAAGAGGGGGGAGGAGAGAGAGAGAGAGAGAGAGAAACGGCTAACAGTTTAGTGTCTTTGAGACACTACCGATTTTCATAAGGCAAAAGTGGAGAGGAAGAAGTGGTGATGTGATGGTCTCCCCGGCAATGGATCATGGCTCGTTTCAGCATGACGCGCTCACATGACTTGGCGCAGGACATTTTGTATGACACGAGAGTAGTTCAGATGCACTACTCAATGCTGTGGATTTGAAAATTTTGAGTATCAGGGATGATATGGAGTGAATACAGAGGCCGGTTCAAGATGGTGGTTGTTGTATCGGGAATTGCGGGCGGAGGGGTTTTCCTACACATGCTACGGGGTCGACTTCCGGCGAAGTCCAAAAATATTTCATATATTCCTCACTATCATAATCGTAAACATCAAACGTCAACAGCTCGAAAGAGCCATGCATTACAGCTTGAGAGGGGATGGTTGCGAGTTAAGCCCCGACTCGATGGCCTTGATTTGTAGGGCCAAAAACTTGGAGTAGATCCGGCAGATAGCCAGGTTTCCTCCCATATACCAGAAGCCGGGGTGACCACTTGGGCGCCACATCTTTAGTATCATCATTAGCTTGACGTTCGAAAGCAGTAGAATGGGAAGATATCGTGAGCATACCCCGTTCAATTCACCCTCTTCGTCCAAATCCCACACATCCACAAGGCGATCAGCAACGCGATCCCCAAGGATCTTTCGAACAGTCGTCCGCATGTTGTCATAGCCAGTAGCCAGGACAACAATGTCTGCGTTCAACTTGTTGCCATCTTTCAGGATGAGACCGCGCTCATCGAAGCCCGAGATGCCCTCAGGACTATGCTTCATCTTGATCTTGCCGTCGATGATCAATGAGCTACATCCAACATCGATATAGTAGCCCCCACCCCGCGTATTGTATTGCCGGGAAATCCCTGCCCCATCAACGCCAAAGTCCAGTTTGAAACCGGCCTTCTTGAGACCTTCGAGGGTGTCCTTCTCCACGGCACGGACTCGGTTCGTGAAGTCAACGGCCAAGGCGAACTGGACAGGGAAGGGCAAGCTCTCCGTTACAATATCTGCTTCTTCGGTCGGAGCTCTGGTGATTGTTAGTGGATATGCCACATAGTAGTTATAGTAGGAATGTTCAAGGAGGTCATACCCATTCTCTTCATGGAGGCCCTCGTGCATCATGAAGACGCCCTTTTCAACTGTAATGACATATGTACCACTTCGCTGAAGCATGGTCGTATCGGCACCATTCTCATAAAAGTTCTGCGCAATGTCGTGTCCACTGTTCCCAGTACCAACCACGACCACCTTCTTGCCCTTCACATCGGGTTCTGAGGCGTCACGGTGCTGACTGCCATGGTATAATTGTCCCTTAAACCGCTCCTGTCCCGCAAAGGTGGGAACCTTTGGTTCGCCCGAGTGACCAGTACACCAGACAATATGCCGGGGGTGAAGGATTCGTTCGCTGCCATCGTCACGGATGAGGGTAACCGTCCACTGGGATTTCGAGTCATCGTATTCGGCAGACTTTATGCTGGTCTTGAGCCAGACGTTGAGTTCCATTATACTAGCATACGCTTCGAACCAGTCTCCGAGTTTGTCTTTGGGGGTGAACTGCGGCCAGTTCTTGGGAAACGGAAGGTACGCCATATGCGTAAACTCGGCCGGATCGTGGGTAACAAGGGTCTATACATAGAAAATGGATATGTTAACAGATGTCGTCTAAGTTACCGGTGGTAATTATCGAAGCCTACCCTGTAACGCTTTCTCCAGTTGTCCCCAATCCGCTCATTTTTGTCGACGATAAGATTCGATACTCCAATATTTTGAAGACGAGCAGCCGTATTAAGCCCTGCCTGGCCTATACACAAGGAAATGTCAGACCATAAAATGGATATACGAAAGATATAGTAACTTACCAGCACCAACAATTAGAGTCGCGGGCTCCTCATCAAGGAATTCGACTTGTCGCTTGCGCCTTTCGATCCAATTCCCTTTGGAAAGTCCACCAGGCATCGATTCAATGGTCCCTTCAGCTCGATTCGCACCAAGCGGTTCCTTGAACTGCTTCAATTCCTGCAGCGACGTGTATACAGCATATGCCTTCCACTGCCCAGTCTCGTTCACCGTGAGACGAAGAACACCGGTTCCATTCCCGACGCGAGACTCGAAAAAGAACATCGAAGAGATCCAGTTCAGATTTTCCCTCGGTTTCTCCAGCTTTGGCTGGAATTCCCCTTGGTGCTGTAGACGGAAAGAGGACAGCTGGAATCGGGGCTGGTTTCGACTGAGGAAGTCTTTAATCCCATCGGCGTTCTGCACCGTATGGAGGTCCCAATCCAAGGCCAGCATGTCTCGCCACCATGATTGCTCGTGGAAAAGCTCGGGGACCTTTGCATAGTCGCCAATGGCAAGCAACGTCTGCAAGTCGTTGAGCCATCGCTGGGCAACCTCACGAGGGTCCACGAATCGAGGGACTCCGGGGGTTGCAGGAAGCTGGATGATGTGATGATTTTGAGAAAGAGTCATGATGAATTAGAGAAAGAGGAAGAGGAATTGCGATTGAGATGCTGCAGAGAAGTCGAGAGCAAACACCATGGCTTACAGCAGTATAAATACCGAAGCCAAGCCAAGGGGCATGGGTAACTGTAGCGAGGGTTGAAATCATCGGAACCAGTTACAAAGCTGTTACTGAGCTGGAGTAACGGAACATTCGAGCTCGCGTGGATCGTCTCGAGGTCGTGGGGTGAGAGGGACGACCCCGGATTTGCTCCGAGGAAGGTTCCCCGAAGAGAGGGTGTCCAGATTGGGAAGGTGTAACGGGCTTTATTCAAATCTTCTGGACTCGTATATCGGCTTACCGATCAACGCAGGGAATACAATTATACATAGAAATTTGTACTCCGTACTATGCACGGAGTATATTACGGAAGCATCATATTTATGTATACACCTATAGAAGAGCATTCAGGGACGATAGTACTATATATTTGGAGCTATTGAATGAGCCTCGTGGAGATGCTCAGAGTACTCTCCATTCTGGTGAGCAATAAGTTTATAGAATAATCAACCACCAACTTGCTAGCATAATAATGACTGATGTAGTGCCTTATTTTGTAGTATTACTCTTCGCCAAGGGCCGTCCCCACGCTTTCCCACGCTTCGCGGGAACGACCCTTGGCGAAGAGTACTATCATCTTCGCGCAGCAACTATCTTATTCAGCATCGTCGTAAAAGTTACATAGCTTACCGTTCAATACGAGCAAATAGAATACGCTGGACGCACCTTCTCTCTCTGACCATCATTGAGTATTCCTTCTTCATCCGTCTGGCGTGGTGCCTTCCTTCCCTTTCGGGCAGTCATCACTGCCGCAAGAAGGAGCTGCTGCTGCCAAGAGAAGCAGTATATAAACCCCTTTGACCTCTTTTTCTCTTCTTCTTCCTTTTCCATCTCTCATCCATTCCTCCTTTTCATCGATATCATCCACTGCTATCCTCGTGCATCTTCCATCAGCATCATATCCCTTCGCATACTTCTCTATATTTCTGTCTTAGGAAGTACCCACAACTACATCATCAAGATGCAGCTTACTCTCGTTGCCAACGTCTTCCTTGGTCTTTGTCTCTCCGCGGCTGCCTCCCCTACCAACTTCACCCGGGCTCCTATCGTTGTGGACAATCCTTCGAGGCTGTTCGAGGCCCGTCTGCTGGAAAAGAACACCACGACCATCCGGGGCGCTCTCAACATCTGGGCTCGGTCAATCGGAGTCAAGGTCCATGCGGACTTCTGGGGGCTTCCAAAGGAGCAGGCATTGCGTATGTTCTCCCCTTGACGATATGATGTGACGACTGATGACTGACATATCTCTTCTCCAGCATACCATATCCATGCCCGTCGAGTCCCCGAGAATGGCAGTTGCGAAGCCACCGGTCCACACCTAGATCCCTACAACCGCGGCCAAGATCCTCCATGCGATGCCACTCATCCCGAAACTTGCGAGGTTGGCGACCTAAGTGGAAAACATAGTCCCATGTTCACCGCGGTCTATGGATCCTTCGAGGCCGAATACCCAGACCACTTCCTTTCGACAGACCCCAACAGCCCAGCCTACTTTGGTGATCTCTCTATTGTCGTCCATGGGCCCAACAGCGAAAGGCTCAACTGCGGTAACTTTGAGTTAAAGCAGACTGGCACCGAGTCTACTTAATAGGAGACTTGTTCAATGGCACGGCATGCGGAGGATTCAGATTTCCCCGTGTTTGTGGAGGAGTTTCCTTTTAGGCCGACTGTAATCCTCATCTCTTTTTTGGGACATAACTCTACATCCTTTTGCCCGTGATCCTGTATAACCTCGAATCCTTGCGATGCAACATTGATGTCCTGTTCCTTTTTTTTTTTTTTTTTTTTTTTTTTTTTTTTTTTTTGAACTCGGGACTTAACTTTACTTATGATCACGCTGTATTATTAGTATCCTTACTCTGTGCATGTGAACAACGTGACCATCCAAGGTTTCGCTTTTATTCCGCCATGGTTTTCGTAGCTCTTCACTAAGCTTGCTGTATTATCAATTAGGGTTTACCAAAGACCTCGTAACGAGGTACTCTAATATGTCAGACCTGTCCCGTAGACGTATCTGAACATGCTTCGGAGAGAAACCCGACCTATTGTATGCAATCTACCCATCTCACTGCAGCCATGATATTCGAAACTGCATGTGACTGGATTGAAGTCAAATGATACATTTCCCGAACCAGCTTCGTATTCGTATCGTGATAATAAATACTATGTAGGCTGACCATCCATGTTTTCCAGCCTGCTTTGGATCAAACCGGGATCATCCTGGCCCTCTTCTGCCTTGTATTCTTCTAACACAATTGTCCTCATGAGTCGACGTGGTGCGCGACGACCCGTAAAGAGCTCAAACTGGGCGAAACCCTGCTCAGGAAGAACGTCAAGACCATCAAGTGCCACCCATCCACGGTGGGAAAGAGAGCGCATCTGTCTGATGAGGGGTGTGTTGAGAGGTTTATATGCTAGCTATAAGACGGGTCAGTTAATGTGATGCTTCTTCCTTTGTGAGCTTGTTGACCTACTTCGACCACAACACCACCCGTCGGACTCTCAAGCCACTGCGACGGCATCTCAAAACAAGGCGCCGGTTGGCCCGAGATACTATGCGCCGGGATACAAGACGCAATGACCGTCGGTTGCTTATATCCTACCGGCCAGGGGTCTTGTAATGATCTTAATGACGCATGTACCGTGGTCTGACGACCCTGACCGTAACCCTGCGACGGGGTTGGGGCCAAATTCTTCTGTCGATTATAGTGTTCTGCTAGTTTCTCCGCGTTCACGAAGGTTCGGTTGTAGACGAAAATGTTCTGCACGCCGAGGTGGATCATCGCATACACGGCTGCGCGAGCCATACCTCCCGCACCGATGACCAGGCCCGTTGATGCAGGGCGGACGGCGTTAGCGGGGGAAAGACCTCGCCGGAAACAATTGCAGATACCGATCCAATCAGTGTTGTCACCGTGGAGAGCCTTTATGGGTCCTGCGCGGCTCTTTTCGAGGTATAATGAGGAGTGTTGTGAGGTGAGAATCATGTTATCTTTCTCGTCGAGATTGCGGATGGGGATGAGAGTGTTTACTGCGCCGATGGCGCGCGCGTGCGGCGACATCGAATGGAGGAGGGGAATGGCTTCGGTTTTGTAGGGGAGGCTGACACTTGTTCCTCCGAAATGAGGGTTTTCGACGAGTTCGTTGAGGCCATGGAGGGATGGGGATTGGTGGATGCCATAGACGTGGGGCATGCCAATTAGTTTGTAGGCGGTGTTGTGCATGGTAGGCGAGAGGGAGTAGTTGACATTTGCGCCAAAGACGAAGTATTGCATAGGGTCGAGAGTGAAGGAGGAGTAAAGGGCGGATTGTGCGTCGCGGATGGTGATGCAGGGTAAATCTTTTGGAGTAGTCTCGGATGTCATGGAGGGGTGGACTACTGGTGTTAAAATGGGGTTGAAGCAGCAGGATAGTCGACCCAATGGGCCGGTGTTGTAGGCAGTTAGTGGTAGATGAGGTTCGGGGAGGTTTTTGACTCGGTGGTGGAAGCGTTGGACGGCAAAGTTGTCTTCTATTGTCGTTGCTGGCTGTGATAACCTCACCATGTTACACCCTAGTCTCCTTGCTCGTTCGTACAGTGCCATGCATTCCAAGCCATCCCAGCCTCCGGAGAGCGGCTGACGGGCGGTATAGTGCCCAATAACTTGGCTAGATCCTTTAGATGCAATGATCTGTGAAAGCAAATGATCGTCGTAGCCCAGGTCGACTGTCACGAGCCCGGGGGAGAGTCGGAGTCCATGCTGTACCAGGTTGAGGTACTCTTCCCCTGAACGCCGTGTATTCCCGCTAGTTTGTCCGTTAATATTGCTTTCTACATGATATATCATGGGGACAACGATGCTGCGGCGAATAGTTGCAACAGTTTCGCTGATTGAATCCGCAAAGCTCGAATCCACCCTGGGGTCCCTTGGAGGACTCTCCGTATCGACTTTCAGCTCGAAAGCATCCGCTGCACATTCCAGATCTTCAATATCCATGTATCTTTCCAACAGTGAAGACATCGGTACGGAAACAGCGTAAGTGTACGTTCGGGATTCGACCGGTATCATGGAGAGAGGGAACGAAGCATGTTGGGTGCACATATCAGTAGCGCCGCCAGTTGCAAGCGCAACGAATCGAAGAAAGTCGCGCTGTAGTCGTTTCAATGTCAAGAATGGTGTAGGGGTTTGGTGTCGTTGGTCGATCTCAGATTCTAGCTGTTGCCCTGTAAATTCCCCAGCGCATTTCTCAGATACATTGAAGAACTCTAAGTTTGAGCATGCACGATAGATCGGCCCAGACAATTCAAAGAAGCGGCGTATCTTATCATTGCCATACACCTTTAGATACGATTGGATGCTCTCCGAATCCCGTAAAATAAGAATGACCGGGTGAGTTTTCGAATACTCTCTCAGCAACTTCTGTCCGCTGCGCTCCATAAAACCGGGCCCGCAAACAATCACGCAACCCTTTTTGTGCTCATTAAGTATCAATTCCATAACCTTCACTTCTTGTAGGCGATACTCCATGAGACCGTATTCATTCTTGAACACCGCCCGAGAGCGTCCGGTTACTTGCTGAAAATATCGGTCCGCCTCGATCAACCTGTTTCCTGTTGTTGCTGCCAACATAACTGCAAGACTGGACTTGCCAGTGCCGCGGATCCCAACTAACACAATGGACGCATGCGGATCAAATTTCCTTTGCGCCTGAAGAGGACTGTCGAAATGTACTGGTGACGGACGACTGGATTTCGATTCTCGAGATGAAACAGTCCAATGTGAATCATCAAATCCTTGGAACTGACTATATAAGTCTGATGCTGTTGCTTGCTTCAAATCATCATTCCTGGGGATTTGAGACCGTGAGACGGGGCCGTTTGGCTCCAGGCCTTCAATCTCGCGCAACTTGCGCTTCAGCGGTCTAACAAGGATGGACATGGTCTGGATTAAAAAACAATTGTGTAAAGCAATTGAATACAGTGCGTCTTCAGTGCTGAATATGGTGGATTGCTAATCCACAATTGACCCCGGATTTCCTGCCCATAGAGTTAGAATTCAAGACCCTGGCTGATGACGAGAGAAACAAGGGACCAACATCGACGAAAGGTGTGAGATTTGAGTGCCCACCGTTGATGCCCAATGCTGCTGTGCAAATACACCTCAAAACAGAGCCAAACACGATTGACACAATCTCCCACTGATCGAAAAAATGACCCTCGAGAAACCTAAGCGCATCTTGACTCTCCGCGGGGATCTCTTGGCACCGGCGGAGGAACGCTCAGCCGGATCGGAGTCTCGGTTCTGCCGCTCCGGTAATACGACACGTTACCACACGTGACACTCTCCGGGGAAGTTCCCCGCGGGGTATGAATTATGTAATATGCCAGAACAGCCTCGAGTTTATTCAGAGATAACGATGCGAAATTGAGGTAAAAGAAATAGGCAAACGAGATTATTCGTTTATATTCTCTACTATACTATATCTTATTCGAAAATATATACACCTTCGCCGTGGTTATTCTGTGTTAAGGACCCTCGGACATAAGTACTCACCGGGTTCGGTATTACGCTTCCGAGCCCTCAGTATCATTTCTCCATCTCCGCCTTTTTTTCTCCTCATTACCATAAACAGATTTATCTCATTTTCTCCCTCAATTCCCTTTGATTATCTCTTGAGAGTATATGCCTGTCGTGTATTGGCTGCGATAGAGTCGATCCATTCGAGTTTTGACACTTTCTTCCCAAACCTTGCCTGTGGAGTGGGGCGGATGCATTCATTCTTCTAATTACTTTCGGCGTCGCCCGTCGGCAAAAGATTCAACTCCTCCTTCCCAGTCACTACTCAACAATGAACATGCGTCCAGAACAACTTTATGGTGGGCCGTTCAGCAAACAATCATGAGCAACGACATGCGCCAAGCCCCCGGGGGCAGCGGCGGAAAAGCAAAGCGACGATGGACAGATGCCAACGAAGATATCAGAGCAAACCCTGCCGATGAAAGCGCCGCTTATCCTAAGAGACAGCGCGTTTCGCGCGCCTGCGATAGCTGCCGGTCAAAGAAGGACAAGTGCGACGGGGCCCAGCCGGTCTGCTCGACTTGCGCTTCACTATGTAGGCCGTGCACGTACAAGACGAATCCCAAGAAGCGAGGCCTACCGACCGGATATATTCGCACGCTTGAACTTTTATACGGTACCATCTTCACAAAGATTCAGGGTAGCGAGGAGGTAGTGCGTGCTTTGTTAAAGGCGGCCAGCATACCTAGTCATTTGGCCTCGATGGGCAAAGAAGCTGAAGGCTCTGACGCTTTGCTTGCCTCGTGGAAGAATAGCATCGTCTTAAGAGAGATTGAAAGTTTGTTGATTCTGCTGGAACAACCGGAAGAGGAACAAAACAAAGGTCGAGCACCGGAGGCCTCGCCGCCAGAGCCTGAGGCCAACAGTATTATATCCTCAGACACGCTAGAGTGGCAGATACCTGATGGGTTGGTTGACAGAGAGAGCTCACTACCCGCTATACTATCACCGGTTAAGACACCTACGAATACCTCCACGGTCAAAGTTCCTACGCAACGCACGACAACCAAGGACAGCGGCGTCCAGGCGTCTCTTCCTGACAACAGGATGAATTACTCGTTACCGGACAGGTCTTCCGAACGTGCCATAGACCCACCCGCGGTCGTGCATCACAACAAAGACGGCCACCTCCGCTTGCCCTCTAATGCATGGTCCCTGTTCGACATTTATTTTACCTACACACAATGCTGGCTTCCGATACTTGAGAAACACGATATACTTAGAACGGCATTCCACTACGCTGAAGAAGAGATACGAATGTCTCCTACTTCCCCAGGCAGCGGAGATCATGCGGCATTGTGGTCCGCTTTGGCACTCGCCTCTTTTCAGGAAATGTCCATCGCAGCCACTCGACAAATTACAGACCTTCCCAGAGATCCTCCAGATCCTCACAATCTATATATCACTGCCAAGAGCCTGATACCGTCTGAGGAAGGTAGATACGAAATTGGCCATGTTCAGGCATTACTCATACTTTCACTAGTCAAGCTTGGGCAACAGAATTGGACGGCAGCATGGATGCTCGTGGGACAGGCTGTTCGCATTGCTCAGTGTCTTGGATTAAATCGCAAGCCCAACGACTCTGGGCGATCAAAACATGTGTTCTTGGGTTGCTTTGTGCTTGAAACTCTGGTCGCGGTGCAGATGCACCAATTACCATCATTACAGAAGGAAGATCTCACGGAGGTCGGATTGGTCAACGAGGATGGTCTGGAAGAATGGCATCCTTGGGAGGACCAAACAGGTCTTCGTCCAGTCAAGCCGCCGTCCGGCTCTTTTCATCGCGGACCCCTTCATGCTCTGAGTACATTCAATCGACTAGTTTCATTGATATCTCATCTGAATGAGCTGTGCTGTCTACGACATCGTTCAACCGCGTCTGGGTCGCAATTGGAAACTGTAGAGCGTCAGTTACAGCTTTGGGTTAGTGCGCTTCCCAAAGCTTATCGTGTTGACCTACAGTCAAGCCCGATTCGATCAGCGTCACCGCATGTGTTTGGGCTTGAGATGATGTATGAAGGGATTGTCATTGTCTTGGGTCTGGAAATCGCAAGCCGAGAAAGCAATGGGACAATGACAGAAACCCCTCACAAGACGCGTGCTATTGAAAGCTCCAAGAGGCTATTGCTTTTGCTTCAAAATTATATGGAAACTTACAGTCTTTCAGCAACCTGTCCTATGTTTGGGATGGTATTGACGTTTGGCATTCAACAGCCTGGTGAGAAACGGAGAGCATCGTCGTCGGTTGAGTTTGACTTTGGCCTACAGAGCAAACTTCAGTCTTTCTCTTCTCATGTCGCTTCGGTATGGACCGTAACAGAGAAGACTGCGGGGGGAAATTCAATGGATAGGGTTCAGGAAACAGTTGCATCCACATCTATGCCTGCAAACCAACAAGGAAGCTTTGCTGGCATCTCTCCCTCGGAGACAGGCGTATTACCAAATAACATCATGCCTCAAGGCTCCTCCAAGTTCCAGGCGACTGCCCCTGGTCCAAGAAGCGAGGCACCCCGAATGGATATGATAGACGATCCCGGCGCTGGGCTCAATATCGATTCCTTTCTATCGAATCCTTGGATGAGAACACCGGCCAGTCTTGACGATAGCACTTCACTGCTGAGGACCCCAACTCCGTCATTAACAAACGCGCATACTGCAGCCGAAACATCACGTCAACCATCACAATTAAATGGGCCCACGCCTAGCAGGACACGGCATTCTATCTCTACAACGAAGCCTATTCGTGAGGCATCTTTATTGTCTGATTTACCAGTACCTTTTCATCCAGCTCCGTCCCAGTGTCCGCCTACGTACAACGATCCTAATATTAACCTTGATTCATTTGTCGACATGGATGGATATGGACAACCTCAACGACAGAGAATTGCACCGGATCTTGACGCACTATTTGATGAGTTGGCATCTTTAGATGGCACTGAGAAGTAAGAATTTCTCGATTGACATGGATAAGATTGCTAACCCGATTGTGAATGCAGGGTCGACAACCAACCCGAGTTCATGCAGAACCTTGGGTTTGTGCCTGATGCAGGGATGCCAGAGCTGTATCCATATAGCGATCAAACGGAGCCGTTTCTTCTAGCACAGACACAACAGATAACATGTCCGGAGAATTCAACGGGCCGTCGAGAGTCGACTTCGAATCGATGATACCCAGGTGTACATACACGTTCGTATTTGGAGTTTTGATTTGGAAGATTATTTATTGTATATATACATGGGATTTGACGATACAACAAAACAGAGCCACCTGTATATACTGCGGGACACAGATATCAAATTAAATCTAAAGCGCAGCTCTCTCCTCCCTCGATTTAAAATTCACCACCACATGCTCAACCGCAACCTTATACCCAAAGACCCCCAATCCCACAATAATCCCCGCGGCCTTATCGCTGAAGTAGCTTTGATGCCTCCACGGCTCCCTCGCATGCACATTGCTCACATGCAGCTCAATAAACGGGATATTCACCCCCAGCAGCGCATCCCGAATCGCCACGGACGTATGCGTGAAACCACCAGGGTTGATAATGATTCCGTCAACGTTGTCACGGGCTGCGTGGATGCGGTCGATCAGAGCACCTTCGTGGTTGGATTGGAAGGAGTCGAGCGTTGCGCCCATGGAGGCGGCGTGGGAGGCGCAGGAGGACTCGACATCGGAGAGAGTGGTGTGGCCGTAGATGTGTGGTTCGCGGGTGCCCAGGAGGTTGAGGTTGGGGCCATTGAGAAGGAGTATTGATTTGCCCATTTTTTTTTGATTTGGGGGATTTGGTCTGAGATTGGTAGGTGAGGTGAGGTGACTGGCGTGGATTTGTTGTAGACTGAGAGTTTGTATAATAACTTCCTATTATGGTGTAACAGGATATATGGTCCTTTCATAGAAACCAGTCTTCTCCATCCTCATTAAAACTATTTTCTACTCTTTCTTTGCTTTTCCGTGCTCTTTGCCATGATTGTAATGAATAATTACCATAACGAATATAGAACACCGGGTAAAGACATCGGCCGCCCTGCTGGGAGAACGCTTTGCCGGCGGGAGAGTCCGCACAACGCCGAGACCCCCGTTGCTTTCAAACAGAAGATATGCAGAGATTTACGACTTAGTGGCAAGATTATGTCTTTGGTATTGGCGCGAGTATCATTTGATATCACGTAGGATTCTATTTGGCGCTGGAGATAAAGTTGTAGTGTCAAGTGTAGATCAACGCATACTAGAAGTATACCCCCGCATAGGTATGCCGATGCCATTGGACCAACAAAAGCACACATACGTAAATACTTCTATCTAATGCTCTATTGGAGAGAATGACCTGTGTCTACACCGCATACCAGAACAGCAGTTCATTTGCTCGATTAGGGTATCTATTTATCATCGCCCCGCACCGATAGTCGGTTACCCGCGGGGTAGGTGAAGCCCAGTCATCTCTTCTTTTTCTCTCCTCTTTTATCACCCATTCATACGGTAAAGATGTCATTTAGCCAAGAAGAATTAGACGAAATCTACGCCTTCGCGGTTGACCTGGGCAAGAAAGCTGGACAGCTTCTTCTGGATGGGGTCGAGAAGCGAGTCGCAGGCGCTAGTCATGAGTTTGAGGAGAAAGAGAATGCGGTTGATATTGTGACGCAGACGGATGAAGGTACTTATTTACTATAACTATCGTATGGTGGTGGATAGGAGCTAACTTGCGCAGATGTAGAAGCATTCATCAAAACAGCGCTTCACCAGAAATACCCCTCTCACAAGTTAGTCCATCGACCCCATCCTCAATGATAGTACTGACTCCCCAGATTCCTCGGCGAAGAAACATACGCTAAATCGCAGTCCCGCAAATACCTCATTGACGAGCACCCAACATGGTGTATTGACCCCCTAGACGGCACCGTAAACTACACCCACATCTTCCCCATGTTCTGTGTCTCTATCGGCTTTGTCGTCGCCCACAAACCCGTCATTGGTATCATCTACGCCCCCTTCACAGACCAACTCTTCTCCTCCTGCACCGGACGCGGCGCATGGTTGAATGAAAAGCGCCAACTCCCTCTTATCCGGAATCCATCGATTCCTCCAATGCCCGCGAACGCGCCCCGGAAATGTATCTTCTCATGCGAGTGGGGCAAGGACCGCAGGGACCGGCCTGATGGGAATATGCATCGCAAGATTGAGAGTTTTGTGAATATGGCTGCTGAGGTTGATGGGAGGGATGGCAAGGGTGGGATGGTGCATGGAGTTAGGAGCTTGGGGAGTGCGACGCTGGATTTGGCGTATACGGCTATGGGGTCGTTTGATATATGGTGGGAGGGGGGTTGTTGGGAGTGGTACGTTACTTCTCACTTGGTTTTGGCTTGGTAATACTAACGCTGTATAGGGATGTTGCGGCGGGTATTGCCATCCTGCTGGAAGCTGGGGGGTTGGTTACTACTGCCAATCCGCCTGAGAATATAGATACGGGGCCTATTGAGGATGTTCGGCTGGGTAGTCGGCTTTACTTGGCCATTCGGTACGTAACAATTGGTCAACGATATTAACGGAATGATACTGACTGCCACAGACCGGCAGGGCCTTCAAAGACTGAGAATGGTCGACAGACCCAGGAGAGAACGGTGCGAGAAGTATGGCGACGCGTGAGGGAACTGGAATACAATCGACCTGGTGCATGATTTTTTGATATGTTCAGATGTTATTGCAATACATAATGCGTATATAACAGCATGCTTAGTCTATATACAATGCATAAAACAGGAATAATTACAAGCGCTCACAAATTCGACTTTGACGGCGCCCTCGAAGCAATCGACTTGGCAACCACATCCTTCACTTGCTGTACAACACCCGGCTTAGCAGCAATATCCTGCCCAGTCCACAGACGAGCCTGCTCCAAGCCTTGCCAGATCAATGCCTCCGAGCCCAAGATAACCTTCCATCCTGCATCGGACGCCAACTGCGCAATCTCAGTCCATGGAACGGGGTGGTAGCACATTTCCAGAATCACACCCTTGTAGCTATCGCCAGACAGCGGCGATCCACCGTTGAAGAAAGCCTGAATAACCTCCCTCGCCTTGATCTCCTCAGGTGTTTTGGGCGGGTAATTCGGAATCCCCGAAACAATCGCCGCAGGCTTCTCCAAACCCGCCGCGACAGCAGGCTCAGACACATGAATCAATGGCGCCACGGGGTTCGGATTCCTCTCACCATCCTCTTTCAGAATAGCCTCGACCTCTGCACGATCCCGATTCACGATATAGATCTTGCTAGCACCCAACCACTTGCGCAACACATACACCGCCGTGCGCGCAGTACCCCCACCACCAACAATTAACGCAGGCTTCCCCCGGAATGAATCCTCTCCATTCGTCGCGGGGAGCTTATTCTGCACCAGCGCCTCGCGAATCCCAATACAATCCGTATTCGTCCCGACATACTCGGTCTTCCCATCCTCTCCCTTCCTCAGGAAAATCGTATTACAAGCCCCCGCTTGCCGCGCATCCTCAGTAAGATCATCTAGATGCGCCATAATATTCACCTTCCACGGCATGGTCACAGAGCTCCCCACGAACTTGGGATTTGTACGGATCGAGGACAGAAATGTAGGGATTGGCGGGGACTTGGTGTAGGGCGGCGGGTAGGTTGCGGATGTACCTGTCACGCTGGAGAGAGGGATTTGGGTCCAGTTGAGGCCGAGGGCATTGTAGACTGTTTGGTGGAGGGGAGGAGAGAGGGAATTTAGGAGGGGGTGGCCATAGAGGTAGGCGACGCCGTCGAGGTGGGCGGGAGAGGTGATGGGTTCTTCGGCTGGTTGAGAGGCCATTGTGTACTGCTCCATTGATTAGGAATTGAGTGTAGAGAGTAGTTTGAAAATGAAGACGAATATCGCTTCCTTATAATTTAGGGGAATTTTTTCAGCCTTGATCGCGAGAAAGATTTAAGTCACATGCCGGAGAAACGTTTTAGTCCTGTCTGTTTGGGCCCGTTGTGAGGTTCTCTTCGCTTCTCTTCAACCGTCAATTTCGGTATCCAAAGATACCTTGCCAAGAACATAATCTCTTTCTGGATCATTGCAAGGTTGTTCTCTCTACAGTTTGTACTCTCCCATCTCGCATACTGACTACAGGGCTGCAGAATGTCCTCCCTTCTCTTTACCCGCCTGACTAATCGGGCAGAGCGCTTTTCCCTCACCCTGTGGAGATTTACGGGTCTTGACAATCTGGGGAAAACGGATCTGGGATGTTCGCATCCTGCATAATTGACTGCATAACAGATACAGCTGAAGTCGCGTATATTACCTGGTGCTACGAGCGCGAAAAGACAGCTCTGCATTTCAATTGCTCTGCATTCCGACACAGCTATATATGTAGTCATGTACTTGCTCTAAACATGTCTGTATCTATATCAACCGGCTGCCCAGTTTCCAATGCCTTGCGCGCAGCCTGGCAAACAATCAATGCCCTCAAACCCTCCGCACCAGAGCAACTCGGCTCCGCGTTCTCACGAATAACATCCACAAAATGTCCAAGCTGCATATCAAAAGGCGTATTATGCTCAACTTCAAACCGCTCAACCGCCAAAGCTTGATTCCAGCTCTTCTCAGCACGCCCATCGTAGCTCCAACGGGTCATATCTGGCACACTCAGGGAAGCGTCTGATCCAAAGATCCGGTAGAAATCCGAGTCACTACCCGTTGGGCTCTGCGGGATAAGCGGGTTCTCACCCGTCCCTGTTTCGAAGTTGTGAGGTGAAGGTGTGGCATCGCAGACGAGGAATGTGCCTACGACCCCGGAGAGGAATCGAAGTGTCAATGCAGCTCCTTCTTCAGCTTCGTGTGGGGGGTCCGGCCGTTGCGGGAGGGTCTTTTCGGCGTGGACGCGCACCACGGGGCCGAATAGGTAGTGCAGGACATCGATGTCGTGAACAAGGTTGATGGGAATGACACCTCCGGCGGATTGCTTGCGGCGCCAGTCTCCGGGTGGTTCGAAGTATTTCTCTGGCTTGTATAGCGTCCATAGCCCGTTAACGGCGATCACCTGCCCGAGCGATCTGGCATCAAGGACCTCCTTCGTCTTGAGCACGTAGGGGTTGAAGCGGCGATGATGGCCCACAAGGAGCTTCAGGTGGGCGTTTTCAGGTTTGCGCGCGAACTCCAGTAGCTTCAGGCCGGTCTCGATGCTATCGCTGATGGGTTTCTCAACTAGAACGTGGATCCCATTCTCTAGTAGTTCGCGGGATACGGCGACGTGTGTATGATTAGGTGTGCAGACGATTGCGGCATCTGGTTTCGTAATCGACCCCAGCATAGACGATATCGACGAAAAATAGGCCGTCTGGAGCTGCGATGCGACACTCGCGGCACTAGATGCTGGATCGACCAGAGCGGCCAGCTCGGTGAGCGGGTTGGAAAGGATGGACTGGGCATGACGGGGCCCGATGAGGCCTGCGCCGACGATAACAATTCTCAGTGACATGATATGATCCTTGTGAATTCATTTTACAGGTTAGTCCCAGTTACTTCATATGAATTGATTCTGTGGGGAACATAGAATGAGCGTTCATCCGGGTAAATGCTGGGAGAAAAACCCTTATCCGACTGCTATCCTCAAGTCGATGCAGTATTTTCTTCCCCAGATGGTTCTATAGTTATCGCTGTCAATATTAAATTGGTTTATCCCACTCTCAATAAAACCCATCTCTTTGTTTTCATTGTGTTGCCATTCCCTCAAAAGCAGTGACATCATCCTCGCTATCATATCGGATCAAACCAAAACAACCAAGTATACAATACAACCAACATGCCCAACCGCCTAGGAATTGCTTCCATGTCCCTAGGACGCCCCTGGGTCCACGACCTCCCCAGCAAACTCCACCAAGCTTCCATCCACGGCTACCAAGGCATCGAGCTCTTCTTCGACGACCTGGACTGCCTTGCGCAAACCCGCCATAACGGCTCGCACATCGAAGCAGCGCACCAGACAAAACGTCTATGCGATAACCTCAACCTGGAAATTATCTGCCTCCAACCATTCAGTTTCTACGAGGGCCTACTAGACCGCGAACAACATGAACAACTCGTCACCACAAAACTCCCCCAATGGTTCCAACTCGCCCGAATCCTAGGAACAGATCTCATTCAAGTCCCATCCAACTTCCTCCCCGCAGACCCAACCACCGGCGCACCCAGAACAACAGGCGACAAGGACGTGATCGTCGCCGACCTGCAACGCATCGCAGACTTAGGCCTCCAACAAAATCCACCCTTCCGCTACGTATACGAGTCCCTAGCCTGGGCCAACCACATCGACACGTGGGAGGAATGCTGGGACGTTGTGCAGCGGGTCGACAGGCCGAACTTCGGAATCTGTTTGGATTCGTTTAACATTGCGGGAAGGATCTATGCGGATCCGGCTTCGGTGACTGGGAAGACGCCGAATGCTGATGCGGATATGCAGGCTTCTGTGTTGCGGTTGCGGAGTAATAGTAATAATATTGATCTTGAGAAGGTGTTTTATGTGCAGCTTGTTGATGGAGAGAAGTTAAGCGCGCCGCTTGATGAAGCGCATGAGTTTTATGTTGCTGGGCAGCCGGCGAGGATGAATTGGTCTCGCAATGCTAGGCTCTTTCCGTTTGAGGAGGATAGAGGTGGGTACCTGCCTGTGGTCGATATTGCGAAGGCCATTTTCAATGATCTGGGCTTCAAGGGATGGGTGTCGCTGGAGCTGTTCTCGAGGACGTTGGCGAACCCCAGTCCAGGGACTGTTAGAGAACATGCTAGGCGTGGTCGGGTGTCGTGGGATAAGTTGGTGGATGTGTTAGGGTTAAAAGAGGCGTATCCTACGCCTGTCTCTACTGCTCTGTATGCTTCAGCTTCAGATTCTTATTCGTCGGGGTTGCAGTATCGGTTATAGTGGCAAATTATATAGATCTTGATTATGTACATTGGCATTTCTTAGTTGGCTACTGCACATAAAATGATATCCAGTTCCTTTCTATCTTACTATGTCATAGTCTCATACTATACCCCAATACCAACATGGTCGTAGCATCTCAAAAAAGGAATGTAAATGATATGCCAAATCTATCCCATGCCAATCAATGACAATGATTGCTATATGTAAGTACATATTTCCCCAGAAACACCAGTCGTTGAAGACAAGACACAAGACAGCAATGAAAAAAACACCAACCCAGTTTCCGCTCCCTAACCTAACCAACACAGACACAAACAAACTCGTACAGAAGGATTAATATAAGTATTATGTTTTGTTTTCCTTTCGTTGAGGGGCAAATGTTGAAACCCTCATGCACACTCACGAGATTAGAAAGCGAAAACGGGCTATGTATGAATGCATGTATATTGATGCAATTTTGCAAAAGTCGAAAGTAGAAACAAGGAAATGGTCGAGTTTAGACTTTTGAGTGAAGGAAAGTCAGGACGATTATGCTTCCTGCGCCCATCGTCGCTCGCGAAGGGGCATTTCCGCGCCCTCTTGGGCTCGACTGCCGTCTTGTTCGCGGCGCCAGGCATAGTATTCGCCGAAACGGTTCTCAGCGTAGGAGGCGTAGTCGAAGTCGATTTGCGATATTTGTGCTTGGATAAGTGCCCAGACGCCCCTGTACTAATTAGCATCAACCCAAATGAGATCCAATGGTTTGTGAAGAGTATACCAGTATAAGCCAGGAATACCACGGAAACGATCCACATCTTCATATAACCGGCCGACCATCTCCTCATGCGCCGAGTCCGGAATCTGGCGGTGGCATCTGTAGCTCTGGATATATTGGGATAGGAATTGTCGTCGGATGGGGCGTGTGGGTACCATGCTATAGTCGCAGTCATAGCCGGCCCATTCTGCGAAGTGGTTGGCGAGATCGAATGCGGCAGGAGAGGGATTAGCGTATTCGTAGTCGATGAAATGGACTGTTCTGACTTCCTCATCTGGTCCAGATTCGGTCAATTCTTCTGTCGCGATCACGTTGGCGCACAAGAGGTCGCAGTGAGCGAAGACCAACTATAGCAGGTTAGTCTGGTGCACGAATGGACATCGAGGACACTACGTACCCCATCTTCTCCAATGCCCTTTCCATCATCAAACTCTTTAACCACGCGCTCGAGCTCATCTTGCAAACGTTGACGTCTCTCTCGTTGCTCTTCTGTCGCAGTCGGGAGAACGAGAATCCATTTTTGCAGAACCGTCCAGAGGTTGGGTCCTGGGTGTCTAGGCTGGATCAAGGGACCGTTCGTCTCCGGTTTGTCTGAGATCTCCGACTCGATTTCTACTGGGTTCTTCACGATGGGCAGCTCCTTTGTCGCCGGGAACGCAGGTTTGCCTTGAATTGGCAGAACCGCATGCCACTGCCCAAGTCTCCTCGCTACACCACGCCAGATAGGAGCATGCGCCAGCTCAATGTGGTTGGCGGGCGTGCCTCGAAGGAACCGGTACAGTAGGCCATTTTGGAATCGGGCGAGTAGCGCAGGGGCAAGACCGCGGCTGGCGAGTAGAGCGTGAGAGTTCATTTCTCCTATAGAATCACACGTCTACTCAGTAAAAGTCGCAATGGGCAGAGTCAATCGGGGAAGGAGAAAGAGATAGGAACGAGTCCCTGGTGTTTCATACTTTCGCGGTCTATGATAAGTTCCGTACAGTTACCGTATGCTCTCATGAGTACTGCCTCGTGGTCTATTTGCTCTTCGGTCCATTCCGGTTTGCGATTAATGATTTTGAGCAGCTACATTGCGTTAGTCCTCGAGAGCTCCTTACAGTGTCTGCCAAGAAGGCAGTCTAGATAAAACACACAGTATTGGTGATGCCGTCTGTGAATCGCACGAACTCAATGTTGTTGCCAGGGCCCTCCCAGTCGGGGTTGAGGGTCAGGACTAGCCTTAGAGCCGAGTTTTGCGAGTCTGCATGGTTATAGTATTGGGGGATATATCTTAGGGACGAGAGGGCATCATTGCCGGAATCGTATGTCGAACCCATTGTCGGAGTCGGGGGGTAGAGATTGGGGGCAAGTTCCGGCGGGCAGCTGCAGGCGATGGCTGGCTGAGTTGGTAACGGATCTAGACCTGGGAGATTCGACAAGTATCAGTCACTATCGATATCGTGTAAGACAGCTGTCCAATAAGACAGCGACAAGACTCCCGGGAGTAGCAGGCATGATACTATGGGGAAGCAGCCAGCCCACCTGCGATCAACAACCCGTTTGCATGTGATTGACAATCCGCGTTGTCGTATGCTCACCTTATGTGCGAATTGAGAAAATTGCAAGAAACCAGTCGAAAACAGATTATGATAAGAAAACAGAAAAGAAAACACGACAATGAAGAGAGGAAGAAGAGGAAAAAGGAGAGAGGTCGGATGGTCTCGTGCTCGTGGCCCGTGATTGGAAGCGGAATGGGCCCCTCCTGAGCTTTTCCCCTCATCAACGTCACTGCATTCTACAAGTACAAATTTGTATATAAATTACTGCTATTACTGCCACTACTACCAGTATAACTGTGTATCAGACATGGCATGCTTGCACGTGCAAATGCCATATGGATATCCTTTCTGCCAGCGCACTTAGTCTTCTGCATGTTGTCCCCCTGAGTGCTTGGGCCACCTTGCCTTGGGCATTTTATCACATGCTAACTAGTTAGTCTCAACGTCTTCATACCTGAGGCACCAAACAACGTGACTATTTATGCCCCAGCCCTATACTTTACCCATCTCGGCAACCACTAGCTCCCGAGCCCAATCAGGCTAGCGCCCCCCACCTCTCAGAACATACAAATAGCCCGCCATCGCCGCCCAACCTGAATTTTTTTTTTCTTCATCTATCTATCATCAGTAGCGGTTTACTATTACCATAATATGTAAATCTACCGGAGCTCCGTCACCGTACGGCTTGCTGAGGGTTATTCGTCCTCTATGGGTTATCCTCCGTTCCCGGCTTCGCAGAGTCACCGTTGCGTCTTCCTTTTTCCCTACACATAACATGGCTGAGCTAGGGTTTTTATTCGAAAGGATAGATCCCCATGCGCTTTAGCTGTGGAGGTGGCGCCAAATCCCCCTTTTTCTACAGTGCTTTATGTTGTACTGGCTGCTCTGCTTTTTGCTCTGCTTCGTCCATGCGATAGAGAATGTTGAAGAGTGAAATGAATATAATGCGTATCAAAAAGACTACGTGCTTATCTTATGCCAATCTCATCGTATCATACTACACCCGTCCAGCATTTCCAATTTGAATTCTCTCTCCGCTCCACTTGTCGTCGCTGCGCAGTACCGGCCAGCTTGTCCCGTCCGCCTTGACCAACGTCAACTCCAACTTCGTACCCAATACCCGAAAATGCGACTTCTCAGGGTCAATCGACGCAAATAGTGAGTATGTATCCTTGAACCGCTTGTTATCGGTAGTCGGAAGGTCGAAGTCGATCGAGTTGGCGGAGAAGTTGACTTTGGCGTGCTCCTTGTCAATCTTCTTTAAATAGAGTGAGGCGTTCACCGACGCGGGTGTTTGGTAGAAGTCGGACCTGTACGGAGTAAAACAACCACGATTAGATATTGAGCACATGGTCGCGGACAGATAGTTACTCACCTCACGGTCTCGACCTTCTCTTCCCCAGCCGGCTTCCCCTTCCCAACAAACAAATGCTTCGTCCGCTCCTGACAGCCCTGGATCTTCAAAAACTCATCAAACTCCAACACTTTCTTCTTGCAGCACGACCATCCCTTGCTCCCCTCGTGGAAAATAGGCTGTCCGGGATGATGCACGCATTTCTCTTCCTCTCGCGGTATGGACGGATCGTAGCCCGCATTACACGCTTTCCGGCGACAAGTAGCATTCGCAGGGATCTCGAGAGACGGGTCATCATCTTCCGGCTCTTCGGGAACAGGTGTAGCGGGGGCAGGAGGCGTAGGCGCAGCGGCCGGGGCGACAGCTGGTCGCGACGACTCAACAGTCACTGGTTTAGGGGCATGGATCTCAGCAGCAGCAGCATCATCGGCTGGTTTCTTTGGGGGCTCGACGGGCGTGTCGTCGACTGTTGAATGCTTGCCCGTGGTGCAGGGTGGAATTGCCAGGAATTCTTCGAAGGTGAGGACGCGGGGTTTGCAGCATTTCCAGCCTGTTTGCAGTATCCAGTCCCATTAGCCTTGCTTCCGATCCGTTGGCGATTTTAGGTTGAGGATTCTAGAGCTCAGTTAGACAACAAGGTCCTCTCACTTACCCTTCTGCCCCTCGTGGAACACTGGTGGCCCCGGGTGGTAAACGCAGTCCTCGTCCGCGTTGGAGAATTCCTTGCCGCACCCTTTGTGAACACACTTGGACGCCATTTTGCAACCTAACGCGAGTATTCTGTAGACTCAATGAGAGAAGGACAAACTTATACAGAAAATGCAAAATTGTGAGCAAAAGTTGGGAAACTCCGTTTGCTGCTTCAATTATCGCCAATCAATCCCGATCGGGCTTAGTGCGGAGAGCTCGAAGATTCCACCGAGTTGGAGAAAAACAAAAGCACATCTAGCACCCGATCCGATCGATTTACCCTATTCAACGCAGTTCAACTTACGCACTTCTTTGTACACCATTAAGAATGTTTCCTACAAGAGCCCTCCTTCAAGCCGCCCGTGTCACTTTCTTCACCCGCGCCGGCTGCGGGCTCTGCGACACAGCCAAACACACCGTCGTCCAACTGAACAAGCGCAAGCCCTTCAATTACGAGGAATTGGACATCATGACTCCTTCCAACAAACAATGGAAAGACATCTACGAGTTCGACGTGCCCGTTCTCCATGTCCAGTCTTTCCAAGACCAGCAAATCTCCGATCCGAAGAAGCTGTTTCATCGGTGGACTGAGCAGGAGGTTGAGAACTTGGTCGACGAGGCGGAGAAGACGCAATAACCGATACACATACACATCGATAATACAATATGATATTCATATTATGCAAGTCGTTCTGTCTGGATACGATTGTCTTCCTATAAAGTGGAGCGGCCATCTAGGAGCTCGCGGTTTCCAGCGCGTTAGAAAGGAATGTGGGAAGGGCGACAGCATCAGCGACAACGGAGACCTACAGAAACAGAACGTTAGCGTTATTCGCGCGTCTCAGTAATATGGCATCTTACCATGTGGAAACCCTGGTCCGCGTACTTCTTCGCAGCTGCGCCGCCCGCGCAGTAAATACCAACTCTCTTGCCATTATCCACGGCTGCCTTGTATATCCGGTCAATGGCAGCGCTCAAGTCTTCGTGGAATTCTCCCAGGACAGGACGACCAATATTGTTTCCGAGATCCCAGGGGCCGATGAACAAGACGTCGATACCGGAGACCTTTGCGATTTCCTCGACCTGATATTGTCAGCATTCGTCTATCTTTTGTTTTGTTTCTGCCATGACGCACATTCTCAAGAGCCTCCTTGGTCTCAATCTGGACAATCGTGAGAAGCGAATCGTTGGCGGTTTGCAGATACTCCGTTGCCGAAATCTTCCCTGTATTACCCATAGCAAAAGGACTGCCGAATCCTCTTCGTCCAACAGGAGGGAATTTAGCGGACTCGACTAGTCTCCGGGCGTCATCTGCGCTGTAAAGAAGCGGAACGACAACACCATGTGCTCCTGTGTCCAAAGCCCCTGCCTGAAGTCAGCACCAGCAACCCTGATAACCTCAAAGATACATACGCTTCACCATCCATCCCTCATTAGCAGCAATTCGCACAATCGGACTGACTCCTTCGGCAGCAATTGCAGCCACGGCCTCGTGCATTTGCCAATCTATGTTCTATTAGTCTCCGTTTATCTCAATTATGTGAAATGAAAAGCATACCGGCAATATTCCCATGCTCCGTATCAACCAAGATCCAATCGTAGCCAGTCCTAGCCATGAACCGCGCATGGTTCGCACCCGGAAGCATTTGCCATGCTCCGAAGGAGAGTCCGCGCTCGGTGCGGAGAGCTTGTTGGAGACGGTTTGCGGCTTGCATCTTGTATCAATGAATTGGTATACACCGTAGTGAAAGAAATAGAATGAAAATATTAGGGGGAAGAAATAAACATATGATGAAATAGACGTCTCACCTCGCGAAAAGAATCCCCCGAAGGGGGGTTTTGCGGGGTTCGGTAGCGGGCCGATGGTTGGCCGAGAAGTATTCTAGGCAGATATAAGAGATATTGCTACATTTTTGTATTATTTTGACAATGATAGCATAGGTAGAGTGAGTCTTTAGCCCATAGGCCCAATAGGATGTGAAATTGAGTTGTGTGGTAGGGCATAACAAGCAAGAGCTCATAATATAAGCCTCGGACCGGCTCCGAGTATACATTGTTCCTAATCGGGAGCGTTCGATTCGAGTGGGTACCTTATAGAGGCTGGATGTATGATTAGAGAATTGGATGTTGTATGACCGGAACGAGTACATAGTTCTGGTTTTGCAGTGTATTTTTTCTACGTGATCTAGCCTGACGTCATGTCCTCGTGAAGTATGACTGCAAACTCATTCTTCAATGTATATGCCAATTGGGGTACCGCGTGACTGAATAACCTAGGCATAAGGACATCGGAAATCTTCACCATAACACATATCCATCCACAGCAACCATGCCACCAAACCAAGAACCAGAAGCCGGCTCTGAGGAACGTCTATTCCTCAGATACTTTCCTGGTAATACTCTCTACGCCAGTGAGTCTACACGGGACGACATTAGGGCTACTGTGCAACGAGAGCAGAACAAACCCACCAGCGCAGCATCCCATATCGTTTTCTCAAATACCTTCCCAGAAACCGTCAAATACATAGCCGACAATCCAAGGTTCCTGGGAAAACATGTCCGAATGTTCTACGACGAGAAACATCACAAACTTATGATCAAGCTCGTATCACACATCCACGAAATAGCACGCAGCTTGATATCCCGAGAAATCGACATCGCTGCAGACCGCATGAGTATCGTCCACGGCCTCGTACCAGATGGTTCAAAGCGTGTCGTATCAGGTCAATATACGAAAGAGCCCGCCTCTTCCTGGCATCCTGCTACACTCCCACCTTCCAGGGATGCAAAATGGCCCTCATTGGTGATTGAATGCGCAGACCTAGAATCAATTACTAGACTTCGAATTGAAGCGGAATGGTGGCTCACCCAATCCGAAGGAGACGTCAGGGTCGTCGTTGTACTCATTATATGGCCATTCCGGTCAGGGATATCACTAGAGAAATGGGTTCCGGATCCGGATGGAAATTCGGGCTCTAATGATAGCACAACAGGTAAGGCGAAGTGTGTTCAGAGGATTGAGTTGCAGTGCAGGTCAAAAAATACGGCTAGTATAGAGGTCAATGGAGGGCCGTTGAGGCTTGAGTTTGAGATGGTGTTCTTGAGGGCTCCTAATTCTTCGAGGCAGCGTGATATTATTGTGAGTGAGGAAGCATTGGAGAGAATTATGGGGTTGGTATCTGATGGGAATATCTGAGTTGTTATCTAGAATATTCTTGCTTCGACGCAAAAAAGTTTTTGATATCGAATGACTCAAAGGCGCCGTGAGTAAGAAAGACGCTCATCGAAAAACAATGATTCCATCATCGTGAAAGTTTAGAATATACGATTAACACGTTCCCCCAAAAGAAATATGCCTGTATCTGACCTTCTCAAGCCTCTAGCTGTATTTTGCAGCCAACTCCAATCTCAACCATACGTCAAGAAAATCCAGAACCTGGGCGATGCATGGCGCACTCTTCCCGAACCACATTTCACCGAGACTGACATCATCATAAAAACCACATCCGATTTTACCTTAAGAATCATAATCGAACAAAATGGAAACATCTCCGTTGAGATGGCGACGTCCGGGGAGCACAAAACCGCCCTCGCACCTGATCCAGTCCATCAGCGGTGTATTTCCTTCGGTTATAGCAGGTGCTTTATCTGGCGGAATTACAATGATATCGAATATGAGAAATAAGGCAGTACTGCAGAGTTAGACGAGCTTCTTGGACCATATCCTCCGTTAGTTGTTGAACACTATGATGCTTGGGTGGATTGGTGCACGAAATACTTTTAGAAGAGACGTGGCGAAACGGGGGACTACATGGCAAATAAATTTCTCATTGCCTCAGAGGTAACATGAAATGCTGCTGGTTATTTATTGGCCTGGCGCATTACTTCTGAGCCTCATATTGGAAGTATACAGTTCTCGACTGACCGTACGAGATACCTACTGGAGCTTGGGAAGGAAAAAAATATTACCTTGAAATTTCTAAGAAACCAGGCTAAGATTCTAGCCAATGGGCCTTCTAGATAGCAATCTTGAGGCTACACAGTGAAGGAGAGTATGGTCTCGGCGGCGTGGCGCTCAGTGGGGAGCTGGGATCACACAGGAAGGTATCGCATGTCATGGAAAGTTCCGGATGATCCTGGGAAGTTCATTTTGGGACATCCTAGAAGGTGACCAGAGGAACCCATTTTAATCGGTTAGGTAAACGCATCGGTGTATATTGTGAAAGATTACCCTATGCACAAACGGTGCTAGGTATTGATGGTCCGGATTCTAGACGTTGGTCTGATTGAGAAGAATTTCGATTTGTTTATCGAGGCTCAAAAGAAACGCAGCAGAGAGAATGGTCTTGTAAATGGATCCTTGATTAACGAGCATCCCTATTGAAGAGCCCCAGATGAAGGGAACAAAGATCTATCTTGGACTGACCCTGAGCAATGTGCCAGGATTTGCGAGAAGAAAATGAGTCGTATCGAGGGCTGTCTCGACTTCTGCGCACCAAGGGATCCCTTCAACATCCCCAAATTGCAGGATCTTCTCAACCATCCGAAGAAGCCTTAGCGGCCAAGAATGGAGAAGGAAGTAGAAAGGAGACCAGAATCTGAGCCGGCGAAAACCACGACCCAGAAACCATGTAGCTATTCAAGTCCAACCAATTTCAGAGTTCCAGTTGAGATTATTCTCATGATCGTGGATTACCTTCGTGGAGATAATGATATCTATGCTCTAATACGTCTGTTTCCCATGTGGAGGTCCTTGATTTCGCAAATAGCCTGGCGAAGGATGTGTATCAAAGACCTTCTACTGGAGGAACCACTTCCACACGTTAATGAACTGTACTGGCTTCATCTTTACTTCAATATTGATCGACTGTTGCGCAAGTCGCATGGATGGGTATTTCGACGACCCGTGATGAATAGTTTGTGATGGATAGTTTGAGATGGATTAAAAAGACTTTTTTGGAGGGGATGGCTTAGAAACATAGCTGGTTTAGTACGATGAATGATACTACTATGATTCTTTCTTAGACCATTCAGCGCCATAATTTAGTAGCATAATAGGCTCCCAGGGTAATATATATCAGCGACGTACAATTCTAATATGGCTTTTTTTTTTCCTTTCCTTTTATTTTATTTTATTTTATTTTTTTAGAGTTGATCAGGTAAATATTTGCCCTGGGATTATCACAGATAGCCGTACTGAGGATCTGATAAAGCTGCAGGCGGGCCGAAAAGTTAATCTCTGATGGGCGCGACATCCTCTCATTTTCACATCAATTACATTCTACTCAGTACCCTCAATTTTCCCTAACAATCAAAATGGCCGACATTCTCAACCCCATAAATATTTTCATCATTCATCCCCAATCCCAACGCTACATAAAAACCACCCGCGACGAAACCGACTCCGAAGAAAACACAACCACCACCATCGAAACAACCTTTGACCTCACCTTCAAAATCACAAAAGCCTCCGATGGAACACCATCCTCCATTGAAGCCTTCCCGCCCACAGAGCAACCACCATCCAATGAAGCAAAACCGCGTCACTACCGAATTGATCCCGACTACGAGACAGGCTTTATTACGCGGAGCACCAGCGATCTGCAACCCGATGAGGAGCGCGATGTGACGATTGAGGATGTCCTGAAGCCGCTTCCTGAGTCGGTACAGGAGCAGTACAAGGCGTGGGTAGATGCATATAATGGGAGTTACAAGACAAGGGTTGAGGATACGGGTGATGAAAAGGCGTCTGTGTTTGCGACTGCGGAAGAGGAGGTGGCGTGGAATGTCGCTGGGTATTTGCTGACATGGCGCCTTACTTTTGCGCCTGAGATTGGAAGTGCTCAGTATTATGGATTTGGTAATTCGCGGTCTTTTGTGGTGGGTGAGAACCAGTTGCCTTCCACTGTGGGGTTTCTCAAGGCTGGGGCGGGGGTTTTGGAAAGTGGGAAGCCATCGATGTAGTATCCGTATTTCCCAGTGATTAAAAATGCTATTATAGTCTATCATGCTTCATAATGACAATGTTCTATTCATGATTAGTGTACACCCAGTTATATACCTAACTTCAGGCGAAAGGTTTCCTTATAAGTGTGCCGTCAAGACATCCTAGGCAAGCTCAACAGCCCAAGCTCAGGCCAATGATCCGTCATATCCAAAAGCTCTTTCGTGAACGGCCGGAACCACGCCTCCTCCGAAACTGCTTCTGGCGGCAACGTCCCAAACGTGTCCATCGGGAACAACCAGAACCCAAAAGCCGGTTTCACGGCTTTCTCGAGGTCTTCATTCTTGTACTTCTCATGCAACGAGCCAATCGGGTACTGTATGACTTGGTCGCTGATATCGAAATAGCGTAGCGCTAGGTTAGCATTTGTTACGCTGTCGTCAATACGCCATTTCCCTGTCCACTCCCAATCCTCTTTTTCTACCCATCTCTTTGCGCTCTCGCGATCAAAAATAGGAAATTCGCTGCCAGGCGGACTAAAACTTAGCATCAGTCGATACTCGACACCGGACGGCGAAATGTCCCATTTCTTCAGTATCCTTTGCCATTGATGGAGCAGACCAAGGGGGTCACTCTCCACATATACCTGTTTCAAGTCCTCGGCTATATGGCGTGGATCACGCCGCAAGCGCTCAAAGTTCGGTGTCATCGCCATTATCGGGAAAGAGCGGTTAAACATCGTTTTAGACGTCGGAATCCCACTCAAGGGACCCAAAACTTGACGTCCCGTGCGCACTTTCTCGACAAAAAAGATCTCTCGTAGCTTGCTGACAGTTTCGACAAACGCATTCCTGTGTTCAGCATTGAGGTTCGATGGCTCTAATAGGTTGATATCAGTCGCGTTCAGACTGTGCGTGTCCAACGCCAGGTTGAGCAAACCAACACCACGAGGATCATGCGTATGTTTCAGATGATATATAAAATCCAGCAGGGTATTCTTCGCCAAGATACCCGGGTATATCCAAAGAAAGTCGTACTCCGGATTGAAATGGAAAGTCCCCGGTTTCATAACCTCTTCTCCCGCAATCCCATGCACCAGCATGCAAGGAATATGGCATCGGTAAAAGCCCAATGCTGCCTCTCTTGCCTCGCTATTGACTCGCATCAATTTGCTTATCACCTGATGTCCATCCACAATGGCGCGATACCTGGTGCTTCCTCCATCTTCGTCTACTTGTCTGTCTGTGCGGACTTCGAAACGGACCGTTATGATGCGCGGGCGTTGCAGGAAGTAGTTCCAGATCTTTAGACGCAACTCGGGTGGGAGGAGATGGAAGAACGGGAAGTCGGAGTTCTCTTTGTATTCTTGAAGGCAGTTAAAGAGCTGCAAATGGGGCTGCGACATGTTGAAAGTCAACGGGACCGGAGCACGGTGGATTAGTTGATGTTATAGGAAGCCTCTCCGTAGCGATATAGACAATTAAACAGAGGCCCAGCAGTCGCCCCAAAGTAGCGAACTTCAACAGCAACTGTCATCTCTGAGCTTGTGAACCAGTGGGCAAAAATGTGTTTAAAGTGAAGCATGGACAAATTAGAATTGGAAGTTATTCCCATTCATTTCGGGCAGTTGGAAGATGACGTCAGTCATAAGCAGCCAAATGTGGCGCTGTGGCTGAAGCAGAAAGACCTTTTTCCTCTTTGGGACAGGGCTTCATCCTTTGGAGGTTTGATTTCGGTAAGACACGGGCAATTATCAGCGGTTTTCTTCTGACTTAGCTTTAGAAAAGAAAAAAAAAAAAAAAAAAAAAAAAAAAAAAAAAAAAAAAAAAAAAAAAAACTGAAGTGTTCCTGTATCATTAATTTGAAAGCCTTGTCTATTTAAGATCCTCAGGCTCGTATTCTCAAGAATAAAGCCTTTTTCACTTCACTTTCTCTAATAGAAACCATGAAAATGTCCAACCTAAACAACTTCGCACGTATCTATGCTCTCTCCATGTTTCTCCTTGTATTTATGTTCTTCATCCACAGCCTCGCTTTCCGGCTTTCGTCCCTACGATGCGCCACAATCGCAGCGGTTGCATTGATGGTCTACCACACGTTCATGGTGACTGAAGCATACCACTATGCGGTCCAAATGAGATGGTCCTGGGCAAGCATGCGGGTGTTAATACAAGATGGGACGCATTGTGTGTTCTTTTTGATTGCTGCGGTGGATATTATTCGTGATAGTGGGAAGAGTGTATTTTACTATGCCTATGGAGAGAAAAAGGGTTCAATTTCCCTTTTAAGAATCCATACGAGCCCTCGATAGGCTGGAAAGGAAGATAGCGAATAAACGAATCCGCCCCATGAGTCTCTCCAGCTGTCACCGCTACTAATCGTGATGATTACTCAGTATAGACTGAGCCGAGGACTATAGTTTCTCTTCGAAAATAAGCTTGATGGAGCACTTGACCCGTTCCTACTCGAAGGTCAGCAAAGATGGTCACTTTTTGCCTTGTCAACCTTGCAAACTAATGTCAGACGAAACGTATAGGGACCTAATCATTGGTAAGCGTTCCCTTCAGAGATGCTTAGAATTTTGTCTCATAATATATGACAGAGACAACGGATATCAACGATCCTGTTTCCTATGATACGGTTTTGCCGGAGATCTCTATAGAAACAGAAGACTGGAGATGTTATAAATGTGATTACTGTACTGAGACTTGATCGACCTTGGCACAGCGGGGGTGACGACTCTAGTCAGAACAATTGCTTAAAATAAACAGGCAGCTTCATAAAGCCAATATATTCGATTGATAAAAATATCTTCATGCCACGACTCGTAATAGCGGTATGATCAACATCGTGAGCAAGACTTATACCCAGCCATATCCACAGCATGTAAAGTTAGTAGCGCAAAGTTAGTCCAGCAAACCAGCAAATAAAATCAAATCATCAATCATCAAATTCAACATGCCCATATATAACATGACAAAAGGCAAAAAAATGAACAAGAAAGCAAATGAAGTCGTGTACCGTATAATGCAAAGAAAATAAAACCCCAAAGCCATGGACGCCCAATAAGATCGGATGTATACGATGACGCTTAATATCAAAACCACATGATTCCCACTACCAAGCCGATCACGATAGCCATGCAGCTGCCGCGGACTTGTTTGGGGTTTCGACCGCTCCCTGCATCCTGCGAGTCGCCGGAGAGGATTGTAGCTGCATTTGCGGACGGTATTGTTTTGGGTGCTACGGTAGGTCCAGACACGTTGTGTTGCAGTGGTAGCTTTAGTTGGTGAGTATCCGAAGGACGTGAAACGGGCGGCTGTATTGAAGAATTAGGTAGATGTGCTGAGTCTATAGCGTCGTAGGAAGTAGAAAATGCCTTCACTGTATCGTGGACGGTGAGACAGGCCTGCTGCCAAACACCGCTGAAATACTCGCAAAACTCTAGTTTGGGATTGGTATCGGTTTTGTTGGTCGTTGAGGTCGTATAATTATTGTCATATACCATTTTTTCAAAAGATTCGTCACGCAATAAAGGTAACTGTAAGGAAGAAGTGTCGGAAAGATTCGAGGGAGGGTGCGACAACGCTGTCTCGACCAAAGGTAGGCTCCGAGTAGAAAAAGACTGTAGCAGCTGACGGTCATCCAACTGCTGAATGAAGGCTGTGAAAGCGCGAACACTTCGAGTAAGGGTCGAAAAATTTTCCCACGGATAGGGAGGATCATTTGGTAAAGCAGACGCAGTCTCAAATGAGCTCGGGACCGCAGCAGGACGCGAACGAGGCAGAGAATCACCACATAACCACGGCCAACACTGACCGCTTGTTGCCCGGACTCTCAAACGAGTGTCAACAGAACCATCCTTGACGATTCGCGAAAAATCTGCACCAATTGCTATTACCATCAGCAACTGCCATAGACGTAACGTAAAGCGATACTCACGTCGGACCTCACTCCCAATATACCACCCATTCTTCCAACTAGACCCCCAATCCCATGATAACGACGGCACCAAGCTAAGCAGCGAAAAGACAACAAGCGCCAAAAACGGAATTGCACCTGGTTTTTCCAGCCCTGACCGCATCGTCCACACGCCGGGCTATGACCCCGGACTAGACTGCGTTCAATCAACAAAAATACGCACTCAACTGGTATAGGATCTGAATTCGGATTCGGGTTCAGGATCGGCTTCGGACAATTCGGGAAGGCGCAAGACGGACAATGACAACCTCATTGCCAGGACGTTGAGAGAAGTAGAAGATTATTATGAGTTATGGCAAACGAAGATGTAACGTTATGTCTACCGAACCGTAACGAGGTCAACGAGAGCTGCAATCTGCAAGTAAGAGTCCAGTCGCAGGGCAGGCGCAAAATGGGCGAATTTCACAGGGCGCCCAGCTCGTCTAAAAGTGGGTGTGGTTTTTTTTTTTTTTTTTTTTTCTGTCCCAGCAACCCGTTGACGATCAGCGCGAAACCGGATGAGCAGCCACTGGCGGTGGAGAGGAAAAGAGCAACGAGGGAAAAGAGATCCAGATTCCGGTGTGTAGATGTTATGTACGTATATAGAAAATCGGGATGATCCCCGGCAAAGCGATTCCCTCGCGGTGAGTGTCGATGACGACGTCAAACGTCGGTTTTTGCCGGCGCAAAGAGAAATATAGAGGGCAAATGACGTAAAGGACCCTGTCGCCCCTCTGTGGGATGCGACGGCCAAGAGTTTCTGCTATCGCGTTATATGCTGCATATAAAAAGAATGAGGGGGGTATGGAGGGGCAATGAGGTATATAGAATAATATTGGATGTCTATGAGAGGATGATAATAATAAACAAGGCGCTGCACGTCGGAAGGTTGAGTCGTGCGACGATCGCACGTTGCTTACCATACGGTACTGTAAGTTACCGACAATAAATCAGGATAATGTATTTGTATAGCATCAGGCAGCAGATTATATAGAAAACAATGCAAAGATCATTAATCATTCATAGTATGACAAACACCTCATCAGTCCATGTTCCTGTACACTTCATGGTCCCTATACAGAGTAACCCCATAGTACAACTCTTTATCATATACGATTCGTCATCGTCGCCGGTGTCTCGGATTTGGGCGACATCATTGTTGTAGTTGTCGTAGCTGTGGTGGTCGTAGCTGTGCCCCTCCTCGTTTGCGAAGTTTCACTCCCCTCGCTCCTTGATTTGTCCCCACCCGGAGTTCCGGTGCGGGTTGTGCTGCCTCCGCTGCTTGGTTTGCCGCCGCGCTTGACCATTCGCCCTAGCACTCTGACTATCTCGGCGGCGTCTTCGAAGCTATCGTCGTCCATTCCTTCCCGGGCATTGTATACATCGGCAATAGCCTGCTTCGCTAGTCGTCGACAGGCGGTGGGGTCATGCAGACAGTCGTAGATATAGGCGGCGTATTCGAGCTTGACGGACAGTCGCAGTGGATGGGATCCCGGTAGCATTCGCTCCGCTAATGTGGCGGCATGGTTGAAACAGGCTGTGGCCGTTGTAGTGAAATCTTGCAGTGGAAGAAGAAACGATGCTGCCGGTTTGGGCGGTTGAACAGGTGCAAGACCCGGAGGATGTTGGGCGACTCTCCCTGCCGATAGATGTTCCCAGCGAGATGCCAGTTCTACCGGTACGGGCAGTATTTCTGGTTTTGATTTGAAAGAGAATCTTGTCCCTGGCTCCTGAGACAATATCCCGAGTCCTGTGCCACTAATCGTAGCACCATTGGCTGGTAAACCGATGACACCGGGAGAGTGAACAGCCGGCTGGTTGTGGAACAAAACAAATATATGATAAAATGAAGCTCGAAGTTTATGCGCCAGGACCTTCAATTCCACATACGCTTCGACCATTGGAAGAACGAACTCTTCCAGAATTAAAAGACCTTCGCGCGAAAGCCATATGATGTGATGGTACATCTGAAGGGATCTCGTTTCGCGAGTCGGATCCAAACGTCGCAGCCGCCGTGCACGAAGAAGCTTCTTGGAAAGCATCACCGACAAACCCAAGACTTTGTACAGCATCGTAGACAAGAACGGATCCTCCAGCCCTGTGGAAGCCGCAAAGGCCCCCAGGGCCTTCTGATCAACCTCATGCGACGCCATCCACACGTCCAACGATTCACAGTCGTCGGAATCCAAGGAAAGGCTATCCTCGTCAACGTTAGCCATGGTTGCGGTTACACTGGTCAATGGGAATAAATTGGGTACCAATCTCGGACAGTGCAACAAGAACGGCCGCTATAAGAAGACAGAACCCAAGGACGCTTTGTTTGCACCGGATAGATCGACGGTGATAATAAAAGGAAAAGTGAAACAGAAACACATTATGATCATCTTACCTTACTTTCGCGCGCGCAAACGCTCAATACAGAATGTAGTTCCCCAGGTGCGCTTAAACGCTGTGGCTTTCCATGCTCATGCCAAGCGCCAGCTTCGGGAACTTTCTCAGCCAGTCGATACCCAAAGTCAGCGCCAAAATAGACTCTGACTTTGGCCCAGAGGAACGGCTCGTTCCTGTCGCGCCTCCCCCCTTTTTTTTTTTTTTTTTTTTTTTTTTTCCAGCGTTTGCTTTTGTCGCGCTTGTATTCTTTTTCGCTTGTCGCGCGGGAAATGTTGAGATAAGCAGGTTATGCGCCGAGTAACAATTCAGACCGCTCGGAAGTCGCGCAAGTAAAAATCGATAAGTCACAGGTCAGATGAATACAATCCTCGGAGGCGAACTTGTTGTACAAAGTGGACCAAGACAAAAAGGCTTGCAGAGGGGGGGAAGATAAAAGTAATATGAGATGCTGATTTCACCCCGCAGAATAGACAAGAGTAAATCCCCGTTTATTGCGCACCGGTGATCTGGAGCAATCGCGCGTTTTTGTAGGGCTCTTGACTCAATTATGGATTGATGTATCGTCGCGAATGACCGAGAAGGAAAAAAGAAGATTCCCTCACCCGCACACAGCAAAAGGCGTGAGCAACAGCACTAGCAATGCAAGGTACCGAAAAAAATGCAATTGGCAATTGTAAAAAGAAGCTCGTGGCCAGAAAGCAGACAGTCTCGAGACATTGTGTGTTTGCAATAGTTGTCTGCTGTTTCTGTTTTTTTTTTTTTTTTTTTCTCCCTGTCTGGAATTGCCAACACACCGCTGACAATTGTGAGTATGAGCAACGGACAGAAGCTGCCCTGTGTTCGTCTCAATAACCCGAGTCAGCCCAATTGCAGGCGCCGGGGAGGGGGGGATAGTCCGTGCCAAACGGGTACTAAATAACAATGATTCCCAATTGATAGCAAAAGAAACGAGAGGGCCTTCGGTAATAACGAGCGGCGCCACTAAGGCATTAATCACTGACGTTCCGAACCACTGGCCATTGAAATGGGCAGCGAGAAATGATGCAAGGAATAATCAAGCCATCTGCACGGCTTCTTTCCTGATACGATACTCATGGCCGAAGTCTCGATGGATATTAAGCAGTCAATAGAATATCCTGCACTTCATGCATATATGATGTTAATTAAAATAGCTCCGTGCTCTGTAACTCCATGCGAATTGACTTGTCCCATCTGCTCGCTATTCGAGACACCATCAATGGGAATACTATCTCGATTCCAATCCAGACTGAGATGAGGCGGGGGGCTCTTTATTCCGCTAATCAATGCAGCGAATGCTTCCGGAGGGGGGGCGGCACAGCTTCGATACGTGTCAAAACCCAAGCAGTTTGACTCCTGCTCCTTCCCTGCAGCTTTACATCCGGCCGGAGCAATGCGGTATCTGTAGATGCACTAGTGTGGATCGCCCAGCCACTCGGTCGCGGGATGTACTCCGGATACAGCTCATATAGGCTCCGTACCCCCCATACTCCGTAGTCATGATGCAGTCAACGTATCTGCAGCGCTTCATCATGCCATTAAGCCTGATTCAGACCGTTTCCCTCTGCTTCTTTTTGTGTATGAAGTTATCCTCGACTAAGCGGGCGGGCGGGCGAACGTTCGACGGGGCCCGCGCGGTTCGTAGCGCGCATCCTGACTCGAGCGCACTGACAGTTGGCAGAGGCTTTGCCAGCGTGGCGGGATACATCGTGGAGAACGTAATCGTGATCACTGACTGTATTCCATAGAGAAGGCAAGGTGTTTCTTGCTATTCCAAATAGAAAAACGGCCCGTTTCTAGAAATTGACATGCTGACGATGATGCAAGACCAGGAAAAGTTCCGGCAGTATCCCACCGCTGTGTTGACCCCCTACGCCGCATCCGAATCGGGTAATTGTCGGCCTTGGGTCGCAATGCTGTGGAAGTTATGATGCGAAATCCATATTCATATTAAAAAATAACTCTCTTTAACGATGAAACAGTTAGGCTACACTTGACGCCGTTTTGAGCGTCCTGCTAACGGGCAGCGGCCTTGGCGTCACGTGTAAGTATTCACACGGCCAACAGGCTTTAACACCACGTCCGGCACTGGTTGGTTTTCCTCCTGGTTCCTGAACGCCCACCCGTCATGGTTCCGCCGCCGGAGGGCCTAGCTCTTCGTTCAATCGTACCTCAATTCTCTGAGGAGGCCATTTTTGAGGGAGCCATTTTGGCCCCCCCCGCGGCCGTCTCGTTCGCTCGAATTCTATAAAGCCTTGAATGACCATGATGCTCTCTCACTTCTCTTCCCTCGCTTTCAAGCAACTCACATTCCCATATCTAGTTTTCACTGCCTGTTTCAAAACAGCTGGAGAAATCAAACTTTTGTCATCCTGCCCGGCTCTTTCGCCATCCAGAGATCCCTTCCTTTCACACGCTTTGGTCTGTTATGCAGCACTACCCACGACCGGTCGTGTCCGATGACGACAGCGGTATCAATACCGATGTACCGGACGTCTTCTCAGACAATTCTACCGATGAATTCTCGGATAGTGCATCCGAGCTAGACAGTGATGACGACCCGGAAGATCTTTCTGATGATGATTCGATCTTGGATGATGAGGAACGGGAACTCCCTGCGGCGCACTACCTACAAGAGGCCGAACACCAGCATTCGACCTTGCTCGTCCCAGGGTTCAGGGAGCCTCTCAATTTGATTTCCAGATGCCTCGAGGGAAATTATGCTTTGATAATCTGGTGCTTCATGGTAAATACAGACTCGTTTATGCCGACCGAATGGTAGTTCATTCTGCTCAAGGCCGTCCCTGACGTAAACAGAAATATGCAGTATCTGAAACCGTGGTTATTGTCAGCCTTAGGAGCATCCCAGCATTAATCCAATACTCACATAACCATCATCCATGATGACGTCCTTCAGGAGGTTATTTAGTAGGGCCAGGGCTGGGGTTATCTTGTCAACTGATTCTACCTGCCACACTAAATGCAGCCGGCGAACCTGGGAGATTCAGGTGTTGTAACCGTAAATCACTTTCTTCAGATATGGAATAGCCACGGCGATACCAGATCCGCTATCAAGGACTAAAACACTTTCATAACGGCCAACTTCCTCACTCACTCCATGAGGACCAGTGAACAAGGCCACGAAAGAAACCGAGCTCCCCGCAGTAGCGGAGGCATAGCGAAGAAGATCAGCAGTTAAACCACAGCATGGATGCACCAGAAGTTTCACCGTGTCTTGTGCACCCTCAAACCACGATGTGACCGTGAAAGGGTGTGTCTGCATCCACGACCATAGACTAACCAACGGTATCCAGAGGTTAATATACTGACCAGCCTCCACTTTCACAGGCCGAGGTAAGAGAACATGAATACAGACGGCTTTCACCGCAGTTCCTTCCTTGGTAAATTCGCCCGTGCTAAATGATGCAATGGCCCTGGGAGAACCGCGACCCGCAAACAGGCCGTTTTAATATAGAAGAGTTACCAGCTGTAAAAATAAGATCAGCCCGAACATCCCTAACGCAATCAAGATATATCTTTTTGAGGAGTGGCTCTGCTTTGGGATATGCGGCCAGGTGCCGTAGACAAAGATCCCGGCGAGAATCTAATGTCCTCGGAGAAAAATTTCATTAAACCATTGACGGAACCATGGAATGGAAAATAGGGCAAGGACACCTAGTGAGACTGCAGCCTGCTAAACGTTAGTTGGAGTATATGATATTGTTAACAAGACATACAAGCATAGTAAGAAGGTTTTGTAGTTCATGGAGTGGAAAGGTAAATCCCTAGCCCTGAACCGCCACAATGATGTGAAATGATGGCAGAGTAATGGCCATCCAGCCGGTAGCACGATGGATCCTACAGCATGTGCTCCGTCTTATGCCTAGAAGGTCAGCTAGGAAGCTTAGATGGATAGCTGATAAAGGGAATATCAAGTTGACTAAGGTCAGCTCTCCGGCCCGGCGACCAGCGCCAGTCAACGACTTTATTCTAAAGAAGACGAGAAATATGTTGATTGCCGCATATGATAACTACAATCCGTGTTCTAGTAGCATTGTTGTGATCAATGGAGGCTTTGCTTGAGAAGCCTATCATAAATACTCATGTTTCAGCAAATATATGTAATTCATCACTTTTCGCATTTCTTTTCGGTGAGTTGGAAAGTTTGGAGCACAACTTGGTCTTGCAGGTGCGTTGAACTCGTCGATCAGGAATGAATGCACAGTCAAATAAATTATCTCTCCAGACTCTCCTTCACACTCACGGGGGTAATGATGCGAGACTCTGGATCTGCTCACCATTTTCTATCGTATTCTTCGTTTTCCTGTATTATGCCTGGAGTGACCATGTGGTCCTTCATATTGCCTATTCTCATTTGGAAAATAAAAGCGCCGAGAATTGATTGCGCAGAGGGCGACTCATTTACTTTGGGACACCTCATTGAGTGCCACCCAAAAGATCCTCTACTTGTGCCTCCACTTTTTCACCCGCCGCTTTGGCTGTGATAGGGCTCGGTGACACCGACCCGAGGGCGGTAGACAGAGCCGGAGACCCAGCAGATTCCAAGACCGCGGTCTCAAGACCTACCAGGCCATTAGAATGCCAACTTATATCCCCTACAATTTCAGGACCCGCTAAGCCATAAGTCTCAGAGCTTAAGACGCCTGGTGACTCAAGACTAGAACTATGAGTCTGACTCTTGGGAGCGATCAAGAGCGTGCCTAGGAGCCATGTGTTACAGATACCTAAGGCACTAATCTCACGTGATTATGCGGGGAGTCAAGGCAGAATCATTGGACTATAAGCTCTGGTAATAATGCAGGAAGGACAGGGATCACAGGTGGTAGTTAACAGGCGCATCACGTGATCAACTACCATAATCACTACCATCAGAATGGTAGTCCATATGGTATACAAGCGGAGGATATATAAGGACACTCATTCATGCACCTAGTTAGTTCTTCGCAATCAATCTAGTTAATCAAGCATTGGTTACCTTCTAGTTTCTGACTCGTCCGCACTTAACCAACAACCCAGCATACGTGCTCGGTTGACCTTGTTTCTCTATTCGTTACCTTTACCGATTCTACCTGTTGACTACCTTACGGAGCCTGGAGGGGGCGAGATACCTTCGACGTGATTACAGAGGACCTGGATGGTCATTGAGCATATGAGTGCTTGGAAGACACTTAGGTAAGTGTCCTGTCTCGAAATACAACTAACTAGAACCCTAGGTACGATACGAGGGAAGCCAGGTTGTGACACACTGTCGCTTCTTGCGGTGTATCACGGCGCTTGTTAGAACTTGTGTAGCACGGAGGCCGCAGCGCGACCTCCGCAGTGCGGACTTATGCATTATTACCCATCGTCTATTCATGTACATAGATAACAGGTCACATGACTAATGCCAGTCATGTGACCGCCGCGAGAATACTTTGCGGCGCTGGTGGTTGGACTTTAGACACCAGCGATTAGTCTCTTGAACACTACGCATATAGTCCGCAGTGCGCTCATCACGCTGTCTCAATCCCTTCTTTCTAACAGCGCTCTACTAGGATAATGGAACATCCAACTCATGGGTTCTACCTAGGTAGCTATCGACGAGAATAATCAACATGAGGAAGGAAGAGAGGAGGTAACGCCGTATTTATCAACAAAGCAATAAAGCAAAAAACTGCACCTCACGTGATACCCAGCCAACGTGACCAGGCCGCCACATGCACGTTTTAATGGCCCAAAAACACCAACATCTAGTGGTTGAAGAAAATGAGATGAATGAGGTGGCATACAGAGACAAATTATTGCATGCTCTTTGCAGAATCCATCAAACTCTGCACTTAAATGGCTACTATGGCCATCAAGTTTAAGTAGCCGCTTTGAACCAACTGAATAGTGTTTGGAATATGTGTCACAACCTGGCTTCTCTCGTATCATACCTAGGGTTCTAGTTAGTTGTATTTCGAGACAGGACACTTACCCTAAGTGTCTTCCAAGCACTCATATGCTCAATGACCATCCAGGTCCTCTGTATATCACGTCGAAGGTATATCGCCCCCTCCAGGCTCCGTAAGATAATCAACAAGTAGAATCGGTAAAGGTAACGAATAGAGAAACAAGGTCAACCGAGCACGTATGCTGGGTTGTTGGTTAAGTGCGGACGAGTCAGAAACTAGAAGG